AGAAGGTTCTTGAGGATTTGCATTATAAACAGGATTTTTTTAGAGTCTTTGCACTCTAGCAACATGCCAATTAACAGAGAATTCCAGTTGCAAACATGCCAGGTGACAGTGGACTATATTAGTCCTACTAAAGCAGAAGGTGGCTTTGAACATCTGACCTCAGGGCTAGAAAGGCCTGTGTTTGAATTTGGCTCTTCTATTTCCCAGCTGTGGGGTTCTGGCCAATTTACTAAAAGTTGCTCTCAAGGATGCCTGTCCTCAGTACAAAACTCCACTGCTAGAATGGTGGACTCTCTTTCCAGCTGCATCAGTGTCTTGAGATGCAAAGTTCAGCTTGGCCTTGTTATCTGTTTTGTAACGAGAAGGATCACCAAAACAAACAATACTATGAGATGATTAAGAATGACAAGTTGCTATCTGATATAGCTTACGTCTGGAGGAGAAGGGCTGGGGGAGTGGCTCAAGTAGTAAAAAACCTACCTAGCAAGCATGAGAACCTGAGTTCATCCCCTAAGTACATCCAAAAAAAAAAAAAAATGGCCTCCCTGAAACCAGAAGTCCAAGAGCGCCCCCATGCGGTAAATTATTTGCATGCCACCCCCCCACCCACAGTATTGGGAGCAGTTATAGTAGAGATTGAAAAAAATAAATAGGATTTTAAAGAAAGCGATTATATTTCAATTGAGGGCTTTATTTCTCCTAGAAAATGCTCAATTATGCACATTTAAGGTACCTAAAATTTTTTCTAATGTTTCACATAATTCTTTTTAGTGTTTTAAATACTTAGTGCTTAATTCAGTAATTTTGAGACCACCACAAAACCAAAAGTCCAGATTTCAACAGATGGTCAGATTGTAAAGATTTAAGAGGACAAAGTCAATTACTACTGTGGCACGCTTAGCATGCTCTCATTAGTAACAAGCAGAAATTATTAATAGGAAAGAGTTCTTAATTCGTATTTCTCTTGTCCTTTGTTTAGCACATAAATAAGATAATTATCTTAATGGAAGTTAGCCAATACATAGGTACTAATATTATACAATGAAACAACAGTTAATTACCTTTCTAATTATCGTGCTTTAGGTAACACTGAGTGTGCACACCTTGACCCCATGTGCACACTTCCCAGCACTTGGTACTAACAGCAGAGGAAATAGCCCTGCCCAACTAAACATGCCTGAGGTCTATAAGGGATTAAGACTTACTGATTTTGATAAAATAAAAGCTGTTTATATAATAGATTAGCAGCACAATAACAAATACTTCAAGAAGTAAGGTAAAGTTACACACACTTAGTTAACAGGATATTCCAATTGTGTTGAAAAGAAAGCCCTAATTGTTTATTGGAGTTAATCTTTTATTTGAGATCTTAGTAGATTAATAATTGAATATGTAGAAAATCATGCAACTAATCTAAGCCAACCTTCCTGGTGACATAAAAGGGTTGTACTTGGCAGAAAATATTTTTTAAAACACCTTCAATTGTTCTTCCTAAAGAAGTTGCATTCCTACCTTTTCCCATATTTAAAACTGGTTCACAACCATTTCCTCTGATATCAAAAGTTGGGTCTCTGGCATGAACTACTGACAATTTAGAGATATGAGAGAAGACAGTTTAAGGTCAGTTTTCAAACCAATACAACCTCAGGTTCAAATGGTTAGTTGGCAACAGGTCACATGTGTTTTCCTACTTTGATCAGATTATGAATTTCTCAAAACAAAATGTTTTAATTCTTGAGTGTTGGCAGGAGGTTAAGACAATGGCCTAACTTGCTTTAAGCAAGTCCCACCCATACTCCTCTCCCAAACTCCCAAACTACAGGCAGAATCTGTGTTCCTGAAAGAATAACAAGGCAAACAAGTCGCATCTCAATAATCTACATAAGCAGGTTTTTTTTTTTTTTTTAAGTATATGAATTCTACTAGTAATGGCTTCTCCGGGAAAAAATACACGGGCCATTAAAAAGTCTGAGAAGTCCATCTACTTCAAGAACCTATATTCAAATAAATTTGAAAATCTTAAAGAAATGGACAGATTTCTAGACACATATGATCATCCAAAACTGAACCAAGAAGAAATTAATCACCTGAATAGATCTATAACACAAAATGAAATTGAACCAGCAATCAAGAGTCTCCCCAAAAAGAAAAGTCCAGGACCTGATGGATTCTCTGCTGAATTCTATCGGACCTTTAAAGAAGAACTGATACCAACCCTCTATAAACTGTTCCACGAAATAGAAAGGGAAGGAAAACTGCCTAACACGTTTTATGAAGCCAGTATTATACTTATCCCAAAACTAGGCAAAGACACCTCCAAAAAGGAGAACTATAGGCCAATCTCAATGAACATTGATGCAAAAATCCTCAACAAAATAATGGCAAACCAAATTCAACAACACATCAAAAAGATTATTCACCACGACCAAGTAGGCTTCATCCCAGGAATGCAGGGGTAGTTCAACATACAAAAATCAATAAACGTAATAAACCACATTAACAGAAGCAAAGACAAAAACCACTTGATCATCTCAATAGATGCAGAAAAAGCCTTTGATAAGATCCAACACCATTTCATGATAAAAGCTCTAAGAAAACTAGGAATAGAAGGAAAGTACCTCAACATTATAAAAGCTATATACGACAAACCTAGAGCCAGCATTATACTTAATGGAGAAAAACTGAAACCATTCCCTCTAAAATCAGGAACCAGACAAGGATGCCCACTATCTCCACTCCTATTCAACACAGTACTAGAACTCCTAGCCAGAGCAATTAGGCAAGAAGAAGGAATAAAAGGAATACAAATAGGTAAAGAAACTGTCAAAATATCCCTATTTGCAGACGACATGATCCTATACCTTAAAGACCCAAAAAACTCTACTCAGAAGCTTCTAGACATCATCAATAGCTATAGCAAGGTAGCAGGATATAAAATCAACATAGAAAAATCATTAGCATTTCTATACACTAACAATGAGCAAACTGAAAAAGAATGTATGAAAACAATTCCATTTACAATAGCCTCAAAAAAAATCAAATACCTAGGTGTAAACCTAACAAAAGATGTGAAAGACCTCTACAAGGAAAACTATACACTTCTGAAGAAAGAGATTGAGGAAGACTATAGAAAGTGGAGAGATCTCCCATGCTCATGGATTGGTAGAATCAACATAGTAAAAATGTCTATACTCCCAAAAGTAATCTACATGTTTAATGCAATTCCCATCAAAATTCCAATGACATTCATTAAAGAGATTGAAAAATCTACTGTTAAATTTATATGGAAACACAAGAGGCCACGAATAGCCAAGGCAATACTCAGTCAAAAGAACAATGCAGGAGGTATCACAATACCTGACTTCAAACTATATTACAAAGCAATAGCAATAAAAACAGCATAGTACTGGCACAAAAACAAACATGAAGACCAGTGGAACAGAATAGAGGACCCAGATATGAAGCCACACAACTATAACCTCTTGTCTTTGACAAAGGAGCTAAAAATATACGATGGAGAAATAGCAGCCTCTTCAACAAAAACTGCTGGGAAAACTGGTTAGCTGTCTGCAAAAAACTGAAACTAGATCCATGTATATCACCCTATACCAAGATTAACTCAAAATGGATCAAGGATCTTAATATCAGACCAAACTCTAAAGTTGATAGAGGAAAGAGTAGGAAATACTCTGGAGTTAGTAGGTATAGGTAAGAACTTTCTCAACGAAACCCCAGCAGCACAGCAACTAAGAGATAGCATAGATAAATGGGACCTCATAAAACTAAAAAGCTTCTGTTCATCAAAAGAAATGGTCTCTAAACTGAAGAGAACACCCACAGAGTGGGAGAAAATATTTGCCAGCTATACATCAGACAAAGGACTGATAACAAGAATAGGGAACTTAAAAAACTAAATTCTCCGAAAACTAATGAACCAATAAAGAAATGGGCAAATGAACTAAACAGAACTTTCTCAAAAGAAGAAATTCAAATGGCCAAAAAACATGAAAAAATGCTCACCATCTCTAGCAATAAAGGAAATGCAAATTAAAACCACACTAAGATTCCACCTCACCCCTGTTAGAATAGCCATCATCAGCAACACCACAACAGGTGTTGGCGAGGATGCGGGGAAAAAGGAACCCTCTTACACTGTTGGTGGGAATGTAAACTAGTACAACCACTCTGGAAAAAAATTTGGAGGCTACTTAAAAAGCTGACATCGATCTACCATTTGATCCAGCAATACCACTCTTGGGGATATACCCAAAAGACTGTTACTCCAGAGGCACCTGCACACCCATGTTTATTGCGGCACTATTCACAATAGCCAAGTTATGGAAACAGCCAAGATGCCCCACCACTGACGAATGGATTAAGAAAATGTGGTATCTATACACAATGGAATTTTATGCAGCCATGAAGAAGAACGAAATGTTATCATTCGCTGGTAAATGGATGGAATTGGAGAACATCATTCTGAGTGAGGTTAGCCTGGCCCAAAAGACCAAAAATCGTATGTTCTCCCTCATATGTGGACATTAGATCAAGGGCAAACACAACAAGGGGATTGGACTTGAGCACATGATAAAAGCGAGAGCACACAAGGGAGGGGTGAGGATAGGTAAGACACCTAAAAAATAGCTAGCATTTGTTGCCCTTAATGCAGAGAAACTAAAGCAGATACCTTAAAAGCAACTGAGGCCAATAGGAGAAGGGGACCAGGAACTAGAGAAAAGGTTAGATCAAAAAGAATTAACCTAGAAGGTAACACCCACGCACAGGAAATCAATGTGAGTCAATGCCCTGTATAGCTATCCTTATCTCAACCAGCAAAAACCCTTGTTCCTTCCTATTATTGCTTATACTCTCTCTACAACAAAATTAGAGATATAGGCAAAATAGTTTCTGCCGGGTTCAAGGGGGTGGGAGGGGTGAAGTAGGTGGTAATGAGGGGGTGGGGGTAGAGGGGAGAAATGACCCAAGCATTGTATGCACATATGAATAATAAAACAATAAAAAATAAAAAAAAAAAAGTCTGAGAAGTCCAGAAGTAGAACCACAGCTCAGGATTATCATGGAGGCTTTGCTCTCAGAGCAGTGGCTAGCCATCCTCAAGCAGTAGACAGAGAGAGAGCTATGTGCGGCTCCATAAATACAGCACTGACAGAAAGCATTAGCTTCCTGCCCTATAAAGGTCACACCCAAACAAGTTAATTCCTTTTGAAGGTCTTGCCTTGCCAGCATATTCACTATAAAACAAGATTACATGCAATGATGTGGAAACCAGGTCCTCCCAAAGTTGTGGAAAAATCTGGGTGGCCCAGATTCCTTCCTCTCTTAAAATAAGATTGCTTTTCCTCCCATTCTAGAATAGAGTTGGAAATGTTTACGTGGATACATCTGATGTGTTGACACAGCTCTTAGCAATAAGTCCTTCAAAAGGGTGATCTTTTCCTTCAGATTCTGCAACAAAGCTCTGATTGTCACGGTAAGCTGAAAAAGAAAAGAACACATCCTAAGTATTTCTGGTCAAAAGGTATATAATCTACAAAATTAAATCACATAAATGCAACCTTTTAGACTGTGATGCAATTGAGGAAAGTCTGGAAGAGATGCTTAGCCTTCCAATGATACACTCAGGGTTGTAAAAGTCTTGATGGTCTCCTGATCCAGCCACACACCTAAGGCTTAGTGTGTCCATGTGAAAACCTGGCCACACCAGAACAGGGATGCTGACTGGAAACTGTCCATTTGCCTTCATGCTCAGGTGAATTCTGTCCTCTGAGTCTCTACCCATTGGTCCTATTCATCTAGCCATGCAGGAAACTGTGGTCCCCAGACTTCATTCAATAGCAAAACCCCACAGTTCCATCAACCATGCTTCAAATGACAAGGCATCAAGTCCCATTACCATCCGGGCCAGCCTCTGAACACATTGCTATATTTATAACCCATTTGAACATTTTAGAGCAATGTGTTCTTTTTTATACAAAAGGAAGGTTAACTACATATAAGGAAGGTTAACTACACATAACTCTTTCCAGGACTGTGTGAATTTTCTCCAATCATTCTAAAATCCCAGAGGAAAATTTTGTTTGTGACTCTAAAGTGCTACATTAAAGGATACAGGAGGGGTGGGGAGAGAGCCTCTCTGGAATTAGGAAGTGTGAAAAAGCAAAAAACTGCACATTTAGATGAAAACACATTCAATCATGGAGGAAATCAGAGATAAATTAAAAGGCAGAATACTATAGGCTTCATTTACTGCCCTGTTAAAAGCAACAGTCATATAATTTAGATGGAAGACTCTCCTTGATTAGCAGCACAAACATCAAGTAACCAGTCAAGATGTCAGCAGCCGAGAAAAGTCTAACTTTGTTCTAACACCTCTGGAAACCAAGGGAGAACCACCCACAGTGTGTATGGAGAAATGTAAAGAAAAGCATGTCTTTACTCAATCAGAGAGGAAGAGCAAAACAAGTAAATAGAAACACAAGCAGAGCTCTGTGGCTCGTACCTATCGTCCTGGGAGGCTGAGGCAGGAAGATCACTTGAGCTCAGGAGTTACTGGCAAGCCTGGGCAACCTAGTGAGAGGTCATTTCACACACACAGCCTATGAAGAGTCTACAAAATTAAAGACCAAAATGTATGATTCAAATCTCAATTAGTTAGCATAGAAAAGGTAGCCATAACTTGGTAAAAGAAAAAATCAAATCATAAAATGAAATGTCACCTCCACAGAGAAAAAAATAATCCAGGAACTAAATACACTAAAAGGCCAAGATAGTTTTCTCTGAGTAGTAGGGTCTCTTAATATTTTATTAAAAAATGATTAATTTAATAATCAAGAAGAAAGTTCCATTAACATAATTAAACAGAAGTTCCTACAGCACAGAAGAAGATGGAAAACCTAATTCATTCTTTAAGACAACATAAGCCTGGTCATAGCACTTAACCAAAATAACCAAAAAAAGGAAACCATACATCAATCCCACTTAAGGATTATAAATGTAAAATGCTTTAAAAATATTAGCAAAGCAAATTGAGAATCACATTAAAAATGACAATGTATCATCACTAGATAGAATTTATTCTAGTAATTTAAAAACAGCTTGACACTGGGCTGGGGAGTGGCTCAAGTGGTAGTGCCCCTGCCTACCAAGCATCAGTACCACCAAAAACAAATGAACAAAAAAAATCAATTTGACACTAAGAAAACCTAAAAATAAAGCTCATTGTATTAGTGATTAAAAATTGAATAAACATGATTAATATAGCATGAGGAGAATTAAAAACAAAGCAAACAAAGACAGAAAAACTAAAAATAGAACACTACTGCCTGAACTGTAACATCATCTAACTTTGGTCTAGAAGTTCTAACCAACAGAATACAACAAGTTAAAGGAATATGTAAGGGACAGAAAGTAGACAGAAGTATCATTATTTACAGATAGATAATAGTGTACTTGGAAAAGTTAAGAGAATCAGCTAAAACATTACTTGAAAGAGCAAAAGAATTCATAACAGTGATCAATCATAAAATAAAAAATACCAAGGACATTCCTTAATGTGAGTAGTAGCTAGAAAGTTATTTTTTCCCCTCTGGCGGCACTGGGTTTTGAACTCAGGGCCTTGTGCCAGCCCTTTCTGGCTGTATTGTTTGGGCAGAACCACAGCCCTTCTACCTGTATCTCCCATGTACCTGAGATTACAGATATGAGCCACCATCTCCAGCCCCTGAGAGAATATTTTTAGTTACTATTCTTAAACTTCAATAACAACACCAACAAAATCTAAAAAATATGTAGCCCAGTGCCTGGCACATAATAGCTAGGCAGTAAATACTGATGAAGGAATGAATAAAAGGAAATCCACTATAAAAAAATAAAATGTCCACAATTTAATCTATAAACATACTGTACATCTATTCGAAATGTTACTTGGAACTATTTTATTGGCAAGGCAGCACAAATTTTTTTTAAATGATGTTTCATAAAATTACTCTGAAATGCCAGGCATAGTGGTACATGCCTGTAATTCCAGCATGGGATGCAGAAGTAGGAGAATTGTGAGTTCAGACCAGCATGGGCTACATGGCGAGTTTCAGGCCAGTCTGGGGCTACATAGTGAGGCTTTATCTCAAAGAACAACAATAACAAAAACTACACTGAAAAGATAAATGAGGCAAAATAATAAAAATCATGACTGTATAATAAAAGGAACTTTAACCACGTGGATATGAAGTAATTATAAAAAATACAGGAGTATGTATGATGCTGGAAGTTACCAACAGCATCAACAATACAACAAAACAGAAGGCCAAGGAACACGCAGCTGTATAAAAGGTCAGTGAATGGATTCACAATTTAACAAATAGGGAAAAAAGAAGTTAGATACCTACGACATACCAAAAGAAACTTCAAAGCTTCACACACATACAGAATCTCAGGTCTAGAAAGGTCTTCAGAACTCAAAGCTCAAATAAATAATTTTTTTTTGCTAATTCTTTCCTGTTATTACCTTAGATGTCTTTTCACCTCTTCTTTCATATTGATTTCGTTGTTGAATTTTCTCAGCAATTTCCTGGGCAATTTGACAAGCAGAATCATATGTAGAGAACCTACATCAATGTCATACAGAGAGAAAAATGTTTAAGGTTCTTTAAAAGAAATATCTGTTATCCAAATTGAAGGTCGGGGGGATTGGTAAAAGCAGAATTGGTAATAGCGGCATGTACTAGATGGTACTTAGCATGTGTCAGCACCATTCTGAATGCTTCATTTTTAACAACAGTTCACTTAATCCACACAAGGATACTGCAAGGTAGGTACAACACCTCCATTTCAACATGGGGAAACCAGAACGACTTGCCAACTGCAAACCAAAGTTGTTTGACAGCAGAACCTGGGCTCTTAACCACCTTGCTATCCTGCACACGATAAAGCATTTGCTTTCGTTCCTTTGTAAAAGAAAAAGAAAATTCAGCAACCATTCCTGGAGAGCCTACACTCTACTGACCCCTGTTCTAGGCACTGTGAATGACCAGAGCAGTGAACAAAATGAACGAAGTCCCCGCATTCAAGGAGTACACATTCTAGTGAAAGGAGAATGGCATACAACAACTAAATAAACAACATGCCAGGTGCTGAAATATGCTAAAAGGAAAAAATGAAATAGGATAAAAGGACAGAGTGACAGGGAGGTGCTATTTAGGACCAGGGTCACTCAGAGCAAGGTGAGATGCAGATGTACCTGGGGAAGAGCTCCACAGCTCAGGCACAACAGGTACTGTGTATTCTGCAACAAAAGACCTACAACCACCTGACATCTGAGCCTACCAAAGTTCTCTCGAAACATTTACTGAGGGCTGGGGGAATGGCTCAAGTGGCAGAGTGCCTGCCTAGCAATCTCAAGGTCCTTTATTGACCTTCTACTTGTCATTACACAGTGTTGGAGGCTTTGAAATAGTCACAATGAACAAACTGGATTTTTCCTTCTGTTTCAACATTTCACTTTCTATCTGTTTTCCAGAAAATACTTAAGCATACATACATATTTCACTTCTCCTACCAGACAATCTGCTCCTAAAAATGGGGATTCTGCTGTGCTTATAAGACTAATGCATTTTCCAGGACTGTCCATTACAAAATATTGAAAACTGTTATTTCAAAATATCAAAAACTGTTATCCCAATGTTTGCTTGAGAAAAGAAACAATCTATTTCTTTAAAATCTTCCAACTCTCACATAAGCTTATACATAGAGGGAACTTGCTAAGTTTTTTTTTTTTTTGAATAAAGGAAAACACTCCAATTGCTTCCCTTGGGAAATTTATTATGGCAGTTATAACAATGGCTAACAGTTCAGTGCCTGACCTGAGCCAGTCCTATGCTGACAGCTTTATTTTATAAACTTCCTAAGGACCCCTGGAGGCAGGATCCTGAACTACTAACCCCAGACTCTCAAGTAGCAGCATGAGCCTGATGTGGTGAAGCATTTCTGTAATCCCACTTATTCTGGAGGTAAAGACAGCAGGATCAAGGTCAAAGGCCAGCCCAGGTAAAAGTACAAAACCCTACCTGAAAAACAAACTAAAAGCAAAAAGGACTGGCGCATGAGCCAAGTGGTACAATACTTGCCTAAGCGCTGAGTTCAGTTCCCAGTACTGCCCATACACACACACATATATATATTAGTATCATTCATATGTATATACACACACACACACCATTCATATATATTTAGGTATATGTGTACAAAAAAAAAGACAGCACATAATTAAGAAAATATTGGGGCACATGGCTCATGCCTATAATCCTAGCTACTCAGGAGGCAGAGATCAGGAGGATCATGGTTCAAAGCCAGCCCAGGCAAATAGTTTGTGAGACTCTATCTCGAAAATACCAACACAAAAAAGGGCTGGTGGAGTGGCTCAAGTGATAGAGTACCTGCCTAGCAAGTGAGGCCCTGTGTTCAATCCCCAGTACTGCCAAAAGAAAGGGAGGGAGGGAGGGCGAGAGAGAGAGAGAGAGAGAGAGAGAGAAAGAGAGAGAGAGAGAGAGAAAAAGAGAGAGAGAGAAAGGGAAGGAAGGAAGGAAAGAATAAAGGAAGAAAACAGTAGGCTAGTAAGGAAAACTGGGTCCTGGCCTCAGCTTTGTCATATTTCACATATTTCACCTGCTTTCCTCCTGGAGTACTGTGAAAAGAGGAGCTTATGGCTGATTCCATGGTCCTGGACCAAACACATAAAAACCTATGACAAAACACTGGGTTTAAATTAAGTATTCTTGGAGATAGGAGAAATTACTATTGGACAAGGCACTCAGATGGGCTGGTCACAAGGGGACATCTTGGGCTAACTTTGAAGTTGAAGCAGAATGTTCTGGAGGGAGGAGCACATTCTAGGCCCAGTAAAAGACAAATGAAGCAAGCAAAGGCAAAAGGAAGAAAACCTGCCTGCCACATGGGCTAAGTGGTGACCCTGCTATGAGGGTAGAGTTTGAATAGGAGAGATGAGGAGAAGTTAGTTTCTGTAGAACCTATAACAGCAATCTCATGAGGTTAGACTTATGGGAGACTTTTAGAGCCACAGGGGACATTGCTACATATAAAGAAAGGCCTTGAGGAAACTATGGACAAACTCCTAGGTCTCTTGCCACCAGTCCTCCTGTTCTTATTTTACCCCTAAGAAGGAGTGGTTCTGAAGTTTTGCTAGACAATGGAACCACAGAGGAGTCAAAAACAAACAAACAAAAAAACCAATGCCTGGCTCCCAAGCACTATGACTATAATGAATATGGGGTTTGACCTGGTCAGGGGAGTTTTGAAAGCTATACCAAGTTTGGGAATCACTGGCAACCTCATCAAGGTGTCAAGCACACAGGTGCCTAAAGTACTAGTTTAGGAAAATTAACTGAATTATATAAATAGTAATGAGAAAACAAGAGTGGTGGCAGGAGGCCAACAGATTTCTCTGGCTATCCAATTCCACAACCAGTCACCAGTACTTAACCATCTACAAGGCATTAGGGTATAAGGATCTAGATTATGGAAAAATGGAAAAAAATGATATCAGGTATTTAGAAGAAAAAGCCAATAGAGAGTAGTGAATAATCTAGTATTGTGAGTGGAGAAAAAGCAAATGACTAGAGTTCTCAGATCTAAGTGACTAAGAGATGCTACACACAGACTGAGGAATTGGAAAGGAGGGTGTAAAAGAAGTTTCCAGACCATAAGCTGGGCCTCCATTCTACCAGAAAACACTGAATGTGCAGTTAAATTAATATAAGTATAAATTACTCAAGTATACCTAGAAAAGGAAAAAAATAGTATGGAAGGCAGAAATAAAACAAGAATGGCATAATATTGACAATTACAGAAACTGGGTGATGAGTATAAAAGGACCTGTTACAGTATTCTATTTCATGTATCTTCATCATCCATTATCAAAATCTAAAAAAAAAAGACCAAAAAATTACTACCAATATAAAAGAATCCAAGCAGAACATAAACCTATTTGAAGTTCAACTAATTTTTCCAGAACCAGTGTGTATATCAACAAAGTTACTCTAGTGGCAAAGCTAATTAACTTTAGCAAAGAGCCAGTTCAGGGACAGTCCACACCTGCTACAGTGAGCAGTAAACAGTGAGTTTACCATTTGCTTTGATCGGGCATTAAAACATTAATGCTCCATTCCAGAGCACAAAACAAGAGGGAGGCATCAATGGTCTGATTTTCAGAAGCACAAAGGCAAAGCTGTAGGAGAATTTGTTTTTCTAGGTCTTTCCAATTCCATATTCCTTTCTACCCTATCCTAACCAGAGAACCCCACTACCTCACTTTTCAAATGAGAAATCCACTTAGTCAAACAATTGAGAGTAATAGGAAAAAGTGAAAGTGCAAATGCTTTTTCAATATCAATGGTGGAAAACGCTAGGGGTTCAGGAAGTGCTTCCACCAACCTAAATGGGTAACTGGGGAAGGGCAAGCTCCCTTATCTCTAAATTTATTTCCTACTTTATGTGTAAAGTAAGGGAGTTAGCTTACAGGAAGTGGAGGGCAATTTAGGAGCTGAATTAAAGGACCTTAAAAATGTCAATACCTTGACCCCAAAGTTCTACAGTGAATGGAGCCAAAGGGAATTTGCAATAGCAAAAACCAAAACCAAAACAAAACCTAAAATAAATTATGGTCATTCATATGATGCCCTGATATACTCCATAAAAATCATGTTTTTAGGAAATATTTACTGACATAGAGAAATGCTCTGTTTTATAGCACATAAATATTATACAGATTAGAGTAATAAATTAATTGTAGAAAATCAACAGCTATTTCCAAATGATAAAGATGCTACTTCTTTTCTTCTTTGTAAATACTCAAATTTTTTATCAGAGGTGTATACAGTTGTTAAAACCAAATGGGGAAGCCAGGCGCTGGCGGTTCACACCTGAAATCCTTGCTACTTAGGAGGCAGAAATCAGGAGGAACACAGTTAGAAACCAGCACTAGGCAAATAGTTCCCAAGACCCTATCCAGAAAAAAACACTTCACAAAAAAAAGGCTGGCAGAGTGGCTCAAACTGTAGAGTCCCTGCAGGCGTGAGGCCCTGAGTTCAAACCCACTGTACCCAGTGCGGCACAAACAAAAAAACTGACTGGGGGCGGGGAAGGAAAGCAGAGTTAAATTCAATAATTGGGCCAGATAACCTAGAACTCAGATAACTTTAACTTTGACCTTGGGATCCCCTCTCCTAATACACAAATTACCTTCAACTTAAAACACTTAGGAGCATTTCTAAGTGCTGCATCAGAAACGCCAACACAGGACCTATACTCCATCAAGAACTTCACAAAGACACACTATGCTACAAATTATTACCCGCAAAGGTCGAGTCTGTTTTGTATAGCAATTTGTTCCTTGGGATCAGAACTTTTGTCTTTCACCATTCAGTCTTTGGGACTTACTCGATGAATAAATGACCCTTATCAGCTGGGGTTTTTCTGCAGAAGCTCAGGATGAAGGAACAGTCTTCAAGACGTTGACACAAGAAAGTGCAAAAAGACATACAACAAGTGAATCATTTCCCTCCCAAATTCCTACGAGTTTTCTGAAGGACCCACAAAGGGGCCTATGTCCAACTAAGGACCAATTAGCTGGTGAGCTCAGATTGTGAACCTCGTTTTCTCCACCTCGGATGTTCAGCGGATAAACTGACATTCCACCCTCCCCCCCGCAAAAAAAAAAAAGGTTATTTCTCACTTTTACAAGAGCCCAGACCAGTCTGCACCAGCCAGCCCCATAACCAGGGTGGGTGGGACATTCTGGCGGGCTGCAGGACCGACTACTCAAGAGGCTGGGGTCGGTCCTCGGCAACCCAGGAGTCCATCGGCTCCTCCGCGGACCCTACCCCAGTAAGGACCTAGGATGGTGGGACGCGGTGGAGTCCTCCTCAGCCGAGACGAGTCCTCGCTGCCCCCTCCTCATTCTTAAAGGCCTCGAGCCGCTCCCTGGAAGCCCAGCTCCCCCCAGGTGCCTCAGCACCGCCGCCCTCACCCCGGGGCTCACCAGGGGTCTGGGGCCATAGCGCAGCCTCCGCCCGCCGTGCTCGGACACTTCCTGCTCCGCAGCTGACTACGGCGGCCCGCGAGGCTCCGTCCGCGCCGCTGCGCCCGCGCGCAACCCAGCCCGGAGTTCGTGCTTGCCCTGGGAAGACGGCCGTACACTGGGGCCGCCGAACTTTCTCCAAAAGAGAGAAAAGAAAAAGAAAAAAAAAGTGATTCCCTGGGGGACAGTAGGCTGAACCAATCCGTTCCCAGTGACAGACGCGAATTGCTGAGCGCAAGTAATCTGAATATGGTTGAACACAATCTAAGCATTTTCTCCCAGGGGCGGGAGCGCTTCAAGAACGGTCTATCTCACTTCCTTAAAATGTTATCCTCCTTCAAGAGCAACAAAACAAAACTGGATCGTGGCGATGGTTGCACATCGTATGAATTTACTATAACTCACATTAAGTAAATTTTATGATACGTAAATTATACTTTAATAAAGCTTTTCAAAAAAAAATTTTTAATGTTTTACCCTGCGTTAAACAAGGGGCCCAAAGATGTATCAATTACATAACATAGCAGCTTACCCATCAAAGGCAATCACTATGTTCAATTATTTTTAAATTGTCATTAGGGGCTTAATTATATAGTTACCAAAAAAAAGTCACAGACTTTACATGGAGAGAAGGGAAATTAGTTCTGTGCATTTAGTGCCCACCCACCCCCACCCAAACTTTCTAGAGAAATGGAAGTTAATAATAATAATAATAAAATCCTCCCTACATTTGCAAGGGAGCAAATCAACCCCCAACTCCACAGTCTGGGTTCCTGCGCGGGCGCGGACCTGACACGCATGCGTGCCCGTTACCTTAACGACAAGGAGACGCTCCACCCGCTGCGGCTGATCGGAGAAGGAGCTGGGTCTCTCCAAGATGGATAAGCAAAGTTTGCCCGAGGCAGAATTGGCGGAGCTGGAACTTGATGCTGTGATCGGCTTCAATGGTGAGGTCATGGGCTGGGTAGTTTAGGAACCGCGAGGACGTGTGGTGCATACAGGGACAGTGGGACACCAACCGGGTGGCACCTGAAAGGCAGTGAGCAGGAGCCTTGGCCAGAGTCAAACACCTGGGAATCAATAACCTCTGCCTCCTTAGGGTCTTAGAGAGTGTCTTCCTTGTTCTGAGCCTCAGGGAGCGGGATGGTTTTTAAGGAAGAGGGGCTGGGACCCTTCTGCCCCTAGGGCAGCCCTCCTGGGCTCTGAGCACCGTGCAGCCCCGAGGACCTCCGTCCCTGATAAACACCGGATGCTGTCTGTCTTGGAGCCCAGAACGACCAGAAGGAACGAGTGTTCGAACTTTAGGAGATGATCTGGGTCCTCTAATACGAAGTAAGGAATCTAAAAAAGTGAAGACTTAAAAGCAAAATAAGAGGGAAAGGGGAAGAAAAGGGGAGCCCGAAGGGAAAGTTATTTTTAATGTGGGGAGGGGCCCGGCTGCTCTGCTCACATCTTATTTCTGACTGCCTGCTGTGAAAATTAAGAGGGAGAAAAGGCTGTTTTTTGTTTGAGGAATGAGAAAAATCAATTAATTAAATTTTAGAGAAAGCAAACCTTTTTTTAAGAAGTGTGTTGTGATTGATGCGGATAGCTTTAAAATTGTAATAATGTAGGTGCAGAACAATCAGAGGCTGAAGCACATTCTAGGATTTAGCTCTTGAGTCTTCTTTAACACTCTCTAACGGAAAGCAGGTACTTCATACATCTGAGATAAGACCATCTGTACAGACGTTCAGGTCATTGGTAAAGGAATCTAGTGGCCTACAGTGAGTTGCAAAGTCTCCCTGGTGAGCCAGCATAGAGCCACAGGGAGCAGCTGAATTCATGCTATTTTGTAGGGCTCTAAATGACAGCCCATGTCTTCCATGGCAGTTGCTAATATCTTCACCCTTTAGAATGGCCTGAATAGATGAAATTGGTTTTACCTTATTAGTTTTGTGATCGTTTGTATTCTTTCATGTAGTAATTTATATGCATTTATTTTGAACCACAATATGCCAAATAGTGCCCTATGGGCTGAAAATACAGGATAGATCCATAGCCATGTTTAAGAAGAGTTTAGAAAACTAGAAAAAAACACAGTGAAACCTAAAGAAAAATCAGCCACCATTACATTCTCCAAAGATATCACTGTTGACCTGTTAGTGTGATCCATTCAAATGTATATGTACATGTATTTTTAAATGAAGGTGGACTCATCTTGTATATATTCTCTTGTGACCACAATTTTTCATTTAACAGTATGCCATGTAAAATCTTTCCTTATAAACATAATAAATAATAACATAAAATAATAAATATACTCTATGCCATTTTTTTTTTTTACAGTACTGAGGTTTCAATTCAGGGCCTCACGCTTGCTAGGCAGGTGCTCTTCCACTTGGGCCACTCCACCAGCCCTTCTATGTCATAATTTTGATGTAATATATACTATCTCCTACATAGACATGTCATAATTTGCCATTTTTGTTTTTGCATTTATTTTTAAATGCTACAAAGAATAGCTGCATAGCTAAATCTTTTACCTCTTTATCTTAGGATAAGTTCTGAGTACATTCTAAAGACTAATGTATCTTCCAAATTCTATATCATATATGCAACAGAAATTTGTACAAAGAAATATACAGTGGTCCCCTTATTCACAGAGGATAGGTTCTAAGACCCTCAGTGAGTCCCTGAAACCAGGAATAATACCAACCCCTATATAAACTAGGTTTTTTTCCCTATATATACATATATCTATGATAAATTTTAATTTATAAACTAGGCACAGCAAGAGACTAATAATAATAAGTAATAGAATAGAATAATTATAGCAAGGTATTGTGATAAAAGTTATTTTGAAACTTGTGAATTATTTATTTCTGGAATTTTCCATTCAATATTTTTAGACCTTGATTGATTAAAACTGAAACCTTGAGTAAAACTACAGAAGGGGGAACTAGTGTATAGGATATTTATAACAACATTTTTTGTTGTTTTTAAAAAATTTTTAATAGCATATATTATACAAAAAGGTTTCATTGTGATATTTCCATACATGCATATAAGGTACTTCTACCATATCCACTCCCCCATCACACTTTCCTTTTGCCCTTCCCTCTTCTGCTCCCCCCAGATAGCCCCCTTTTAAATTCATGTCATTTTTTTTCTTTTTAGGTTTAGAAGCCACATGAAGGAAAACATTTGATGTTTATCTTTCATGACAGCATTATTTCTAACAGCTAAAAATAAAAACAATGAAAATGCCCATCAAAAGTAGAAAGAACAAACTAGTATACTCACAGGACAGACTACTCTGTAGCAACTGGTATACACAACAGCCTGGATGGATCTCACAAACATAGTATTGAATGAAAAAATCCAGACACAGAAGAGTTCATATTGTATCACTCCATTCATTTAGAGTTCCAAAATGAGGAAATATGTGCCACTTCTAGAGATATACCTGAAGGAAAGTAAGTCAGGTTACAGCAAAGGCACCTGCATATCCATGATTATTGCAGCATTATTCACTATGCCTAGCTATGAAAACAGCCAAGATGCCCCACTACTGATGAATGAATTAAGAAAATGTAGTATTTATATACAATGGAATTTTATTCAGTCATAAAGAAGAATGAAATTTTGTCCTTTACAAGTTAATGGATGGAACTGGAGAACATCATCTTAAGTGAAGTTAGCCCAGTTCAGAAAGCCAAAGGCCACATATTTTCTCTCATATGTGGAATACAAACCTAATACAAATACAGCAATATTATTACATACAAGAAAAAGAGAGTAAAAGAAGGAAGTAAATAAGGTGAATATGGTTTATGTACTTCCTATACAAAAATGAATATAGAATTTTTAAACCTGTTGAAATCACCAGAAGAAGGGGACTAAGGCAGAAAGGAGAAAAATAGAGGGGATGAGCCAATTTGGGTTATACATGGAAATGTCACAATGAAACAACCTGTGTAGCTACCCTGAACAAGCAAAAATGTCTTTTTTTTTTTTTTCTTTTTTACAAAAAGGGAGAACAGGAAAGCAAAACAGGTCCTGTCTGGGAGGTTGGCAGCAGTGGGAATGGGGAGGAGATAAGGAAAGGGTATGAGAGGGAAAACATGGTAGAAATATTCTGTACACATATATGTAAATGGAAAAATGAGACCTGTTGAAACTATTCCAGGAATAGGGAAGGCAAATAAAGGAGAATGATGGAGGGGATGGATTCAACTATGATATACTGTAAAAACTTTTATAAATGTCACAATGTACACCCAGTACAATAATAAAAAACATTAAAAATTTTTTAAAAACCAAAGTGAGGGGAATTAACCTGTAGGGATGAAGTCAAAACAGTGACTACCTTTAGGGGAATGTAAACTGGGAGGAGACACATGGAAGGCAACTAAGGTATGATAATCTTTTACTTGTTAATCTAGGTTATATGGGTGTGTTTACTTGGTGAAAAGTTACCAAGTTTTCTGTATTTTGTCTTCAAGGAAAAATGTTTACTGAAGAAGTCTGTACTAACTGCTATGGTTTGCGTGTGTCTACCAAAATTTCATGTGCTAGAAGCTTGGTTGCCAGGGTGGCAGTACTAAGGTGGTGGACCCTTTAAGAAGTGGGACCTAGTGAAAGGTGATTGGGTCTTTGGGACCACCACTTTTGGAAGGGATTAATGCAGTTCTTCTAGGGTCCAGGTTAGTTCCTGCTAGAATAGGTGGCTATAACAGAACAAGCCTAGCCTCTGAATCTCTCTGCCTTCCTGTCTCACCTGTCTCTTTATGTGATCTTAGCATTTCAACTTCCAAATCTGTGACCTAAATAAGCCTCTTTCCTGTGTAAGTACCCAGCATCAGATATGTTATTATAGCATCAAAAAAATAGACAAAGACTTATAAAAGTTTGAGAGAAAGATTATATTCCAGACCTCTACACCTGTTTAAATTCAAGTAGTCTTTAAAATTTGGTAGGAATCAGTGGGTAAGGATTGATGAGCCGAGAAATCCAAGGGTAAAGGAGGAAAAGTGGAGAGTACATGTCTGTTGAGTGGAAGGCAAATAGCTCGGTGGAGATTCAGTGCCAGGGCCAGAGTTAGAGTTCACAGGCCTTCATAACTAAGTCATTGAATTTAGATTTCACCTGGAAACAAAACAGAAGCAAACGACAAGACCATTTCATTATGATTTTACTAGAACTCATAATTTCATTATTAAACTTGAACTTGAAGAGGCAAATATAGAAAATAGAGTACCTGATGCCTTTATGTATAGTATTTTGTCAGGAATTTATTATGTAAGAAAACCAACTATGCTTGTGTTGAATATGGGAACATTTTATAAAGCTATAGTTTTTAAGAGCTTGGTAACATTCATCAGTTGACTGGGGTAAATATCCCATGATTTTCCTGTTATGCAAAGAGCTACTACAAACTGGAAATAGCAGCAATGACAGAATAGATTAGAAGTCTGAATATTAAAACCTTTGGGCCAAATTTGTGCCACTGTGTGTTTTTGTGAATAAGAACTCGGCCATGTCCATTTGTTTATGTGTTGTCCTTGAGTGCGCTTACATGTGCCAGGAGAGTTAAGTAGCTGCAACAGAGATCTGTGGCCCAGGACCCTAAAATATTTACTATCTATTTTATAAATACTATTAAAAATGGCTAGACCACTGAAATAGGTAATAGGCAAAGGAATATAAATAAAAGAAATATAAATGCTGGTACTGGGATTTGAACTCAAGGTCTCAGACTCGCCAGACAGGTGCTTTACCACTTGAACCACCCCCTATCCTTTTTTTTTTTTTTTTTGATTTAGTTATTTTTTCAGATGGGACTTGTGTTTTTGCCTCAGACCACAATCTTCCTACCCATGCCTCTCACCTGGCTGGGATTACAGACTCATACCTCATACACTGCCTGCTTGGCTTATTGATTGAGATAGGGTCTTGCTAACATTTTGCTCAGGCTGGCCTTGAACCATTATCCTCCAGATCTCTGTAGCTGGGGTTACAAGCATGAGGCACCCTACCTGGCACATCTATTACAATTTTTAATGATTATCTTTAACCTTTTAAAAACTTGAATTACTCAAGTTTTCAAAAACTCTTTTATTTTATGCTATGGTATTGTCTATCATAGCCCAAATATTGGAGGAAACAACCCAAATGTCTGCAGTAAGAAGTTAGTTTAAACAATTATAATTCAGAAATGTTTTGTAACTAGATAGAGAGGGTGGTTACACAACATTGCACACACACTAATGCCACAAAACTGTTCACATTAAGTACTACTTTTACATTATATGAAGTTTGCCCCAATAAATTGTTGTTGTAGTCCTTTGTACAGTTGAATACTATATAACTCTTAAGAAAAATGAGACAGATGTATGTAACAAGGAAAGATGTTAAAGATGTGTTAAATGTAAAAGGCAATTTGTCAAACTGTCTTATTATATGAGTGAATAAAGAGTGTGTGTGCAGAGAGAAAAACGTGGGAGAAAGAGAACTAGAGATAGAGAGACGAGCATTGTGAATAACTATGAAGAAGAGAGCAAATGATGTTTGTTGAGTGGACATGTATAATTTTGCCTACTCAGTATCTACCCTTCTATTTCAGGAGAATCCCAGATAGGTAGGAAGCAGTTCTTTTGCTATTGGTGAGGACCTAGAAGAGGATCATATTTCCTGTCCTCTCTGGCCCCTCAATTTAGGGAGATGGGACATAACAGGCTGAGCTAATCAGATGCTCCCACTCAGAGCTCCACTCTTAATGGAGTGATGCAGAGAAACAGAGCACTCTGGGAGTCAAATGCTGCATTGAATGCTGAGAAAGTTGGCAATGAGAGCTCCTAATTTCAGGTCACTTGGTCTTACCTTCTCATTAGTCCTGCCTGCTTTTCAAGTATGATTTTCTACACTTCCTATCAGTTCTGTGAGCTATCTCTATTCCTGTCATGAAATTCTTTTTCTGTTACATGTAGCCACAGTTGACTTCTTATTTGCAACCAAGAAACCTAACTATTAAGTACAAAGAATATAACCCTGAAGCCATACACACACACACACTCCCCTACATGCTAAGGAAGTTATCTCTGGGAAGGTTATAGCTCTAAGTGTGGGATAGCTGTATCTAGTCAACCATCATCAATATAGAGTTTTCCAATGTGATTCTACCAATTTACTCTCTCACAAGCATATTTCCTTCATTCACCATCATCACTAATGCCCAGTACTACCAGCCTTCTTAATTTTAGGCTTTATGGTGGACATGACATGGTATTCTGGGTAAAATTCGCATTTCCCTTGTTCATCTGTTTATTGGATTTTGAATTTCCTTCATAATAAATTGCCCATTCATATCTTTTGCTCATTTTTCTGTTGGTGAGCTTGTGTTTTTCTTTTTTGCTTTGCAGAAGTTCTTTTATATTAGGTGACAACCCTTTGTCTCTTTTGTACATTTCAACTATCTTCTTGTGGATTGGGTTTTTCTTTTCATTTTGTCTCTTGTAATTAGAAATAAGAATTTTTATTAGAACCTGATGAATAATCAACCTCATCTGTTATGATTTGCTGGGCTTTTGTACATGGTTAAAAAGTCATTTTCTACATCTGTGTAAACATTGTCTTTGTTTTTACACTTAGGTGTTTGACCTACCTGAACAGTATTATTTGTGCATGGTGTGAAATAGAGATCTAATTTTGTTTTTTCCATATGGGTACCCATATGATTGTTTATTAGGAGCCTGCAATTGGGAAATATATGTATTTCATAGAAATAGATTGCTCCAGAACACATAACCCTTGGTTTTGTAAGAGTTTACTTCATTAAAAAACAAATGGAGTGCTTACAATTAAAATGAAAGGAAATAACTTATTCAACAGCCACACTTGGCCATTTAAACAAAAAAATTCATTTAGCTATAGAAATCACTTAATGCATCAAAATGAATTCCAGTGGAAGTTAAATATGAAAAAGAAATCACCGAAAAGCCAGAATACTGGGGATATTATGCTAAATGAAACAAGTTAGCACAGAAAGAGAAAAACCACATACTCTCTCAGTTGAGCACCAGTGGCTCATGCCTATAATCCTAGCTACTTGGGAGACTGAGATCGGGAGAATTGCCATTCGAGACCAGTCCAAGCAAATAGTTCATGAGACCCCATCTCCAAAATAACCAGAGCAAAATGGACTGGAGGTGTGGCTCAAGTGGTAAAGCACCTGCTTTGCAAGCAAAAAGCCCTGAGTTCAAACCCCAATTCCACCAAAAAATAAAGCTCCCATACTCTCACTTACACGTGGAAGCTAAGCATTGGTCTCAAAGAAGTGTGGAATATCCATTACGAGAGTTTGGAGGAGGTGTGAGAGGGAGGAGGATAGTTAATGGGTACAGTCGGCCAGAAGGATAACTTGTAATGTTCTATGGTACAGCAGGAAAGCTGTGGTTCACAACAATCAATGGAATCTTTCAAAATAGCTAGTGGAGAGAATTTTGAATGTACAAAGAAATCATACATGCACTACCCTAATCGAATCATTATACACTGTATACATGCATTGGTACCTATAAATGTTTACAATTGCTATGTGTCAATTAGAGATTTCTTTTTAACCCAGAAGACTATAATAACAAGCATTTATGACTCTTTTGATAGAGAAGGAAATAGCAACAAAAAAATTAAAATACCCCCAATCTCTGGTAATCACCATTCTACTCTCTACTTCTAGGAGTTCAGATATCTCTCAAAAGACCTACAAATAGCCAACAGGTACATGAAAAGGTGCTCAACATTACTAACCATTAGGGCAGTGCAAATCAAGACCACAATGAGCTATCACCTCACATCTATTAAAATGGCTATTATCAAAACCACAAAAAATACCAATGAGAATGGAGAGAAAAGGAAACCTCTGTACACTACTGGTGGGAAGGTAAATTGTTAACAGCCATTATAGAAAACAACATGGGGGTTCCTCAAAAGATTAAAACTAGAGCTACCATAGATTCCAGAAATCCCACTTCTGGGTACATATCCAAGGAAATTAAATTAGTGTCTTGAAGAGATATCTACACTCCCATGTACATTGCAGTGTTAGTCACAATAGCCAAGATATGGAAACAGTCTCTAAGTGTCCATCAACAGATGAATGGATAAAGGAAATCACACTCACACACACTGTAAAATTATTCAGCCCTAAAAAAATAAATCATGCCTTTTGTAAAACCAATGATGAATCTGTAGGATAGTATAGTAAGTGAAATAAGCCAAATTTTTGTCTTCACACTGTAGGATAGTATAGTAAGTGAAATAAGCCAAATTTTTGTCTTCACTAAATGTTTGCCTGAAGTAGGGCTTCACATCTTTCTTGTGCCTATACTCTCATTCACAGAGGTGGGGGGAGGTGGCCCAAATAATGTATATACATGTAAGTAAATGTAAAAATGATAAAACAAAATTTTTTTTAAAACTGCCCATACTCAATTCGCTTGTGCTTTTTAAGGTTACAAGAATTGTCCCTAGCACCTTGCAGTCGAAAGCAGAGTTCCTGGACCAGCATCATCATCTCTTGGGAGTTTGGTACCACCCAAGACCTGAAATCAGGATCCCTTAGGGATTTTTGCATACATCAAAGTTTGAGAAGCCATGTACTATGCCCCGTCTTCTTGTCCATGAAATAAAATTATCTATTACCCCATACTTTTTAAAATTAACTTGAAGCTTATTTCAAAAGTGTTGTGTCTTGTATTCTAATGAGAAATTGCCGACTACTTCTCCACCTGATTATAATTATTCTTTAATCTCTCTCTTTTAGGACATGTTCCCACAGGTCTCAAATGCCATCCTGACCAGGAGAATCTGATCTATCCGCTGGGTTGCACAGTCCTCATTCAGGCAATAAATACTCACGAGCAGAGTTTCCTACATGGCCATGGTAACAATGTCTCCTGTTTGACCATCTCCAAGAGTGGAGATTACATTGCTTCAGGACAAGTCACATTCATGGGGTTCAAGGTGAATGGGGTGAAAATAATTCATTGTAAATTTGTTTACAGGTGCCTCCCCAGAACTGCCTCCACTTCAGGTCCTTAGCTCTGTGCTGTCAATGTGCTATCTCCTTCCTTCTTCCTCTGACCTCTCTTAACTAATTTCCGTTCCATCAGGCTGAGAGTGAGGAATGGGATGTTTTTATGCCAGCTGCTGCAGCTTGTGACTGATAATGCTTAGGAACAAAAGGCCCTGCTTATAACTATTTCTGTTTTGTTACCATCTGTCAGGTTAATAAAACATGGTTTAATTTCTAGGGAAGTGACCAAGAAGGGGAGTTACAAGATTCCACTAAATCCTGTCCGTGATCTGACGGTGTATTCTCGCCTCCAGGCAGACATCATTTTGTGGGATTATAAGAAAAGGGAGCTAATTACGCGGCTGTCACTTCACAAAGGCAAAATCGAAGCTCTGGCCTTTTCGCCAAATGATTTGTACTTGGTATCGCTAGGAGGCCCAGATGACGGAAGGTAATGAACTAAGCCTTTTCCCCTCATCTTCCACCAAGTGTACTTGCAGAAGTGTTGAGTACCCAACCCTTCCTGATGCTCTTTGTTGTCCTGACTGTGTTTGAGTGTGCGGGTCTCAGCCCTGGCTGCCCATTAGAGTCACCTGGTGAGCTCTAAATAAAACACCACTGATGCCTGGTGCCCCCTTCACAGAGTCTGATTTGGTTAGTTTGGATTCCAGGACTAATAAAAGCTTCCCAGATAATTCTAATGTATAGCTAAATTCAAGAACCATTACTATAAAAGAAAGACATCTTGATCATGTAATGATCTTTATCAAAGACAACAGCGACATTTTTGAGCCCTTACTATGTGACAGGTGTGTGCTGAGTACTTCATTGCATTACCTCATTAAAGCACACCTGTAATCCCAGCACTTGGGAAGCTGAGGCAGCAGGATCGTGAGTTTGGAGACAGCTTGTCTCACATATTGAGAATCTGTTTCTAAATAAATAAATAACATTACAAAGAACAATCAGTGCAATACATATTCCTATGTAAATGTTAGTGAACCTAGTCTGTAGAAGAAAACTAGCACTTGATCCTTGTGTAGCATTTAATTCTTTGGTATGATTTTATATATACAACATTTTATTGTTTGGGCTTCATTGGTTTGTTACAAAAGAAGTTTGCAATAATGTATAGTTATATATTGACAGTCCTTTTAATATGTAGGAAGTCAACATTTTCATGAGTTTTCTCCTTTGGTAGTCATTTGTAAGTGGTCACACCACTTACCCCTGGGCCATTCCCATTTGACTATTTTGGATGAAAAATGTAGCCAGAAATCTACCAGCATCCTTACTTCAGCTTAAAGTAGTTATTCTGAACCTTGGGTGCACATTGGAATCACCTAAAAAGATTTTTAAAATTCTGTTGCTTTGGTCCTACCACTAGAGATTCTTGGAGCTTCGCCATTAGGCCACCCTCACCTTCACGGCTTGCCAGAGAGACTAGGTATTGGAAGAGCAAAATGGCTCCTTAACCAAGGTTAATATGGCAAAACTGTATTCTCTCTGAAATTTTAAGCTTGATTTTAGGCTAGTTTGTTTGCAGAATATTGGGAAGTACTTGAAAAGCTAATGAAAGAAAGATAAAAAAGCTTTGCTCTACTAGGAAATATAATATGCCCATCCCTGATCACTAACTGTAATGAGGAGAATGGGGTTTTACTTTTTAGTTGTGGACAACCAGGGGTCAACCCTGAACCTGTAGGAAGAGACTATTCTACCCAACTGACTTCTACCAAGACAGAAAGACACAGAAGGGAAGATGAAAACTGTAGTCAACATTGTACAGTTGCCTATACCTTTTATATTTTGTAAGCCATTTATGAAACTTTTTGTGTGAGTGTTATCATTACTAGTTATGTTGGAATGCAGCTTATACCAAGGACATCTTTATGTATGTTCACACAGACATGGATCTCATTCTTAGCAATGACTGCATTGATTTCATTACACAGATGTGTAGAATTTACTTGGCCAATTCACTATGTATGTTGATTTTCTTTCTTCTTTCTTTGTTTATTTGTTTCTTCCTCCATCTCTTCCTCCCTCCCTCCCTCCCTCCCTCCCTCCCTCCCTTCCTTCCTTCCTTCCTTCCTTCCTTCCTTCCTTTCTTTTTTTGCGCTAGGGCCTCACCGTGTGGCTCAGGCCAGTCTTAGAACTCACTATGTAGCCCACATTCAGCCTCCCAAGTGCTGAGATTTCAGGTGTGTGCCACCACACCCAAATTTGCTTTATTTATTTTTGAATTTTAAGCTTGTTTCTGAAAAATCAAACCTATACTTGATTGAGGTTTCCTTTGTTGTGGTGATGGTGTTTTTTTGTTGTTGTTCTTGTTTTTTCAGTACTGGGATTTGAACTCAGGGCCCTGTGCTTGCCAGGCAGGCACTCCACCACTTGAGCCACACTTCCAGCTCTTAACTAAAGTTTACAAAGAAACCATGTTGTGTGACTATGCAAAAATATCCAAGATTCAAAAGCATACCACCCCTCAGGTTTCCTTGCCATAAAGAGTTCCACTCTCCAGAGGCTCTTGAAAAATTTTTTTTTACAGCTTTGCTGAGGTATATTTCACATACTGTATAATTTACCCACTTGAAGTCTAGATTGAGTTGCTTTTAGTGTATTCACAGAGTTTGCAACCATCACTACAATCAATTTTGGAACATTTTCAACATCCCCAAAAGAAATCCCTTGGCCCATTGGCAGATTCCCTACCTCTCCTCTCTCCAGTCCCAGGCAGCCACCAATCTGCTTTCTGCCTCTGTAGATTTGCCTGTTCAGGACATTTCATGCAAATGCGATTATACCACATGGTATAAGTGGCCTTTGTGATGATTTCTTTCATTAAGTGTAAGGTTTTCAAGGTTCATCCATTTGTGCCATGTAAATCAGGACTTCATCTTTTACTGTCAAGCAATAATGATATTTAAGTAATACTGCATTTTCTTTATTCATGCAGCAATTGACTGACTCAGTAATTTCTACTTTTAGGGGGGCATATTCTAAGAATCTGGTACATGCTAAGAGCCTCACACATGCTAGGCACATGCTCTACCACTGAGCTATTTCCCTAACTCCAAACCAACTTTATTTTTTCTTTCTTTCAGGAGGTACTGGGGTTTGAACTCAGGGCCCCATGCTTGCCAGGCAGGCGCTCTGCCACTTGAGCCACGCCCTCACAAATCTACTTTTGAGCATTTTGCATGAAAAATGTTCACATTTCTTTTGGGTATGAGGCATTTGCTTTTAACAGCTTTTGTTTCTTGATTCATCATCTAATTATCATTTCAACCTTTTAAATGACTTACCTCTCAATTTTTCTACTTTAGATGATATCTATCAGTATCCCTCTATGAAAAAAGAATTTCTGGCTCTTCTAGCACTTCCTCTTTCTTATTCCGGGTTATACACTCATTTTAAACTACCAGAATTAGCAAAATCTAGATGTATGAAAGTTGAGAAATACAGAGAGGTGTGTTTTTACATGAACAAAATTTGTAACACTTACATTCTTTTTCTTTAAGAATTCTGATTCAAACTTTTGACGCAGCATTCCTCCCCGGCATTTTTTGATATTCTTATCCCAACACTTCAGTTCAGGACTAAACTGTGTGACTGCACTCAGAAAAAAGGAAATGTTGCCCTAAAGTAATGTTTCTCAAAGTGCTGTCCCTAGACCAGAAGCATCCAAATCACCTGGGACAGGTGAGAAAAGCCAAATCTCAGGCCCCACCCAGACCTCCTGAGTCAGATACTCTGCTAGTGGGGTCCAGCAGCCCCCTGTCTTAATAATTTTAAGTATTTTATTGTTCAAATTTATAGGGTACAGTGTGATAATTTGGTATAAGTACATACTGTATAATGATCCAATCAGAGTTGTTATCTGTCTTTATCTGATTCTGATACATGTTCAAGTTTGAGAAAATTTGCCTTATGTCATTTCTTTCTTTTTTCTGGAGCACTTCCTCAAGGAAAATTTTTACACAGATGAATAGATGAAAAACTTTCATATTTGCATGTCTTTATTTTAACATCAGACTTGATTGATGGGTTCGTTAGCTTCTAACTCATAATCATTTTCCTTCAAAGTTTTTAAAGTGTCACCTTTTTTGTCTTCAAATATCCAGTGTAGCTGAGATTTTTTGTTCCCTTGTTAGTAATCTGTTTTGTTTTTTCTTCCTAGAACCACTAAAATAGTTGCTCATTATTTTGAAAGCTCAATTTTGCATGGATTTTCCCTGCTTCTTGTCTCGGCAGTGTGGTGGTATGGAGCATAGCCAAGAGAGATGCCATCTGTGGTAGCCCTGCGGCTGGCCTCAATGTCGGGAACGCCACCACCGTGGTCTTCTCCAGGTGTCGGGATGAAATGTTTGTCACTGCTGGAAAGTAGGTCTCTGCAGCCAGAGCATGAGAACTCACGAATGACTATATCTACTTATTAGAAAACATGATCGAGCCAATTTGAGGAACATGCCTTTAATCCAGAACTAATACATTTTATCATAATTTTCATAATTTTTGTAGTCATTCCAAATTATACTATTCAGTTTAGGGCTAAGCTGAAGGTATTTTAAATGTGGTTTTTTGGAAATGTGATTCCTATTGAAAAGATTCTGCTGACCTGCTAAACTCATCTCAGGTTCCTTTGTGTTACTGCAAACATATGATTTCCAATCTGTGCTCATCAAGTAATTTGCACAATTGCACAGATTTGCTTACTGATTGATGTTTCTTACCACATGGTCTTGATTTAGGTCTCGCGAAATGATATTTTGCAATGAACAGTGCCAGGAAATTCAACTGTTTAAGCTATTAGCCATGTGACATAATTTCCAGTAGGATCAGCTCTAGCCAGCTCATGGTGACCAAGCTGAACATACAGACAGAGGCCTCTCTCTGGAATGGAATACGTTAATGTACAAATTGACAACCTGTTTGGAGTTTGAAAGAAAGGTTAAACATGCATAAAAGCATGCTTGTTTTATGTCACATGCCAGTTCAAAGGTGAGAAACTCAAAGATGTAAGGTAGAAGTGTATATTGAGTCGAACTGTCCCTTTCAACCCCTCTGTCAACTCCCATCTGTGAAAGGTGCACACTGTTGGTTACTTTTCTAGCCAGAGTAAAGAATTTGTGCTACTCTACATCTGTATCACTTCCTGTTCCCACCTTGTGACATACAGCATGCATTTATTTATTCCATGGCCAGTTAAGAGGAAGGATTCATTGAGAGGTCACAAAACTCCCTGGCAGCCATGAAAGCCAGGCTCTGCAAACAAATCATATTAGCACAGGGCTCTAATGCCAGAGCAGCTGACCATGCTCTACTCTGTCTTTTGAAGCCACTGGTAACCAGGAAGTTTTTCTCCTTCCTTCAGGTTTGCATGGTGGCTTTGTTGCATGGGATTCTTTGGCTCCTTAGCATCTGCTTATGCTGAGGCATTGGTTCATTCTAAAGTCCATAGGCAACATTTCTCCAAGAGTCAAAACTGAAATTTTGTATCAGAAAGAATTTTTCTAGGATAATCTGTATTCCAAGTCTGCTTCAATTTTCTGTGACACTAATAACTGAGAAAGTTAACATTCTTAAGTAAGGTTTCTACTATGCACCTGCATATCCTAGTTCTCTATCACAGTTCTATTTATACATTCATGTAATCCATTATATCATCCCCATGAGATGTCCTTCAAATGCCAGTATTTCAGTAGCCAAATGATATTTACCATTATGGCCATGGAAAGCTATTTTTTAAAAAATTGGGAAAATATGTTTAAAATATTTATTGAATATTTACTATGTCTGGAGATCCAAAAATTTGAACTTTATATATTTTAATCTTTTCTGCCATGAGATATTAGCTGAAGTCTGTGATGTTTATCTTGAGATTTTTATATAATTACTAATTCAGATTAATTCAAAATACAACAACCATACACCAAGTTCTATGTTAAGTGCTTAGTTTCACTTTCAGTTGCTTACTTTTATTTCTCCTTCCTTGAAGACAGGACTTTCCCTGCAAAAATATTTCCCTTAAAAAAATTTCCACACAAGCCAGGCGCCAGTGATTCACATCTACAATCCTGGCTACTCAGGAGGCAGAGATCAGGAGGATTCCGGTTCAAGGCCAGCCCTGGGCAAATAGTTCGTGAGACCCTAACTTGAAAAAACATGCAACACAAAAAAGGGACTGATTTACCACTGTGTCAAGTGGTAGAGTGCCTGCCTCACAAGCCTGAAGCCCTGAGTTCAAATCCCAATACCACCAAAATTTTTATGCCACACAATACTTTGACTTATTCCTCCTAACTGAAATATGATGTCCCTAACAAATACCTCCCACTTCCCCTTGCCCCCAGGGTCATAGTACCATTTGACTGTCGGTCCTGGGAAGTTCAACATTTTAGAGTCCACATGAATGAGATCACGCAATATTTGTATTTCTGTGCCCAGCTGATTTCACTTAATGTCATGTGTTCCAGGTTCATCCTTATTGTCACAAAAGGCAGGATTTCCTTCTTTCTTAAGACTTGATAGTATTCCTTTGCATATATATGCCACATTTTCTATGCAAAAGAAAACTTGTTTTGGAGATCCTAGGGTCTGAACTCAGGACCTTGAGCTTGCTAGGCAAGCATTCTACCACTTGAGCCACTCCCCAGACATATATACCACATTTTCTTTATTCATTCATCTTATTGACAGACACTCAGATTGTGTATTTGATAACTACATGCAATATAATATATGTGATAGATAGATAGATATACTATATATATATGAAATAACATATTGAAAACTGCTAACAGAGTATATTTTAAGTAGTCTTATTACAAAAAGATAACTACATGAGCTCAGTAATGCATATGTTTAATAACTTGACTTAACCATTCTACAATATCTAGATATCAAAACATCATGTTGTATACTGTAAATGTATACAATTTTTTTAATGAAAGTTAGTGAGCCTTGGTTTATATGCACGTTTGTTTTCAGTAGTGTACAGAGTACATACTTTCAAGTGAGAGTGCTGGGTGTGAATCCCTGCTCTGCAGTGTACAAGCTCTGTGTCCCCTCATTTGGAGAGTGAGAGATCATTAAGCCTACCTGTTAGGGTTGCTGATTGAGTGAAAGATCTTAAGTAGAGCAGTAGGCCATAAAAAATACCCTCGAAAATGTTTGAGTCTCTTCCTTCCAGCTTTTCCTTCAAGAGAATACAGAAATCAGAGCAGAGGTGAAATGACTATGAAATGGATGTCCATTTGATTGTGTGTGTGTTTTTTTAAATATAGTGGGACAATTCGAGTGTGGGAACTGGATCTCCCGAATAGAAAAATCTGGCCAACTGAATGCCAAACAGGACAGATGAAAAGAATAGTTATGAGTATTTCAGTAAGTGTTCCTTCAAGTATTATGTTGAGCAACTATTAGTATAAGTTCCCACTAACAGTCTTCATCAAGGGCTGTGTGCACATTGGGCTGAGGGTGGGAAGGTCAACTGTGGATGTCTAGAATGTTGGTGAGGAGGCCCAGGTGAAAGGGAGCCTCTCTTCTGCAGCTCTGTTGAGGAGCTGGGGAGGAGCCACCTAGATGCAGTACAAACAGGTCCCACATTAACTGGGGTCTGAGCTGTTGTCAGATATCTGCAATGCCTGCCTACCAGGAGGGAATCAGTGTAGCTAGGTTACACTCAGGGCCCACAGCACATCCCTATGCCACCAGTGTTATTTCTGCCACTGGAAATAAGGTTTCTGATAGTAAAATTCATTGTTGAAATGCATAAAGAAAAATTGTCAATGTATTTTCAATGTGGTTTCATACATTCGTACATATAACTCCATTTGCCATTGACTTATTCTCCTTGTTCAAGGCCAAGTCATTTTATGAATATGGACTTTGGAAACAATGAAATAAAGCAAATGTGTGGCCTCTTTGGAGGAACACACCTTCATCCTAGGAGCCCTTTGGAGATGTCTCAGGAGTTGGCTGGCAGGTTACGTATCAAGTGAAATGCACAGGCCAACTAGAATCTAATACTTCAGGTCCATGTCTGGCCCCAACTCTGCTCCTCCTGGAGCTGTTCTTTCCCATCTTTGAATCTGGGAAAATACAGCCATGAGCATCTTTGTAAGTCTTTCACAGGACACTCATCCCTCTCCCTGTCAGGGCCCCACAGATCACTGAGTTTCTGTTTATCCCTTCCCAGATGGCTGATGATGACAGCTTTTTCTATGTTGGCACCACAACTGGAGATATTCTGAAAATGAACCCCAGGACCAAACTGATGGCAGACACTGGACCGGTGAAGGATAAGTATAGTTTGGTGAGTAGAGACCATCAAGAATTGATCTGCCCTGCAATTTTCTTCCCTCTACCAGCAGCATAGACTTTCATCAAGAAAGAGTGCAGAAAAAGAAAATAACAAATCAGTGATGTATCCAAGGCTACTTATTAATTTGCAAAGCTCACTAGCTAGGTCTATAAGCCTTCATTTCTGGCAACTTTCAGGGCAAAGATGTTCCTAGTTAGGGAATCAGCACTATAGCTTCAAAGCACAAGAGCTATTGCTTTATGATTTAGAGACTCATTGGTTCTAGCCCAGTTGCCATATTAAGAAAAGTATGATCTCTGATTTACAAGACTACACACACACACACACACACACACACACCTTTTTTCTACTCTAATAACTAGATTTTGAGTTTTCGCTTCAGCTGACATAATAATCCTGATGAGAACTAGAAATTCCTATTTTCAGAATTTGTAACAATTCTGGTTAAAAGTCTAGTAAGCAATATTGATATTTAAACCAAATAAAAGGCCCACTATCAAGCAATGTTTTTATAGAGTAAATACTGCTATTTCTGGTACCCAGAAAGTTCTAAGGGCTGTTTCTACTAAGCTTTGAATTTGAAAGTTTGTGCTGAGTTCTATACCTGCCTATCTCATTTCTGGTAACAGAACAGATGGGTATAACTAAGCATAGATACTTTTCTACTTAGTGGAAATTCTCAAGAAATTTTTGAAATATTGTACTGTGCTCTTGGGAAAATGTCAGAATTTCCTTAATCATATAATCATTTAATGTTCAACCTTTTAAGGAGATCTGTAACAATGGAAATAAGCCATGATACAGATAGAGAAGTATTTAGAAACAATTATACAGGAGATCAAAGTGTAGCATAGTTCAAAGTCTTTCAAATTATTTTGGGGAAATAGATTCTAATATATTGAGCAAGTAAAAGCAAAGCAGGTCAGATTAAAGAAAGGCAACCTCGAGTCCTATCAGGTCCAACTCTTGAGATACCTCGAAGGGCTCCATAAGACACGACTTGAAAACTACTGATCTACATTTTTTTGGCCCTCCCAGCACTTGGGAAGTAAGTGCCTTTCCAGAGAAGATGCTGGCTGTTTTAGGATTCCTCAAACCTTATATTTAGTCTTCTATCAATGCTCTAAGTTCTGACCATTCAGTTTTGACGGTCAATCCCACAATGATTCCAAAACACCTTCGACCTGGGTAGAAAAAAAAATGATGCTTGTGGATTGAAGGTATGGGAGGTGCCATTGAAGAAGGTTGGTTTCAATGTCAAGTGACCTTGGGAAATTACCTCTTTTGAAACTCTACTGAAGTGTTTGCTTTATGGTTAGAAAGGCAAAGAATTAGAATGGTTTAAAATTGAGCTACTAGTAATACAGCACCCAATTTAAGAAGAAACTAATAATTGTAATAGTAAAAAGCAAGCTGGGGACTGAGGCATGGCTCAAGTGGTAGAGTGCCTGCCTAGCAAGCCTGAGGCCTGAGTTCAATCCCCAATAGGGCCAAAACAAACAAACAAAAACAGGCTGTGTGCTAGTGGTTCACGCCTATAATCCCAGCTACTTGGAAGACTGAGGTTGAAAGCATCATGGTTCTAGGCCAGCCTGGGTGTAAAATTCATGGGTCTCTCCTATCTCAATCAATAGCTGGGCACAGTGGCCATCCTAGCATCCCATCTACAAAGGGAAGCATAAACTAGGAGGATCAAGGTCTAGGTCAGCCATCGGGTGTAAAGTGAGACCCTATCTCAAAAATAGCTAGAGCAAAGGTGGTAGAGGCATGCTTCAAGCTATAGAGCACCTGTCAAGCAAAGGTGAAGCCCTGAGTTCAAACCAAACCAAATCAACCAAACAAACAAACAAAAAAATGCAGTATCTTTCATAAGATCTATATAAGAAACTGCAAAGCTCTAACAAAAGAAATCAAAGAATAAAAGAAATCAAAGAATGAATGGAGAAATATTCCACGTTTGTGGATAGGAAGACTCGACACAGTCTAGATGTCAGTTCTTCCAACAGGATTTATAGATACAGTTATTTGGTGGATATTGACAAGCTGATTCTAATGTTCATATACAAAGGCAAAAAACCTATAATAGCCAATGCAATACTGAAGAAGAATAAGGTTGGAGGAGTGACACTACCCAACTTCAAGGTTTACTGGAAAGCTACGGTAAACAAGACAGTGTGATTTGTGAAAGAATAGATCAATGCAACAGAAGAGAGATCCCAGAAGTAGACCTGCATAAGAATACTCACCTGATCCTTGACAGAGGAGCAAAGGTAACACAATGGAGGAAAAAGGCAGTTTTTTCAACAAATGATGCTTGAACAAGTGGGCATCCACATACTCCCTCCTCCACCACAAAAACCAAAACAAAACAGAAAAACCAAATGAATCTAGACACAGACCTTATGTCCTTCACAAAATTAACTCAAAATGGATCACAGACCAAAATATAAAGCATAAAATTCCTAGAAGATAACCTAGGAGAAAATCTAGATGACCCAATGTTTAGTGATCACTTTTTACACTAGGACACAATCCTTGAAAAAATTTACAAACAGAACTTTGTGAAAAGTAAAATTGTGAGCTCTGCAAAAGGAACTGTCAAGAGAATGAAGTGAAGCCACAGAGCGGGAGAATATATTTGCAAAAGACATATCTGTTAATGCATACAATTCCGGTTCCTTCTTTTACAATCATGAACCTCAGTGTCTCTTGTCAGACATAGACAAATGGCCTTTGAGCCAGAACAGGCAAAACTCAACTTAAAAGTAACTTGAAAGGACATATTTGTTTTATAATACAAGGTTGATTAAGACACAAATCTATTAATTTTTATTGATTATTATTGAATGTTTAGAATCAAGTATTGATCATTGTCTCAGTTCATTTTGTATGGCTTTGACAGAATATCAGAGACTAGGTAGTCAATCTACAAACAACAAAAGCCTTTTTAGCTCATGGTTCTGGAGGTTGGAAAGTCCAGAGAGTGGGCACAGGCATCTGGCAAGGGACAAGATGATTTATCATTCCATGGGGGAAGGTAGAAGAGCAAGACAAAGTTAAATTTATTGTTATTATTATCAATTATTATTATTGAGACAGGGTCTTGCTATGTTGCCCAGGCTGGTCCTGAACTGAGCTCAAGTGATCCTCCTGCCTTAGCCTCCCCAGTGTCTGGAGGTGTAGTAGGGGGCACGCCACTGTGCCTGGTCAGTGCACACACTGGATAACCAACTCACACCTTGGTAACTTTGATGCCCTCATGAGACATGAGGGCAGAACCTTCATGATCTAATCATCTCTCACAGGCCCCACCTCCCAACACTGTTGCATTGGGGACTAGGGTTCCAACACATGAACTTCAAGGGACACGTTGCAACCATAGTGGTCATACACATTTTAAAATGAGAACTTCACAGTGGACCCTAAGCTGGCCACCATACATCTCCAAGCTTAGAAGGTTGTGTTGAATTTTTAATGTGTTTCTAACTATTGATAAAGATGATCTTACACACTTTAACTCAGAAAACATAGGCACCAAAAAGTGAGGGGTCTTCTGTGCTATCTTTGGATGGCTAATACGGTCTGTTTGCCTTTATTAGAATTAAGTTTTGGTGGAAACTTAAAGACTGGCATTGCAAAGACTGTGCTTATGCTACCCTGCTCTAACTGAACGTAAGTGTATATAAAAGTGCTAATAGTTTCTATATTCAAAATGCACAGGTGGCTGGGTGCAGTGGCTCATTTCTGTAATCCATTTACTTGGGAGATAGGGGTCAGGAAGATCATGGTTTGAGGCTGGCCCAGACAAAAAAATTAGCAAGACTGTATCTCAACAAACAAGCCAGGTGTGGTGATGCACACCTGTAATCAGATGATGCACACCTGTAATCCCAGCTACAAAAGAGGACCATAGTTGTTCAAGGCTGGCCTGGGCAAAAAGTGTGAGACCCTATCTGAAAAATGACTGAAAGCAAGAAGTTCTGGGGAAGTGGCTCAAGTGGTGGAACACTTGCCTGGCAAGCATGAGGCCCTGAGTTCAAACCCCAGTTCCTCCAAAACCCCCAACAAAACCACACGGGTGATTTTAGGGAGGAGGCATGCTGAAGCGTGTCCACTCCTTGCAGAACCGGCCCTCTTGTGTTACTTCTGAACACAAATGCTTGTTGTTGGCATTGGGGTACATTGTTGTTGGGGGTACCCTGTGGCTGATACCTTGGTGAACATCACCAAACAACCTTGGCAGGCTCCCTGTGTCAGGTATTGCATTAGTTCTTTTTTTTTTTTTTTTTTCTTTTTCTGGGTTTTTTTTTTTTTCTGGCAGTACTGGGGTTTGAATTCAGGGCCTTGCACTTGCTAGGCAGATGCTGTACCATTTGACCCAAACCCCTAGTCCTTTTGCTTTAGGTATTTTTCAGATAGGGTCTTGTGTTTTTGCTGGGGGGCAGCGGGGGGTGGGTACCCTTGGACTGTGATATGCCTCTCATGTAGCTGGGATTATAGGCATGTGCCACTGCACTAATTCTTAATGGCAAGACTATCTGGCCTTTTCACAGTACTGTTTCTCCCTCTAGGGAGTGTCAGCTATCAGGTGCCTGAAGATGGGGGGGTTACTGTTGGGCTCTGGAGCCGGATTGCTGGTCTTCTGTAAAAGCCCCAGCTACAAACCCATCAAGTAAGTTCTGGGCCCCCCGAGAGGGAGGGTCACCTAGAGCCAACACTGAGAATGATATTGGCAGAGCAATATTTGATTAAAGAATTTCACCTTGCTTTTAAAATATGTAGTTGGAGTCACAATAGAGAGTGGCTTCTGTGCCAATGAAAAGGCTTATGTTGAATCAAACCAAAGTAGTCCACTATTACCCAGAGGGACAGTGCTCTTTAATAAACACGTACGCTTTTATTTAACTCAACACATTGAGACACCACAAAGGAAATATGCTATAACCCCCCAAGCCCCCAAATTCTAAACTTTGAAACTGGTATGCAATGGGTGCTTAACACATGCAATGCTCTGTGCTAGTAGTTAATGCATTTGAATACAAACGGCCAGTGATTACCAGCTGTTTCCCCATGCCAGATACTATACCATATAGTTTTCATGGTCATCTAATTGAAATAAACATCAATAACAACATAGACATTTTCATTATTGAGTATTTATCCAGCACCTCTGCCATCTAAACCAATAAGCTAGATACTATTAGAAAAACAAGATATAGTCTTTGTCCTTCCAGAACTTACAGTCTAGTTTGGAGATAAGGTATAAATACATGAAAAAGGTCACTGTATGATCAGATAGTATATATACACAAACCTTATGGTCCAGGTAAAGTAAAAATATATCAGATGTTATAGAGAAGATCTGAGAAGGAAATGGTCTTCCCAGAATGCAGAGATCAGGGAAGAGGAGGCCAGACTTGAACTCAGCGTCAACACAAGCCAGATATACCTAGACATACTCCTGCGTTCAGCCTCCAAAAGGTCCCAGGGAGCCTCGGGCAGTTGCTTATCACTGTGGAAATGAAGACTGGCTGTCTTCATTCAAAGGAATCTGGGTGCCAGGCACATTCTGGGCACCTTGAATACCTCAACAAATAAAGAAAAAAAAAGAATGGAAAGGATTACTGCCTTCACCAACCTTCCATTCTAGCAGGAGGGAAAAGATAGCAAACGATGAACAAAATAAGCAATGACAGTACATGCAATAGTCCCCTCTTATCTTCAGGAGATAAGCTCCAAGACCCCCCTAGCAGAGGATCCCCGAAACCACAAATAGTACTGAACCCTACCTGTACTGTTTTCCTATACATATGTTTATGGTAAAATTTAGTCTATAGATTTGATGTGATAAGAGATTAACAACAAATTCACAGCAAAACTAAAACAAATTTCTTTTTCCTTCTTTATAATTTCATGGATTTCTATTTTCAGACTTCTATTGACCAGTTTCTAACACCTCAGAAAGGAAAACCAGGGATGGGTGACTATGGTAATATTAAACGGTGATAAGCACAGTGGAGAAAAGGGAAGGAGGAGAAAGAGTAAGGGAATGGGGATTGAAGAGAAGGAGGCACAGGGTGCAATTTTATTTTATTTTTATTATATTATTGTTATATTGAGGGTATATTGTGACATTTACAGAAGTGCTTACAATATATTTTAGTTAAATTACCCCCTCCATCATTCTCCTTTACTCCTGCAATTTGGAATTCGGTGGTCACAACAGATCTTATTAAGAATATGTTTGGATGGATTTTGTGTTTGTGTGAAAGAGAATGTTGGAGGGAGGGAGGCAACTAAAGAATAATGTTACGTAGACTCTGAATACATGAATTGAATCTAGTAAGTTAACCCTTCAGTTATTGTTGCTGCTTTGGCTATGGTGCGGATTGGACTCAGGGCCTTGTGTTTGCTAAGCAAGTGCTCTACCACTTGAGACATGCCTCCAGCCCTTTTGCTATAGTCTATTTTCAGGTAAGGTCTCTTACTTTTGCCTGGGCAGGCCTCAGACCCTTCTCCTCTACCTCTATGTTTTGAGTAGCTGGCACTATATACAGTCTACCATGCTTGTCAACCCTCTAGATTTTTTAACCCCTCATTTTTAATATGAAAATACTCCCATTGTGATAAAGACAATTCGACTCAAAGCAATTATCATAAGGCTTATGTTTCTATAATAACCCTGTGTGACAATACAGGTTCAAATTGGATATAATAATTTCGGCCTTCTCAGATTTTTGTAGTTTGATAAAGCAGCTCATAGGAGAAGTCCTGGAAACTAAAAGGAAAGGAAAATTGTGTAATCAAAACAGACTGCTGCCATTCCTCCGTCTCTGACCTCTCCCCTTTCTCCCTGAACTTGTCTTCTAGGGTCTCAGATGCAACAGCCAATATCTCTTAGCTCCCTCTGTGGGCTAGTGCACATTAGCTCTGGTATCTCTAATCTTCCCCACAACCCTGTAAAGGAGGAATTATTCTCTGGCCAAGTAAACTGAGGCCAAAGGGTTCTGTCCAGAGTCAAGACCTTTAGCTAGCAAGAAGCTGGGGTATGACCATGGTTTTCCTTTCTTTGTGTACCACTTGTGCTCTACCAACAAGTGAGTCTTTCCAGAACATTGCATTTCCCATGCCGGCTCCTCACACAAGAACTCGCACTGAATTATTCTTCTCCTTCTCCTTCTTTGTGGTACCGGGGATTGAACTCAAGGTCTCTTATGCTAGGCAAGGGCTTTATCAGTTCAACCCTTCTGTTTGTATTTGTTTTTGAGATAGGGTCTCCCCAACTTTGTCTGGGCTGGCCTGGAATTTGAGATCCTCTGGCCTCTGCCTCTTGAACAGCTGCGATTACAGGCCTGAGCTACCAAACCTAGCTTTACCCCCACTGAATTTCTGTTAACCAAGTGAAATCAGCTTCAGAGCAGTGTTGGGACCCTAGGGTCCCATTCATTTACACATTCATCTTTGTTTTAAGTTCATACTTATTAAACAGGGTAGGGGAGGAGGGAGAGATCTGAAACAGGAAGAGGAGAAAATAATCTCTGTAGCTTTGGGCAGACACCCACTACTAACATGTTTTTATCTTTCCAGTGCTGGGATTGAATCCAGGACTGTACACATTCTAGGCAAACAATGAGCTACATTTTCAGCCCCAAAATTTCTTGTCTTTGATATTCATACAAATTTTGAAATAATTGTCTTATTTTATGTATATAATTTTGCATGCTGATTTTTTTACTTCCTGTAAGCATCATATATATATATTTAATATTACTATATACTATTTTTATTGTGATGATAATATATATATTACAGAATCTTTTAAACATACATCTGTGAATAACATTTTAATGACCAGGCAAATATTCTATGATGTTGCTATTCCATAGAAGATGTAACCATTCCTTTACAAATGGTCATTTAGCTTGTTTCCAACTTTTCCCTCTTTAAGATAAGGTTATGATAGCATCCTTTGACATAAAGGACTTTCCCCTTGGCCTTAGGGCTGTTTTCAGAAATGAAACTTATAAACCCTGGATAGTTGCCCTCTATCCAAATCCTGCTAATCCTGTACACCCCATTTCAGACCATATCTCCCTGGTGGATCTTCTCCGACTGTTTTATACTAGGCTGGTCTCCTTGGCTGGCCATATTACACAGCATTGTGAATACCTGCCCTTTCCAAATCACACACCACCTGATTTGCATACTCTGATGTTTCGGATAGGTCATAAATATTTGGTGTTGAGTGAATCACTCTTCCTTTTTGCTTCTCCTTAAAGGAAAATTCAATTACAAGGTGGTGTTACTTCCATCACACTTCGAGGAGAAGGACACCAGTTCTTTGTAGGAACAGAAGAGTCACATATCTACCGTGTCAACTTTACGGATTTCAAAGAGACTCTTGTTGCGACCTGTCACTTTGAAGCAGTCCAGGACATTGTCTTTCCATTGTAAGTAGAAGAGAAGGGACATAAGAGTGCCGAGATCTGGTGCAGCATACAAAGGAGTTTAATTTTATCACTATGTTTTCAATATCGCTTAGTATAATTTTTTCTCCTTAAAATGTTCTAATGTAGTGAATTATCTGAATGGATTTTCTGTTGTCTTCACCATGCAGTTACATTAATTTTTCCCTAATTCAAATCTGGGGTTCTTTAGAATGCTAACTTTCAAATAAGCCCATTATGGAAAAGGTATACCTAGAAAAACTTTTCTGTGTTTTCCCAGTGCCATCTGGAAAAAGCTTAATAATGCCCTTTTTTTCTGACTTCTTTTTTTGGTAGTACTGAGGTTTGAACTCAGGGCCCTGTGCTTGCTAGGCAGGTGCTCTACCATTGGATCCACGCCTCCAGCCATAAAATTGGCAACCACTGTTTCCAGACAATTTCTGGTGGCCAGTTGTCAAGTTTCTTTCCAGTCATTTTTTGGTACCTCTTGGGGTCTTTCATATTTGACAGACTTTATTGGTGTTGGACATGAGGTCTTCTGAATCTAATGGCTTTATTTCTTCATAAGTCCCACTCAAGACAAGTGCAACAAATATCCACCAACAGTTTTGATATAAAAAAGAACATCTGTCATAGTGTGATACTACTCGATTTTGAAACATACTTTGTCTTTGGTGAGATCCATTTCATGAATGTGGTTACTTTCTCCTTTGAACTTCCTCAGTGTTTAGAAAACTCAAAATCATTCTTCTACAGATCAGCAAGACTTCCTTCCTTCCTTCCTTCCTTCCTTCCTTCCTTCCTTCCTTCCTTCCTTCCTTCCTTCCTTCCTTCCTTCCTTCTTCCTTTCCTCCTTCCTTCCTCCTTCCTTCTTTCCTTCCTTCCCTCCCTCCTTCCTTCCTTCTTCCCCCCTCCTTCCCTTTTTCCCTTTCTTCTATCCTCCTTCCCCCCGCCTCCTTCTTTTCTCTCTTTCCTCCCCTCCCTCTCTTCTCCCTTTTTTGAACTTTTTAAGCAGCTAGTCCTCATCCTAATTTTAACTCTGAGCCCCCAAACTAAATGTGTAGAAGGGATCCACTTTTTTTTCTATTAATTCCTAGGTGAGTAGATCTTAAAATAAGAGAGGGATGTTGTTATTCTTTGAAATGTGTTTGTGATGAAATGGAGACATTGGTTGAGAAGATTTAAAGGTTAGCTTTAGTCTCCATAGAGACTAACTGGAAATTTATTCTTATAAATTAGTTTACTGCATACCCCAATATTACTCCTTTCTCTTATCAAAGTTCAAATGATCTGTGATCTTTTGACATTGAAACTTTACTGTATATTTATGGGTTGCCTTTTTTTCAGCCTGACAGACCAGTTATGCTGGTATACTCATCTTTGTCCATAATCTTATATTTTCTCATAAGTAACTAAACAAAGAAAGGTTTTGGGTTACCTGAGAACATTAATTCTATCATCATGTCGTGTTCTCCTGTGAAATTTTAATACAATTTTCTACATTACAGGAAAGGCTTTCCTCTTTCAATGTAAATTTTCCATGGATGTATTTATTTGAAGAAATGTTACTTATCAGGTGTGTGTACTTCTCCAGTTACACACATCAAATGTGTATGTTTGTGTCAATCATACACAAGTGTTTTTTTAAAAAAGCAGTGTGACTGTCCCTCCAGTTTACAAGACTTAGATTTCAGTGACTTTTCTTTTTGTGCAACTTAGTCCTAACCATTCCTATAAGGGAAAACACTGCAGAAGATTTCCCACAGGTGATTTGAGGTCATCGAATACCACTGCACACAAGAAATCTCCAAGACTATCAAGCCTTCAGGTTATTGGTATCTAAAAGGCATCCTGCTCTAAATCCCAACACATTTTGGTGTCGAATATGCATCTAACATTTTATGCCGTTTATGGCTGTATCTCTTATTTCTCAATGCTTCTTTGCAGTGGCACTGCTGAGCTGTTCGCCACGTGTGCCAAGGAAGACATCAGGGTGTGGCACACAATGTCCAGCAGGGAGCTGCTGCGGATCACTGTGCCCAACATGACCTGCCATGGCATTGATTTCATGAGAGATGGCAAGAGCATCATTTCAGGTAATGTCCACTGGCCAAGATTTGGTCCCAGGCTTTGCCTGTGGGTTTTTAAATTTTTTTATTAGCATGTAATATTTGTACAGGAAGATGCATTGTGATGTTTATATGTGTGCTTACAATATATCTTAGTTAGATTTACCACCTCCATCATTCTCCCTCCCCTCTTTCTTAGCACAATTTTGACAGGTTTCCTTCTTCTGTTTTTCACATATGAACACAAAATACATCCAGCATATTCACTCTCATTCACCCTTTCCTTGTGCCCTCCCTCCTCTCACTGGTACCCACCCCCCAAAAAAGACTTGTTTTACCCTTCAGTCCTTCATTAAAAAATGTAGATAGATAGATAGTACAAGGAGTTTCACCTTGGCATTTCAGAGATGTGTATATTATGCTTTAATTGGATTAATTGCCCATTAGTTACTCTTTCTCTATTCTCTATCATCACACTCCCCTATTATTCAACAGCTTACAGTGAATTACATATTATACCCATGTATAGATGGATTGTTTCAATATTTTACATTGTTTAACATTTTCTTTCCCTCTCCCACCTCCCGTGGTCCTCTCAGACCGGCCACTAATACAATTTTGTTTGCTCTCTTGTTCACACGATTAGATATGTGTTTGTGTGTACATTTAACTTATAGGTCTAGCGTCCACATATGAGGGAAAACACATGATCTTTGACTTTTTTCCCTTTTTTAAATTATCATATTCTTGTACTGGGGGTACAGTGTGACATTTACAAAAATTCTTACAATATATCTATTCATCATTCTCCGCCCCCAGACCTTTGACTTTTTGAGCCTGGCTTACTTTGCTTAATATGATTGTTCCCTAGTTCTGCCATTTGCCTTCTGCCTGTGTCAATCTCATTCTCTCTCTCTCTCTTTTTGGCAGCACTGGGGTTTGAACTCAGGGCCTCACCTTTCTAAGCAAGTGTTCTTACGGCTTGAGCTACTTCACCAGCCCTCTCATTCTCCACTAGCCTCTACATGTGGATAGCCTCAGACAGCCTCTTCCTGTCTACCTGCTTTGTTTTAGTCTAGGCCCTGTTTTAGAGTTCCTTCTAGTTGGGAGATTTTATGAGCTAGAAAAAACCAAATAAGCAATTTCTCTTCTCTCAAATTCCTATATATAGCATGGATCTTTTGCTGAGTAGAGAAATTTACTAATTCAATTTTGAGACAGATTTGAGGCCTTAATGAGCACAGGACCCTTGTGCTAGAACGCTTTCTGCTGTATGAGAGATAAAAACCTGACATAAACCTGACATTTCAGGGGGAATTTTTTTTGAGAACTCAATTTATGCCAAAGTATTTTAACATAAATTATAGATACCATGATATTCTGCCTCTAAATACTTCAGTATACATCTCTAAAAATATTTGCCTATAAAACAGTCATTTCTTAATATAATCTTGTGTTTAATCTGTATCAAATTTCCCAGTGGTCAAAAAATAAATTTATTGGTCACATCAATGAAAAGCCATACAAATCTTTAGGTGCAGCTATTAAAATGGTGACATCAGGAACCCATTTCATCCCTTCTTTTCTTGGCTCTGCTTACTCCTTGTTGATTGCCCTCTGCCCCACCAGGTACCACCAGGTACCCTTAGAACTTACAAATCCCTTAGAGCTTGCAAATCCTCAGGTTTAGAAATCTTGGAGTCATCCCTGCCTCTGCTTTTTCTTTTAAACCCACATCCATGTGCCCCGTTGGATCCCAGTTTGATATAGAGCCCAGGTTCCATTACTTGTCTTCATTTCCACCCTTGTCTTAGCCTGTTCTCATTGTCTCCATCACCCCAATGTCTTCTTACCAGGGCTCTCCACTTCTGCTCTCACCATCACTCTCCTCTCCCAGTCTATTCTCAACCCAGAGCTGGAAATCTTTCTTAAAATGTCAAGTCAGGTCATGCCATTTATAGGGCTTAAAAGTTTTTTGTCCTCTGATAGTCAGTCCCAGAAATCACCTTAGGGCCTTGCATACTCTCTGTCCTCCCTTCTCCATCTTCTTAGCTCTGACTTCTCTCCTTCCCTTATTGTGAACCCCCTCCAGCCACATTTGCTTCTTTTCTGTCCCTCAAACTTACTGGGCACAGGGCTTTTGCTCTAGCTGTTTTGCCTGCCTGGTGCTCTTCCCCCCGGGTACCCTGATAGCTTCTTCCCTCATCATCTTCTTCAAGTCTTTGCTGGAAGGGGATCTACCTTGAACATCCTATTTAAAATTGCTAAGGTCAAGAGGCAACGAACACTAAAGCTGATTGGAAGGTGCCAGTCATGAAGACCTGGGGGGAAAGCAGTCCAGATAGTGGGAACATCAAATGCAAAAGCCTTGAGGTGGGAAATCACTTGGCAAATTTATATAGCATGAGGGTCAGGAGTCTGGGGCTTAATGACTATTCTTAGGGTGGGAGTTCAGGGACAGTGATAGTAGGGGAGGTTGAAGAGGTAGGTAGGGGGTAGATACTAGTTACTGTGCAGGATGAAGAGTTGAATTTTAACTCTAGGTGCAATGGAAAAAGCTTAAGTTCTTGATCAGGAAGGTGACACGGTTTTTTAAAGTTCATCCTAGCCCCTGTGTAAATGAGTGATTATAAGCAGGAATGGAGAGATAGGAAGGGACTGTTAAAGTTTGGGTACGATGGTACCAGTGAGGGGTTGAGAAGTGATCAGATTCTAGAGATTTTTAGCAGTAGAGCTGATGGGTCTTCTGGAGGACTGGATGTCCAGCTGGGTTGGTAGGATAGGAGGGAGAGGAATCAAGATGGCTATGAGGCTCTTGGCCTAAGTACTGAATGGTGGTAACATTTATGGGGGTGGGAAAGTTGTGAGATGAGAGAAGGAGCATCAAATTTAAAGGTGGGGGATGGGAAGCCAGTAAGTATTTGGAATTGTTGAATGATGCAACAGGTAAATCAAGTCGCTGGTTGAGTGTACAGGTCTATAGCTTGTGGAGAAGTGGGAACTGGCTTCTCTCTTCCTCCCTCCGTCCCCACCCTCCCTCACTTGGCATGGTATGCACCTCTAGGCAGTTCCAACCAAGATAAACCCCATCTTCCCCTCTCCAAAGGTGTGATCGGTTTGGGGAGTCAGGGGAAAGGGACACAGGTACTGGACTGGTGGGGTTGGCCTGGCCACCACTACCGCTTCTCCCAATCCTGACTCATTGATGATTGAGGAGAGCACCAGTCTGCAGAGAGGGGCTGAGTATACTAACCCTGTCTGCCTTTTGTCTCCTTTCATGCCAGCATGGAACGACGGCAAAATCCGAGCCTTTGCCCCTGAGACAGGCCGACTGATGTATGCCATTAACAGTGCTCACAGGATCGGAGTGACCGCCATTGCTACCACCAGTGACTGTAAAAGGGTCATCAGTGGCGGTGGGGAAGGGGAGGTATTGCTCTTGAAAACAGAATATTTTCTTTTAAAAAAATTCAAGTTAGAACAAATTCATAGGAGACCATATATATATATTTTTAATATGCACCTGTACTAGGATTCAGGCAGGGCCAAATCAAGATTGTGATGAAACTCTAAAGTATATTCTAAATAAAAGTTCTAATGTTTTAATAGACATATATACACACTTGTTCACAGAAAGGACATTTAAGATGTAGACATGAAAACACTCTGACTGGAATCAAGTAGTGAATCCAAGTTACTGTTTTGCCAGAGTTGTGACATGCTTGTTCTTTTACTCATTGAATAATTGTATAAGTTGTGTCTTTTAAAGCAGATGATATTTTCAGAATCAAGCCTTAACACATCAGATGTTTTTGTCATTATTTTGAAATGATTACCCTCAACTTTTCCTGTCATCATTTCAAGGAACATCATTTCAAAACATCGTTCGTTCACATGTTTATTTTGGGGTCTCTCCTTCCCTATATCCCAGCTTTTTTTCTTAATTACTCAAAGCCATCTTCTTGTCTACATGGGACATTCTCCTTTTCCTTTCCTTTCTTTTTTCAGCTATCCTAGAAGGAATTTATCAGGGAGAAGAAAGACTCAGCAGCTTGAGGGAGCCTTTAGTATTGTTTAGGCAATGCAGGTGAATTACTGGGTTCATATTTCCCTTCTTCCTCTTGTTGTGTGACCTGCGCACACACTGTGGTGCTATAGCCTCTCTGAGTCTCAGTTTCCTGAAGAATAAAGAGACAATAACAATACTACTATTAATGAGACATTAAGGCCCTTTAGTTTTTATACTAAGTCTTTAAAATCTGGTGTGTGCATTTCACATCCAGGGCCCCTTCCATGTGACCAGTCGTAGGTCATGCTCCACTCCTCTCTGCCTTTCATTGCTCTCATGGCTTTAATCCATTCCCTTATCACAGCTGCCCACTCCATTTGACATCCTCAGCAACCTTCTTTGTTCCCTCAGACTTTGGGGCATCTGCCTTGCTAATGCCCAAATTTGACCTGGACCAGATCATCTGAAATCTGGGAGTCTCCTTACAAATGCATTGCTCGTGGCTTACTCAGCAATCTTTTCATAGTCCCAGTCAACTCCCCCTCCTTTCTTCCCCACTCAGCTATTGCAGAGCTCTCCTTCCTAAAAACATATTCAAGGCCTTTGTAAGTTTCAGACCAGAGCTGCTGATCAGCAGGTGCGTGCTAAAGGAAAGCAGTAGGTGCTAAAAATATTCAGCACTACCATTTTTAATGGTTAATGACTTTGTCTGACACATATTCCAACACAGGCATGGTGGTTCATCCCTGTAATATCAGCTACTTGGGAAGTAGAGGCAGGAGAATCACAAATTCAAAAGACCAGCCCAGGCAAAAAGGTAGCAAGACCCTGTCTTAAAAAAATGAAATGAAAACCAAAAAACTGGGTTTTTTGGTGGAGCACTTGCCTAGCAGGCCCAAGGCCATGGGTTCATCTGTAGCACTGAAAAACAAAAAACCCCAAATGCCCCAACCTCACTAACCTATCCCCTTTCCCTAAGTGTACCCCAAACTCCCTACAATCTCACAACAACTAAAGGGTTAATGCCTGGTACATCCAAAGCACTTCTAAGATTCTGGCTCCAATCCTGGAGCTGTTTGGTGGATACCCACCCATTACTGGTTAAATATTTTTAACAAAATCCCTGCTGAAGATTAAATACAAGCCTCACATGTAGGGGGCTCTTAAGATGGATTTGGCTGGGGCATGCAGCTCAGGGGTAGAGTGCATGCTCAGAATGTGCAAGGTCCTAGTTTTATCTCCCACATCCTCCCCACCCGAAAAAAATGTGAAAAGAAATTTGTTTTCTTTGACACTAGTCATTATCCAACCCCATAGTATAAGAAATTACTTGGACACCATAGGAAAAAACATGGCCCAGCTTATTTGGGATAATCTGATATTTCCTCATTGTCTTTACTCTGACGATGTAAAAAGTTGTAAATGCTTTCCTTACTCTACTTAAGGCTGTTTCTCTCTTATTGGGTACAAATAAGTCTGGTCTATTATAATGTATCATATTTATTACAATACCAGATTTTAATCTGAACCACTGCACTTTCAGTGGCCTGGACTCCTTTAGCAGAATAGTTTCTGCTCTTCTTATTTTTCGAAAATCTGATATATTCATTTTAAGAAGGTATACACATCTGATTACATTCCTATGTTTTCTGGTGTGGTTCTAACACAGCCTTTATCCACTAAATGACATACTATGATAACTAAATAGGTTTCCTTTTATTTATTCTGTTTGTAAATTACAATCAGGGCATCATCTGGACTGGTAATTTTGTGAGTAGGTAGTTGACTTACCCATGAATTTCATTTCAGGAGAATAAACAGGCATTAGAAAATATTTGCAATAAAAAATGGACATTGGCTTTCAGGAAGTGGAGAACGATTGGTTTTAAATGGTTGAAAATAAACAGCTGATGTGGAAGTTTAAGTGTGGCTCTGGGTACCCAAGAAATTTCATGATGGCACCAGAAATTTGAGAGCAATGCCAAGCAGAAATGAGCAGACAGATTCTTTCACTAGGTTTGGCTTTGCATTATTGATTTTCATAACGGGCGTCTCAGCCTGAGGGCAGAAGCAGGTTCAAGGGCATTGGTAGCATTTCCTGAGCTCCACAGAACAGGATTCCATCTTGTACATGCCATCTTTCCCATTCAACATGGCATTCCCACCTCACCCACCTGTGATGAAAACGGAATTTTAAAAAGTTGCACACAGCAGAGGTGAATACGCTCTTGGATTTTTTTTTTTTTTCTGATCTCTTCCAAGTCCCAAGGTTATGTTAAGAGCATGTGCTCTGTGGCTTCCAGGTGAGGGTGTGGCAGATAGGCGGCCAGACCCAGAAGCTGGAGGAGGCCCTCAAGGAACACAAGTCCTCTGTGTCCTGCATCAGGGTGAAGAGGAACAATGAGGAGTGTGTCACTGCCAGCACAGATGGGACTTGCATCATTTGGGACCTTGTGTAGGTACCTGGGATGACTAGGGAGGATGACACGGCATTTTATTTAACCTGAGCAGAGATTCCAAAGGAGGGTGGCAATCTTATTTAAGGCAACAGTAAAGATATGTTCTTCAGACGCCCTTAGTCTCCATTGCTGTCCAGGGTTTACAGATGCTAACGGGAAGGGTAGAGTCTTTAGGAAGAACTGAATATCAGAAATTTCTGGGCAGATGGGGAGCACTGAGAGAAGGATGATTTAACTTGCACTAATTCAGCTGTTTTGTGTGTGTGTGTGTGTGTGTGTGTGTGTGTGGCACTGGGGTTTGAACTCAGGGCCTCATGCTTGCAAGGCAAGCACTCTTACTGCTTGAGCTACCCTGCCAGCCCTATTTCAACTCTAAATATTGCAAATGAAAGGGAGCAAGGCAGTTCCTCTCGGCATCTTGCTCAGTCACATGAAGCCCAGAAGGAGCCTGCCAAGGGAGGAAAGGATGGGAGAGGCATAAATTTGTCCTTCCCTTCTGTTGGGCCCTTGTGCTGTGAGCACACCATGGTCCATAGCGTGTGTGGACTAAGTAGACCAAAGCATGTGTACTCGTGGCAAGAGTAATTCAGAAAATTTTCGAAGGAGATTTTTTGAATTTTGGGCTATAAACATTTTTACTGTGTGTTTTTATTTTGGTATCAGACCCTGTGTCTCCAACCCCTCCTCCCACTCATCGATACCCCTCTGCCATTCCCAGGATGCACTGCTTCTGTATAACTGTATGAGAGAGATTGAAATAAGAACAAAGATGGGAGAATGGAGATAGGTTTGGTCAAGTAACATAAAATATTCTTTTTTTCTTTTAATTTTTTTTTTTTGTGTGTGTAATGGGATACTACTCAGAGTCTCATGCTTGCAAGGCAGACACTCTACTACTTGACCACTCTGCCAGCCCTTCTTTTTCCTTTTGATACGAGGTCTCAGTATTTTGCCCAGGCTGGTCTCGAACTTGGGTACTTGAGGCTACAGGCATGTGCTACCATGCCTGACTGAAATATTCTTGATTGGAGAGAAGGGAATGAGGACTGAAGGCAAAGGCTGAGCACTTTTAATTTAATACATGAAAAAGCAGAAGGTAAAGCCATCCTCTGCCTTCTAGCTCTGTCTCATCTTGGATTCCCAATCACCTGAAGATCTGTCAAAATGTAGATTGGTGAGAAGGGACTGTGTAAAGAGTGCATTTTTTGGTTTTCTTAAGCCAGGAGAGCATGGCCTGTGAGATGGCCACCCAGCATAATCACCTAAGGAAAGAAGTGATATTTCCATTTTTTCTTGGTATGGGTTGAGCACCACTAATCTAAACATCCAAAATCTGAAATCCGAAACTTATCAAAAGTCATCATTTAAAAACTTTCACATTTTAGAGCATTTTAGATTTCAGATTAGGAGATACTTAGTCCATAAAGTCTATGCAGTATTACAAAACCACTCAAACCTGAAATTCCAAACATTTCTGGTCCCAAGCATTTGGAGCAAGAGATAATCAACCTGTATAGCGTCCATGGCAGGGGTCCCCAAAACTCTTGTGCACAGAGCAATCAGTTTCAAGTGCAGATCTTTGTGCTGAATCTACTGAATCCAAATCCCTAGGGATAGGGCTGGAAAAAAAAAAACACTAATTTTTTTCTTTTTCGAGTCCACTTTGCCACTCTGGTTACAGGAACTTGACTTGGTTCCAGTGGTAGGTAGCCTGATGAATCAAGAATATTATGTGGAAGGCAGCAAGTTGGCTCTGAGTTCAGTCTCTTCTTCCTTGTCACTGAGTTCTGCACTGCTTATAGAAGGGGCCCTTCTGCCTGCCCACCGTCTTCGGACTGCCACCGACGGATGTGATATGAGGTTACAGAAGTAGAGAGGGCAGAGTCTGTTTTGAAGAACTATAAGTACTGCTGTGCTGAGCTGTATGAGAAGTTTGAGATAGTTAAAGCAGCCCAAATCCAAGCTTGTACCAAATGCAGTTTGAATAGCAAACACATTTTCTATGGAGGAGAAAATAGAGTTTTGCAGCTTTTTTTTCCTTTCCTTTTTTGGGGGTGGTGGTACTGGGATTTGAACTGAGGGACTCACAATTCACAATTGTTAGGCAGGCATTCTACCACTTGAGCTAAACCACCTGCCCTTTTTGCTTTCGTTATTTTTCCAACAGAGTCTTGCTCTATGCCTGGGCCAGCCTGGACCATAATCTTTCTATTTGTGCTTCCTGGGATGACAGGCACATGTCGCCATGCCCAGCCAGTGATTGAGAATGGGGTCTCATTAATTTTTCACCTGTGTTTTGTGAATTTGAGCCATCATGTCCAGAGAAAACCTCCATCTCCTCCTCTTTTTTTTTTTGGTGGTACTGGGGTTTGAACTCAGGGCCTTGTGCTTGCTAGGCAGGTGCTTTACCACTTGAGCCACTCTGCCAGCCTGAATTTTGCAGCTGTGAATCTGCTTTGCAGGCGCCTTAGGAGGAACCAGATGATCCTGGCCAATACCCTGTTCCAGTGTGTTTGTTATCACCCAGAGGAGTTCCAGATCATCACCAGTGGGACAGACAGAAAGGTAAGCACTGTCTGCCCTTCTTATCCATGGGCTCCAGGTCTGTGGATTCAGTGTACTGTGGAGGACTGAAAACATTTGGGGAAAAATAATTGCATCTATGCTGAACAAGTACAAACTTCTTCCTTAACATTGTTCTCCAAACACTTCGGTATAGCAATTATTTATGGGTCAATAGGCATTGTAAGTAAACAAAAGGTGTCTTACTGTATACAGGAGAATGTGCAGTGGTTGTCAGATGAAGGATTTCAATATCCATGATTTTGGTGCTCTGGGAATCGCGGGTTCTGGAGCCAGTCCCCCTGGCTGACACTGAGGGATGACTACAACTGTATAGTCATATAAGTCTCCCTTTTTTTTTTTTTCATTACCTGCCTCTCTCTACTCCTAATTTAATTCTTCTTCTGAGGAAGGGACCAAGGTTATCAGTTTGTCTTTAAACCCCTTTCTATGTAATGTTTTGTTGCTTTGGGACAGAAGGGAAAATTGGGAGTGAGGGAGAGGGAGGGACCAACCACACTGGGCAGGTGGCTGTGTGGGGCCCAGTCTCCAGAACTCTGGGAAGTTCTCATTCCCTCCTCCTCAATCCTCAAGTGGACACAAAGAACTTGCCTCCCACCAGGCCTGCAGCTTTGCTTTCCTTAAGCACAAAAGTGCTTCTTTTACAACTCTTCTTTATTTTACATTTTGGTACAGATTAAATCTACTTAGTCTTATCAAAAAAAGCTCATTTTGTCACAATCCAGGTTTATCAGCATATCAACATGTCTTTAAATAGCATGCAAATTTTAAAAATACTAAAAATATTAAAATGGTTCCTCCATCCCCTGCAGGAGTCTATTTATAACTTCTGCAGATACCATCTCATGGTGTATTTTTGCTACCTTCTATATAAAGTGGAACCATCTTTTGTTAGCATGTGTGTGGATGATTCCACTGAGCTGAGTCCTGCCTAATGCCTCATTTCTGAATTCCAGATTGCTTACTGGGAAGTATTTGATGGATCAGTCATCAGAGAGTTGGAAGGTTCCTTGTCTGGGTCGATAAATGGTATGGATATCACGCAGGAAGGAGTGCACTTCGTCACAGGTTAGTCCAGGAGAGGAACTGAAAACCAGGGGTGGCTTAATTAGAGGGGAACCTGGAACTCCAGAAAGGAGGCAACTGGAAGAGCCAGCCAACGGGTCTTAAGGACAACTTACTTACATTCAGCCCTGAATTCAACAGCCAGTTGGCTGGAAAAGAAAAATCCAGATGTCACTCTAAGGAGAGGAAAGGTTTGCACAGGATCCTTAGAGCACAAATCAACTAAGCCTTTATATTGTAGGTTTACTTTCTGGGATGGGCATCAATGATAGAAATGGGCCTTTAAATGTCCTGGACCTTCCAGTTGCTTTCCTCTGACATTTTCTACTCAAATTCTAAATGCCGGTCTTTTTATTCCCTTTTATTGTTGAGTAATGTGATATTCTCCCAACCCCAATAAATGAATTAGACAGTATTTCAGGGGGACATTTACCACACAACATCTACCAATTTAATTTCATGCCAGTTCTTTGATGCTTTAGGACATTAATGAATAAGTGCTCCAAATGAATTTAAAAAGTTCCACAAACACATTGGCTAAGAACAGGCCTGGAACTATCAAACTACATATAGGGTGACCCCAATCACTTATACAGCTGTATGCAGGTACCTGTAAACCCAGGCAGACTGCAAAGAACTGAACCAAGATGTTATTTCTGGGTGGTAGGATGAAGGGTGATTTCAACTCTTTGTAACCGTCCCCCCCCCCAAATTACTATAACACACAGAGATTTCCTAAGTTGGCACATGGGAAATGTGTGGAAAATGATCTGGTTATTTGAAACCAGGGCCGTTTCTCTCTGTTCTGTTGCAGCAATTCCAAGTAACTGTGTTTTTTTCAGGTGGAAATGACCATCTGATCAAAGTTTGGGATTATAATGAGGGTGAAGTGACTCACGTTGGAGTGGGACACAGTGGCAACATCACGCGCATCCGGGTAAGTCCAGGAAATCAGTACATCATCAGCGTGAGTGCCGACGGAGCCATCCTGCGATGGAAGTACCCCTTTGCCTCCTGAAGCAATCAGGGGGCCTCCCCAGCCTCTGCGATGACGAAGATTGGAGTTTGGATTAACTTCAGTCCTAGCCTCGATTTCTCACATCTCAGTTTTTTGTTCTTTAGTCAAAATATTTTATCTTTTAACTTTCTTCTTTCCTTTTTAAAATACATTTACATTCTCAAATTGTACATTAAAATTGATATACATTCAGGAAAAATTTGTCCAGACTGTAATTTAAGAAGGTGTTTTTAAAAAATAATATTATTAAGAAATTCCCAGTTTTGGGCCTCCAGTGTAATCTCTTTTCTCTGACTCTGCAAAACCCACAAATATTCCTTATATTCTGTTCACAGACAGCATGGCTATTATTCCTCTAAAAATAAGACAAAGCGAATTTACCTTCCTAACCATCAGTTCATTGGTCAAGCTGCATGGGGAAAGGCAGGTTTGATCCAAATCTTAGGCAGCCTTTAAAAAACTCTCAGCCTTGTTTTTCTCTTTTGTCAAGCGACAATAAATTCTTGCTCCAAAGGTTATTATGAGAATTGAGATAACGTGGGAAAGCATCAGCAGAATTCCTGACGCTGAGGAAAACACGAATGCTTTTCTGCAAGTCGTTGGGAAATTTGGGGAGAAATCTCAAAGATGAAATTTCAGGGATGCTTTAGCGGAGTTGGCTACAGTGCGTTATCACCGGAAGGATGATGAGATGGACCTTGTGTATTAACCATCCAAACGGTATCCTCCGCACCACCACCCAGGGAGGATAGTGATGACATTTTCCAGAATCTTCAAGTCTTCAGTTCACAGTACAGTCGGGTTCTAAACATATCCTTTGTCCTTTAATTTTTTTTTTTGCACCGGGTAACTGCTGCAATCCTATTTGAAGGATCAAGGAGCATATTTAATAAATGATGAGCACTTATTAAATAACAAGTAATATTTCAAGGCGCTGACGTAATAATACTGCCTCCTGCATGCTGCTGATCTCTTTGAGCTAGAAACTGATGAGAAATTCATTTTGCAAGATCTTGTCAGATTAATCATAAACCTGACAGTTACCGGAAAAAGTGAGGAGACGCCCCTGGGGTTACCCTGGGAATCAAGGGCGGGGCAAGGCCGAACTAATTCTGATTGGGCAACAATTCAGCAAGGATTTTTGCGTTAACAAGTAAAGCGGCCACCGCGTAGGGGGCGCGCCTGAGAGGCGGAAAACTTCCTGCCCTGCAGATCTTGAGGCTCTGCAGCGCACAGAGCCGGGTCGAGTTCCGGTTTCTCTGCTTACGGGTCCCGTGGCCGCCCGACGTTGCATTAACTTTTCCGAGCCCACTTCTCCACCCGTTAAAACGAAGACGATCAAGTCTCACAAGTTTTTTGGAAAACGACTCGAACCTAGTCTGCAGTTTATAAAAGAAAACCACAATCACTCTGGGTGTTTCCTCAAAAGGGCAACACGCGGCTCCCCAGTTCAGGTCCCCGGGTGGTGGGTGCAGGTAAAGGCTCTGCCTGCCCCACGGGGTACACAGGCTGCAAGGAGGTGGCGCCACCTGACCGCACACACCTGGGTCTGCGGAGGAAGTAGCGATGCACCAAAGCGCACCCCTCCTCTTCTCAGCTCCCGGCGCGCGTCTGTCACCACACCTGAGGCTGCCCTTGAGAGACTCTCCTCTCCCTTTTCTTCCTCCTCACCTGGCCGTAATTACAGGAAATTTGGCAATAGCCATGACTTGGTAATATCCTAGGCGCTTTCGAATTTACGTCCTCTTATTGTCACAGCTTGAAGGATGGGTGGGGAACCGGAGCAGAGGTGAAATCCAAGTCTGTGGGTTTACAAGAGGTGAGGGAAGGTGGAGGAACCCAACCAGGACGACACCTGGAGCTTTTATTCCGGGTCAGTGCCGCAGGGGAAGGGACAAGGCAGGAGCAGCAGTGGCCGGCACTGCCCAGCGGCCCGCCCTGCGGCCGGATTCCCGCGCTGGGCGGGGCGGCCCCGCCCTTGGCTCCGCCTCCGCTCCGTCCCCGCGCACCTGGCCCGCAGGTAGCCGGCGCCGGGCGCTTTTCCCAGGCTGTAAGCGCCTGGGAGTTGCTGGTTCGCCTCGAGCCAGGGGTGCTGCGCTCCGTGAGCCGTGCGGGCGGGAGCCATGGACCGGGACCCCGGGGACACGGCCGGAGAGGGTCCGCTGGCAACACGGCCCCGCCGCCGCCGCTCCCTGCGCCGCCTGCTCAGCCGCTTCCTGCTGGCGCTGGGCAGCCGCTCCCGCCGGGGGGACTCGCCACCCCGACCCCAGTCCCCGCATCAGCTCGGACGCTGCGATGGTGACGGTGAGGGGGGATTTGCCTGCGCCCCGAGCCCGGCTCCAGCGGCCCCCGGGAGCCCCGGGGCGGAGCGCCCACCCGGACCCCAGGCTCACTTCCCCGCGGGCGACGGGGCGCGGCCGCCGGGCGTGCAGGGTTTAAAGAACCACGGCAACACCTGTTTCATGAACGCCGTGGTGCAGTGTCTCAGCAACACCGATCTGCTGGCCGAGTTCCTGGCGCTGGGACGCTACCGGGCCGCGCCGGGCCGCGCCGAGGTCACCGAGCAGCTGGCGGCGCTGGTGCGCGCGCTCTGGACACGCGAGTACACGCCCCAACTTTCCGCAGAGTTCAAGGTAGGCAGCGCTCGGCCGCCGACCGCCCTCGTCGACCTTCTGACCCTTCTGCTTTCGCCTCTTTAAAAGTGTGTGCGTCACCGGGAAAGGGGTTTTGGGGGAACTTTTGTTAAATGCCATTTATCCATTTCTGCCTCGGGTTACCACCGTTGTTTTGGGGTGACGTGTTATGCTACTTGCATGTTTTCTGTATGAATTAATTTCTCCCAGGTGTTTTGAGCGGGGGTGGAGAGCTGGCAGGATTAAGTGTATTCGGCCTTTTTGCAGTCAACAAACATCCATTGAAGTGTTGAAGGCTTGTGGGCCGGTGTGTTAACGTCAGGGTTAGAGTTTCCAATCTGGAAGGGTGTGGAATGGGGAGTCGTTTTTGGACCGACAGGACCTCAGATGATGCTAGGGTTCGGAACTTCAGGTTGAGAAGGACGCAACCAGGTCAAGAACTAGGGATCAGCAGGTACAAAGGCCATAGGACTGACGGAGCTGCGTATGGGAGGCAAGGAAAGAAAACTAGTGTCGTTGGAGTGTAGTAGGCAGTTAAGGGTGACCGGATCTTGTGTGACCTTGGAGGCAGCGGTAAAGACTTTGGGTTTTAGTTTAAGCCCATTGGCTGTTGAGAACACGTAGGCCAGGTATTGTGCCGAGTGCGGGGTTGAGATGGTGGGAGTGCTATTTTGGAGATGGCATCCTTCTTTTTAATGCACACTAAATTCCCTAAGGGTGTGAGCGTGGGGTTGCGTTTATTGTCTGCAGCATCACGGTCTTCTTGCCGAGGATGCTGCAGGGTCACCAGACCTGGTAAACCACGTGTATCACTTCACCCTGGGTTAAAGGGTGTGTGTGTGTGTGTGTGTGTGTGTGTGTGTTCCGGGTCCCAGTTGCATGAAAGTGTTCCTGATCATTGATGATGCACAAGGCTTGCTTCCTGCTGAAAAACCGCAACTCTGGGCAGCGCTGAAGTTCCTCACAGACTGCTGATTGTTATTCTTGGGGGAGGGGGAACCTGTCAGTGTTCATTCCACAAGCATCACCTGCTCTTCAGTTTCAGCCTGAGAAAGTAGTCTTTGCCACGCTTGTGACCTGCAAGGATGCCAACCCCCACCCTCCTCTCCTGCCTCCTAGTGAAGAGGCAGTTCTGCAACTGTCACATGGGCATAAAGTCTCTTGGTTTTTTTGGCAACGTTTCCTTTTTACATCGGAGAGGCAGTGTGGTATGGAGGTTTAGTGCATGGTCTCTGGGGCTTTGTGACTTTGAGCAAATGACTATATCTTGCGGTGCCTCAACCCTTCTCATCTCTAAAATGGGACTATAATAGTACCTACTTTTATTGTGGGGTGGTTGTGAGTATTAAATGAGTTATCATCAAGAACAGTGTCTGGCACCTGGGAAGTGTTCATTACTCTAGAATTACACCTCCTCACCTCCAGAGACCTAGAGGACGGAGGGAGGTAATCTTTGAATAAGTTTTCTCTTGCCAAATGCATTCCTATCCAGTTACTATGGCAATGAAAGAGATGAGTAGTTTGGGAAAAAACTCAAATTAGTAATCACACTCAGTGACTCACTGGGATTTCCTGTCTCTCTCCAGCTGTCAAGTCCCTAGGGCTCAGGAGCACCTCGGTGAACCTAGGGGAATGGAAGAATAATGGAGTTGTTGATATGTTAATGAAGCAGATACTGGTTGGCACTTTCTGATAACTAGCCTTGGAGGGAGGAGTGGAGGATTCCAGAATCTGGACTTAGAAACATTAGGGAATGAGAGCTGGGTGGGTTGCTCTTATTTTACCCTGGATGAAATATTCATCCATTCAACACACACATTTTTGAAACTGTGGTTTGGAACTCAGGGCTTCACACTTGCGCCATGCCTCCAGCCATTTTTGCTTTTTTTTTTTTGGACTTTGGGCCTTGATTTTTGCCTGGGCTGACCTGAACTGCATCCTCCTATTTTAGGCTTCCTGTTGGAATTACAGGTGCCCAGCTATTAGTTGCGATGGGTTCCAGAGAACTCTGCCTGGGCTGGCCTACCATTACTACCCACCCCCCATCCCATCTCAATCTCCCGAAAGAAGCATCACCAGGGCCCAGCCATTCAGCATATTTTTGTGCATGTCTATTGTTGGGAAGTAGATGGATGAGCACAAACCCAGATCCTGGGGCTGCCCTCCAGGAGCTTACAGTCTAGAGGGAGAACAGAATTTTAGTAAAAATGATTGTGCAGTCACATACAAGGTGCTATGACAGTTAATGGCAGGAAGATGTATTTTGATTGAGGGAGCAGGGCAGGCTTCTCTGGAGTTGGGTCTTGAGAGATTGAGGTGTCAGCTAAGGACAGGGAGGATGAGAAAGTGTACTCCAGGTCCTGGGGACTGAGCATGCCAACCACAGAGCGTGGGGCTGAGAGTCCTGCCAAGTGGGTTGATGAAAGCCAGTGTGGTCAGGGAGGAGAGGCTGGAGGACTGGAAGAGAACAAGAGAGACTGGTCTTTAGGAGGGATTAGACCCAGGAAAGGACCAGCATGCAGGGGTGTTATCCCAACCCAAGTCCTGCATATGGATGGGTGTGTGTGTTTCCCCTTCCTGAGCCCACAGTCACCCCCGCTTCCTCCAGACAGTAGGACCAGTTTTTAACACCAAATGAATTAAATCCATTAAAAAAATTCTCTTCATAGTTTTATCTATAATTTTTTCTTTTCTAATAATGTAGTTCAATATGTGTATCACACAAAATTGTAAAGTGTAAAAAAAAGATCTGTAACTCTAACCCCTGGAGATAACCATCATAAACATTGATGTGTTTCAAATTATATTGAAACAATTGCAAATTCTAGTTCTATGTTCTGCTTTTTTGTTTTTCTTTTGGTAAGTATTGTCATAAGACTTCTTCCTGGTTATTAAAATATTCTATAAAACTTTGTTTTTAATGATTGTATATATCACTAAATGAACCAATCCCCTGTGGAGATGTTGTCATGCTGTACAATTTCCCAGTTATCACCGTATTGACATTTCTTGTATTTAAATCATTGTCCACAGCTCTGATTACTTCCATAGCTTCATTTCTACAAGTGGAACCACATAGCCAAAGCAAAGGAGTGACTATTTTAATATCATTCTGTTTTTCCTTTTGAAACCAACTTCACTGAGGTATAAATTATATTGAGTGAAATGGGTCCATTTTAAGTGTAGTATTTAATGAGCTTAACAAACGTGTGGACCTGTGTAATCACCACCCCAAATTTAAATATACACTTTTTTAACTTTTAAATCAACTTTATTGGGTTTCATTATTTTTACCATCCATATTAATAAATTTCTTCCAAATAATTATGTCAAGTTTCACATACATATTTTCTTGGATATTGAATGTTATTTTACTAATTTTCCCCAGTTTTACAAAGGTTATAATTGACAAAAACTATGTTTATGGTATATAGCATAATGTTTTGATATGTATATGTATATGTATAGATGTTGAAATGATTGATTCAAGCTAATTAACATATCCACCAAACTCACATACTTAACAATTTTTGGTGTCAAGAACACTTAAGGTCTATTCTCTTTGCAGTTTCCACGTTCATAATACATCATTATTATAAGTCACCATACTGTGTAATAGATTTCTGTGACTTAAGAATTTATTGGGGGGTAGGAGGGAGGTGGCCCAAATAATGTATACACATGTCAGTAAATGTAAAAATGATAAAATAAAACTAAAAAAAGAATTTATTGAACAAAAAAATAAGACCTTGTTTTTATTTTTTATTTATTTAATTTTTTTTTTTGCAGTACTGGGGTTTGAACTCAGGGCCTCATGCTTGCTTAGCAGGCACTCTACCACTTGAGCTACTCCACCAGCCCTATTTTTATTGTTTTTGATTAGTAACAAGGTGGAAGATTTTTCCATGTTTCTTGAATAGTCTGCTCTTGAAATTGACTCTCTCTGTTGTTTGTGTATCCATTTTGCTTTTGTTTTAAAATTTTTTTAAGATAGGGTTTCCCTATGTAGCCCATACTGGCCTTGAACTGTAATCCTCCTGCCGCAGCCTCCTGAGTGCTGGGATTACACCATGCTCCAGTGGACTTTTTTTTATAGAAACCTGTAGGTTACTTATTTTTAATACCTAGTGCTGGGATCTGCCTTTTATTTGTTCCTCTAAGTTCTTCAACCTTTGCCATAATTGTGCAAAGACTCTCCAAATTGTCTCCTCCTTCTCACTATCCCAGTACTGGAAGCTTTAGATTTATTTATGTCAGACCTTTTGATAACTATCCTATTTTATGTCCTTTCTAGTTTTTCTATGGTTATATTCAGGGTTTCAGCCATCTGGAATTTATCTTAGCTTATGTGCTTAAAATCAAATTTAGATCCAGCAATGTACTAGAGGCACTGCTTTTTAAAAACAAGGATTCCTTCTTCATCATTCTTATGTTCTGGAAGTTTGGACAAAACAGTAACAAATGGAGCAAAAAACTTGGAACAGGAAGAAAATTGCTAAATGGTTCTAGAAATCCATATTTTAGAATTATTGCTGCCGTTCATGAGGTCAGATACAAGATTGAAAGTCAAAAGCAATAACCATTTAGAGCATATTAAAAACTAGATTTCATTCATAAAAAGCCAGAAACATGAAATAAGTGGGAGTAATTTTAATAAGAAATATGCTAAAACTTATCAGTGTTTGGGAGCGAAAAACAACACATGGGCAAATGCACACACAGATAGAACTATGCCATTATAGAATAGAAATACCAAATATTTGGTGAATATTTCTCTTCAGTGGTGTTCTAGTCACATTTCAATGGCCTTTTTTTTTTTTTTTTTTTGAGACAAGATCTTATGTATCCCAGGCTGGCCGAGAACTCATAATCCTTCTGCCTTAGCTTCCCAAGTTCTGGAATTACAGGCATGCCCGGCCTCCAGTGGACTTTCTATGGGAATGTCTTATAGAAACCTGTAGGTATTTATTTTTTAAAATCTGGAAAATAACCTGGTAGACACTTTATAATTGGGAAAAGTCCAATAAAGAAAAATATTCACTGTAAAAAAAATTGGAATGTATAAGTGAAAATGAAAAAATGATCCCACCATTCTGTGACAACCATTTGTTAATAGCTTGCCATATATATGTTTATATATATATATATAAACAAACTGGTTTTGCACTTTTTGGGGGAGGTGCCAGGATGGAACCCAGGGACTCATGCATGCTAAGTGTGTGCTTTATCACTGAACTATATCTGCAGCAAGGGTTTTTTTTTTTTTCCCCTCTTTTTACCACAGAATCTCCCCCTCCCCCATTAGTAGTTTTTAATCATTTTTTTTTCCTTTTTTGCAGTCCTGGGGTTTTAACTCAGGGTTTCCTGCTTGCGAGGCAGGTTTTCTACCACGCCCCCAGCCCTTTTTGATCTGGTTATTTTGGAAAGAGGGTTTTGCTTTTTGCCCAGGCTGGCCTGGACTGAATTCTTCCTGCTGGGTTGCAGGAAAATTGATCTGGTCTATTTAGGCCTATTTATGCTGGCAGAGGGGGAGATTCTTAAGGCAGGTCTCCTTCTGGGTGTAGGTGTAATCTTCCAGGTCAACCATGGTTAGAACTGAACAGATGAGAAAGAGGGGAGGGGCAGAGGCATTTTGGGAGCCAGAATCCAGACTGCTTGACAGCGACTGATCAGAGGGAGGAGGGAGAATGTTTAGATGATACCTGCATTAAGAGAGGGCTGGTTTTAGAGACTGTGAGTTGGAGGGGCTGGTTGCTCACCTGGAAGAGAATGTCATCAGTACAAGGGTACAGGCTTGAAGGTGGCTTGGGAGTAGAATTGCCAGGTAAAATGCATGGCACTCAGTTGATTTTAATTTTCAAAATTTCCAAGTACATCATCATTATTATTAATTACAGTCACCATGCTATGTAATGGATCTTATGAATGTATTTTACCAAAAGAAGTAACACCTTGTATTTATTTCTTTGATTGCACACAGATAAATAATGACTAACTTTTCAGTATAAATGTATTCCAAATATTGCATGGGACTTATTTCTACTAAAATAATTATCGTTGCTTATTGAAATTCAAATCTAACTGGATGTCTTCTACTTCTGTGAAGGGGGTTCTGGGGCTAGAACTCAGGGCTTGTACATGCTTTACCTGTGTCTTGTATTTTTATTTGCTAAGTCAGGCAAGTCCTATGTGGGGGTCAAAGTGCAGGGAAGCTCAGGAAAGAATCCAAACTAAGGTGATGGGAATAAAGACTTAGAACCAACATTTCAGTTAATTAGATTTAGAATTTTGCTTTGACTTATCCTAAAGTTTCCTTTAAATCTCAAGGGAAGATTGGGAAAAAGAAAAAACCATGAAAGCTCAGGCTGTTTGATTGGATTGGTAGTGATGTGTATGATCGTCTTGGTCCCCAGCCTTGCTCAGACTGGCCCCTTTGGCAGGCATGAGCATGGATGAGGTTCTAAGATAGGGTTGTATGACTAATGGACGGATAAGCATGTGTCTGTGTGCACACACAGACAAGGGGATTTGCTCCCTCTCAGGTGCTCATATACTGGAAAGTTGCCCATGGAATGCCTAAGACTCCTACTCACTGGGAAGGACCTCAGGAGGGGAGGGAGAATGGGTAGAAGGAAGACTTTCATTACTGTTCTGTTTATATTTTGAATTCTTTTTATTCTTAGAATGTACAACATTGCCTTTGAAATAAATGTTCAAAAGTAGGAATATGCATTCACACACAAAGTGTTAAAGTTGTGACACAATTTAGCAAAAGGGGCAGGGCATCTTGGGTGTCTTGTTCCCTATTGTATTCCCTAGTATAGTGCCTGGCACTCAGTACATGGTTATATGATCTAACCGTAGAAGAGAACTTTATATCCTTAAATTTTCATCCCTGTTTGAAAGAGGCGATAAAGGAGCCACATACACTGTATTTTAGGGAGTCAGCTTTGCTGTCAGTGTGGTCCTTCCCAATGAAGGAAATCAGCAAGGAAGAGAATAGGGAGGAAGGCTGTTCACCTGTGTGGTGATTGGAGACAGACAGCGCAGGCACAGACCTATGGAGGGAAGACCAGTAGAGTGTGGGACCCCAGCAATCAGAGGACAAGAACTCCAGGAAGGACAGATGACCAACTATCAAAATATTCAACAACCCAGGATAATCCCCTGGGTTTTTAAGGGGTAGGGCATATTAATGTCCTTCTGGAAAAAGACTGTCTTCTACTCAGAGGACTCTCATGCCAGTTGGGGGCAGGTGTCAGCAGGAAAGAACACCACTCCTACCCCTCGTTGTCTGTGTGTTGTCATCACAGGTCAAGGCTGAATGATGCCCACTTGGTACCTTGGTGCTTACGGGACCTTCATTCTGGTGTCTCAAGGCCACACTAACCTTTGATTTTCTTTATCTCCTCTCAGAATGCTGTTTGCAAGTATGGCTCTCAGTTCCAGGGCAATTCCCAACATGACGCCTTGGAATTCCTGCTCTGGCTGCTGGATCGCGTCCACGAGGACTTGGAGGGCTCATCCCGTGGGCTGGTGTCGGAGAAGGTCAGTCACTTTTGGATATTTTTCATTCATTATTTACTCAATCCTGATTCCTTATATTCATGTGTACACACATGCTCTTCCCTGCTCCCTTATTTTAGCTCTTGTTTGTTTCATTTTATTTATTCATTTTCTATTTTTAAAATTTATGTTATCATATTACTGTTTTATTGGGGGTACACTGGGACTTTTACAAAAGTGCTTATGATACATCTTAGTTAAATTCACTCCCTCTATCCTTCTCATTTGTTTTAAACAAGGCTTTTTGTCCCACTGCAGTATATTTCTTGACATAGTGAATAGGGTTTCATTTTGACTCAGAATTTGAGAAATCTTTTTTTTTCTTTTTCTGTACATTCTATGCATTAGTCTGGCCATCTGAGGCCATAGGAGCCATTCCTTATTTTTGGACAGTCCCAGTTCAACTCTATGCTTGCTTTCTCAGTTCACATCTCAGAAAAGCAATTCCTAACCATTTTTCTCAAGACATAGACTAGATGATTTTTACACATATGCACTTAGCATTTCCATTTTTAAAAAAATGATATTTGAGACAATACATTTAACAAGATATAAATAAGCTACAATGGTAAGCATTTCCGCTTTTGATGAAACCCCAGACCTTACAATACTTTGTAATAGCCACAGTTAATTGATACATCAGCTATGTTCTTTATAGGCTTTGCTAAATAAAGACCAATGACTTATGCTTTAATGCCACCCCTTTATCGCCCACTTAATAAAGTGAAAGTGAGTGAAGTTGTGAGTGAGCGAAGTTGTGAGAAGAATATCTGGGAATAATAAATAGGTATTTCATGAGCTTTGGTAACTAAACAGTACTTTCGATGACTGAGCCAGACACAACTATGAGACCTGCTCTGTCAGTTTCCTGTTTTGTTTTATATCTGGACGCTTCATTCTGAGTCATGAATCAACTAAAAACCCTTGGAAAAGGTATTATCTTTTCATCTCTTCACTATTTTCTTGGAGCCTATCAATCCAGAGAAATAAAAAATGAAGCTTGGTCTTTTGTTATTTTTAAAACTTATCTGCATAGTCAGCAAATGTCAACCTGGAGGATTAAAGAGACTATGGCCATATATGTTCCACATAGCAGATGGAGTGGGTAACCTTCTCAAAGCCACTCAGCTAGCTACAGGACTCTAGCCCAAGGTGGTCTGGCTTGAAAGCTTCTTTTCTTATTTTAAAAATAACCACCCTGTGACCTCCAAACCATATAAATGACAAAAACCAGCGATCAACCCAACAAACCCTGGGAGGACCACACACTCCAAGGTTAGGTGGTTTCTTTGAATTGTCCGGTGATGGGTAATTTTTCTTTTATCTACAGTGATTTTTTTTCTATTGATCTTATTCAGACTTTTTAAGTTGCAAGTGACAGAAATTGAACTTTAAAAAGGGGATCATTGGCTTGTATAACCCTCAAGTCCAATGGTTGAAGCAGCTTCAGGTTGTGTTGGATTCAAGGATATCCATGATGTCATCAGGTCTCTGACTCTCTCTTTAGTTCTTTTGTCTGACTTCATTCTCACCTTGGCTGTGCCCACATGGGTAGCGAGAGGGCCTTCTGCAATGTTCATCTAGTCTTTAGACCTTTGGATTCCAGAAAGGGCCCAGGGAGGAGTCTGATAGTCCCAGCTTGGATTGCATGTTAATTTTTGGGCAGATGACCTAAAGAAGGGAATGTTCTGATTGGGCACACATGGGTCACGTGCCTATAAGAGTGATTGTGGGCCAAGGAAGGCTTTTATAGGGTCAAAATCATTTGCTTCCCCAAAGGATATAATGATCAACAGATAAGTGTATGACCATTACACAGGCTGGCCTCAAACTCGTGTTCCTCTTGCTTCTACCTCCCACATGCTGGGATTACAGGTGTGCACCACCATGTCTGCCCCCAATGAAAACATATTTATATATATATATTTATATATATATATATATATATATATATTTGAAATATATGTGTGTGTATATAATAAGATTCTGTTTATTGAATACTCAGTGCCAGGCATCTAACTTGGTGCTTTTCATTACTTATTTTACTATCTGGAATGCAGCAGACACTAAAACTTTTGTATTAAGTAGTTGTCATGCTTTAATGTTTATAAGGGTAACTCATAGTCTACAGTGCATGGAAGTGTAGATTAAGTAAATTGCCCAAGGTTACTCATCTTCTGCCCGGTAGAAATAGAATTGAACCTGGATCCATCTATTCCAAATTCAGTGTGCTGGATCCTCTTCCTTAGGAGTGTCCCATATCTCAGTTACCCACCAGAGGAGAGGAGGCTTGGGGAGAGATGGCTCCCTGATGTTGCTGTCTTGGCAAGGCTTCTTATTCCTGTTTCCCCCAGGAAAGTAGGTGGGATAGATAGCTGTGTTAACCAGCTTCTTGTTACTCTAACAAAATATCTGAGAGGACCATCTTACAAGGAGGAAATATTTATTTTGGCTCATGGTTTTGGAGGCTTCAGTCCATGGTCAGCTGGACCCATTGCTTTTGGGCTTGTGGTGAGGCAGCCTATCATGAAGGGGAACACATGGAAGAACAAGCTACTGGCCTCATGGAAGCCAGGAAGCAAAAGAAAGAGATAGGAAGAGGCCGAATTCCCACAATCCTTTTTGAGGACACACCCCCAATGACTACTAGGCCCCAACATTTTAAAGATTCCACCACCTCCCAGTAGTGACAGACTGGGACCAAGCCCATAACACATGGGCCTTTGGAGGCATTCCAGATCCAGACTATAGCAATAACCTTCTAAACTACCTTGCATTTTTCCTCTTCTTTCCCTTGGCAGCAGGAAAAGTCACTGGGGAAGGTTACAAAGAGTGTAATTAACTTGGCCCAAGTCATATATAGTTGTCATAACCAAAAATGCCCCCAGACATCGCTAAATCCGGGGCAGGAGTGGAGGGTGATGTAAAATCACCCCTCAGTTGAGAAAATCTAGAACCTTGTTCCTCCCTAACTGCAGTGTGCTGCTCCAGACCTTTCTTTATGATAACATTGAGTTTTTTTAAGCCAAGTGGGCCTGTTAATAATTCCCTTTCTTTATTTTATTTTTTAAATTTCAGTGCTGGGAATCAAACCCAGGGCCTGTGCATGGTAGGTAAAGCACTCTACTTCTGAACTGCATCCCCGGCCTTCAACTTCCAATATGTACAACTATGATTTCTCCACACTGCAGCCAGATCTCTGATGCCATTCTCCTGTTTCCCTTTCTCCAGTGGCTTCCTACTGTATTTAGAACAAAATGTACACTCCCATGTGGCTGACAAAGTCCTACCTGGCTGGGCCTGCCAACCACTCAGTCTCATTCCAGACCCCTCACCACTCTTGCCCACTGACTTCAGCTACATCACCTGCTTTCTGTTCCTTAGTGGGCCCAGTGTATAGCATTCCCTAGGCAAGACCAGCAAGTGGCTACTGGCCAGAGAGAGGCACTTACCCAGTCCTTACTTTGACCTGATGAAAGCAGAAAACATCTTTTTGTGCCTTGGGGTCAGGACAAAGCCTCTCCTGAAATTTGCTCTCAGGAAATTGGGCTGTCCACAGAGGCCTGACTGCATGCATTTGAAAGTAGAAAGCAGTGCTCTTGGGATTATAAGGCATGAAAATTCATTTTCCCTTTCTGAGAAGGAAAGCCACTGTCCTCTGTGTAAGTCTGAATGATTTTTCTTTCTGAAGTTATTTCTGTTTTGAGGACAGAGAAAAGCTATATAGCTCGATTTATTTGAAACTGGAATAGAAAACATGTGGACCACTTTCTTTTCCATTACTTTAACAATTCTCAAATGTTTTCATCCTGCAAAAAGGTACATTTTTACTACCCTATAAACACCAACACATAAACAACCTTTTCACAGTTTGTTTTCCAGAAAATGCCACTTTTACAGAATAAAGGAGGGAATGAGGCTGGGGAGAGGACCAACAAACCAACATGAATTAAGCACCTACTATGTTCTAGGCAAGAGCACACATCCTCTCTTGATTTTCACAATAACTCCATATTGAAGGGATGCTATTATTCCTTTTAAGCATAGAATGAAGGATGGAGGTGTGACTTAAGCAGTAGGGCATCTATCTAGCAAGCATGAAGCCCTGAGTTCAAACCCCAGTACTGCCAAAAAAAAAAAAAAAATTGAGAGCTGTCCAGGGTCACCTAGCTAGCAGAGTAGAGCCATGCTCAACTGGCCTCATGGTCCATGCTTTGTGGAAGATGTTCTTCTGCCTTGTTCAGGATTCCCTTTGTGTCCTTCATCCCTGAGTGATCCCATCCACAGCCACTCCCTATGTTTCACACTGTCACCTCTGTGCAGCAGCATCCTGTATCATTGTGAGTTATTTGATTGCAAGCAACAACAGGTAACCTGAGCTGACTCAAGGCCAGGGAAGAGCACACAGGATAAAAGGGTAGCCTGGAGAACAGCCTTGGAACAGGCCAGAATCAGACAGCTTTGGGAGAGGCAGGAATTGCTTGGCTTTCTTGCCTGGACTCGACTGCTGGAATCAGTGTTTGCAGGCTTTTGGTCACTATGCTCATGACTGCTCCCAATACACATTCTGGGCAGGGATGTTTCCAGTATAGTTTGGGTCCTGTTCCTTGGTATATGTGGAAGGATCCCTGATAAGAAAGCCCTTTACTCCCAGGCACTGAATTCAGGGTTCCAAGCCAGGTGCCCTACCAAATAAGGAGGAAAAGAACTGGGGAAGCCACCATATCCCAGAGTCCACTCGGCCAGCATTCAACAGCACACCTGCAGGGACCTCTGTGTATGTGCTCTGATGTTTCTGCCTGCATGCTTGGCACGTCCTTCCCAAGCCCCTCCTCTGATTGACCCACTTCTGTGGATGGGACTGTTGTCTAACCACCACTAGATTGGAACTGTGGAGCTGGTCATGTTTATCATCTCCTTCCGCTCCCGGGTCAGGTGCTGAGTTGCAAGCTATGCACACAAAGTGTCTCTTCATATTCGTGGATCCTGCTGTTGGTCACCCTGTTGTTACTTGGACCCTTAAGCCTCCTATCTAATCTGTGACTTAATCTCCAAATGTATCCTTCCTCTGGGAATGGCTGTCAACTTTGAGTGTCTCTCCAAGCATGTAACTATCACTGCTGCAAAAAGCCATGGGAACACTCCCCCTCCCCCCCATTGTGACAACCACCACCTACACAGTGCTCACTTTGGGCCAGGTGCTGTTCTAAGTGTTTATATATGTGTGTATCTATAAGTGTTTATATATGTGTGTCTATCATTTGTGTGTGTGTGTATACACAAATTTATATATATATGTATACACAAAACTCTGTAACTCCTCAAACCTATCAGATATACACTATCACAGTCTCCTTATCACAGTTGGGAAATTGCTGTGGTCTGAATGTGACCCAAATTATGTGTTGGAAAGTTAATCCCCAAATTCATATGTTGATGATATTTGGACCTTTGGAGGGGAGTTAGGATTAGATGAGGCCATTGGGGTGGAGCTGCTTTGACATTAGTGACTTTATGAGAGGAGGAAGAGAGCCCTAAGCCAGCATGTTACCCTGCATCACCATGTGATGTCTTCCACCATGCTGTGATGCAGAAAGGAGCCCTCAGCAGATGCCGATCTAAGATATCATACTCTCAGACTTCCCAACCTCCAGAATTGTGAGCTAACAAACCTCAGTTCTTTATAAATTACCCAGTTTTGGATATTTTGTTATGGCAACTGACAATGGACTAAGATGGAAAAAAGAACATGGAAGAAGTAAGAGGAATTTAAAAAAAGGTTGAGTAACTCGGGCAGCCAAGTGATGCAGGGATTTAATTTAAACTCTGCAGTCTGACCCATGAATACACATTTTAGTTTTTGTGGGTGGCACTGGGCTTAAACGCAGGGCCTCATGCATGCTGGGCAAGCACTCTAAAGCTGAGCTGCACCCCCCAGCCCCAGAGTTGACATTGTTGACCTTGGTTCTTTGCTGTTTACTGAAGCAAGTGCCTAGTCTTCCTGAGGGCTTTGAACGCCCTGCCCAGCCTGGCACCAGTCTCACTCTCCAGCCCCATTTTCAATTTTTGTTTCTTTGCATATCCTGTATTCTAGTCAAATTGGGTACAATAGAATATTGGGACAAATAAGAATGGTCATCCCAAGCACTGATCACCTATTTGTCCCACTATTTTATTATGAAAAAATTCATAATATGGAAATGTTGAATAAGTGAACTTTTTTGTGGTATGGTGGTGGTTTGAACTCAGGGCCTTGTGCTTGGTAGGTAAGTGCTCTACCACTTGAGTCATGCCTCCAGCCCTTTTTGCTTTTGTTATGTTTTTCAGATAGGGGCTAGCGTTTTTGCCCTGGCTGGTCTCAGACAGTGATTTTCTTACCTATGCCTCTGGAATACTGGAATTACACTGAGCTTATTTGTTGAAATGGGGTCTTCCTAGCATTTTTCCAGGGCTTTCCTTGGACCTGGGCCCTCCTGATCTCTTCCTCTTGAGTAGCTGAGATAACAGGCATGTGCCACTGTGCCTAGTCTTACCATTTGTTTTGACATACTTGGAAGTAAATTGTACAATCTGTGCACTTTACCCCAGATATTTCACATACATGCCTTTTGCCTGGTTCCATCCTTTGCTTTTAAAAAATCCTTCAGCATTCACCTCAAATTCCAGCTAAGCCTGCTCCTCATGGCCTTGCGTTCTTCTAATGAGTCTTTCTTTTCATTCTCAATGGTGATCATGTTAGGTAGCTTTTTTAGCTGTGACAAAATACCCAGAAGAATCAACTTAAAAGGGGAAATGTTTATTTTGTCTTATGCTTTCAGAACTTTCAGTCCATGGTAAGTTGGCCTGTTGCTTTTGGGTCTGTGGCAAGGTAGCACATCAAGGTGGAAGTGTGTGGTGGAGGATGACTGTTCAGTTCATGGCAGCAGAGAAGTGGGGAGAGAGAGAAAGGGGCTCTCACCTCCTCCTCACAGCACCAGGCTGGGGACCAAGTCTTCACAAAGAAGATATGACACAAGTGCCAATGGACCCAAAGGCCAAAAATTTATTCTGGGGACAGAAATTCATACAGATATTCATAGGCACATGCACAGTGTATTTGTGGTATTATGGTTTCATGGTGGGGGTGATAAGGATAAAATGTCTAAAAGGACTACTTGTGGGAGTGATGAAGAAAAAATTGAGGCTCTGTTTTTTTTTTGTGGTACTGGGGATTGAACCTAGGGCCTCGTGCATGCTAGGCAAACATTAAACCACTGAGCTATATCCCCAGCCCAAAAGGCCATGGTTTAGGGCTTTTTTTATGTGTAGCCTTATTTGAATGATCAGATAGGCAATTTTATATGTTACTATATTGCTCTATATTGTGGGTGGCTTTGATTCTGGGATGGCCCTCAGGGGCAGACCTTTCAAGAACAGTATTTTTGCATAGCAGGGCTTTAATAGATAATCAGGTCCTATGTGTGGCAGACAGTGGGCAGGGGGTAGAGAGTCAACTTAGGGGAATTAGGAAGCTGGAGTCATTTCTGTTGGGAGTGGTGGGGGCGAGAAGAGATTGCTGGCATTGGGGTCTGCAAAAGCCCTACGGTAGCTAGATTAAAACTAGCCACCAAATATCTCATCCAAATCCCTGTCTCCTGTCAATGTTATCCTACATGGTGAAGGATTTGTAGGTATGGTTAAGTGAAGAATCTCAAGTTTGGGGTAATTAACCTGGATTATCCAGGTGGGCCCTTTATATGACACCAAGTGTTCTTATAAAAGAGGCAGAGGGAGATTGGAGACACACAAAGGTGGAGGCAACATGAAGTCAGAGCAGAGAGAGATTTGAAGACACTGGCCTTGGGACCAGAATGTCATGTCCACAAGCCAAGCAATGCCAGTGGTCACCAGAAGTTGGAAGAGGTGTGGAGTGTATTCTCCCCTAGAGTGGGTGGAGGTGAGTGTGGCCCTGCTGACACCTTGCTTTTGGCCCATTGATACTGATTTAGGGTGTCTGGTCTTAAGAACTATAAGAGAGTAAGTCTCTGAAGTCACCAGCTGGTGACAATTGGCCACAGCAGGAATGCAAAGTTGTACACAGGAGAACTGGTTGCACAGAGTGAAGGAAGCTTATGCATTGAATTGGAAAATTTAAAGTCTTTTTTTTCTGCAGAAGTCTGTGTGCGTATTTACTGGCTCACTGGAAAGTGTGGACAGGAATGGGTTTGCCAGTGTGGACATGGAGAGATTAGGTGTGATGTCTTGGAGGTGGTGGGTGTCCATCTGAGTGAAATGTACAAGGTCTGTCCATCACGGAGAGTCCAGCAGGGCAGAGCATCAACCAATGCAGAGGGCAAAGCCAAGGCCAGGAAATGGACAAAGCATGGCCGAGGCTCAGCTTTCAGTACCCACCCTCTTTCTCAGGATCCTGGTAGATGGAGTTTCTGAAGGAGCATAGAACCATGGTGCAGGCAGCATTAAAGGCCAAGACTCTACAGAGGCTCAGACAGGGATGCTTGGGCCCAGCATGGTCTGGAGGCAGAGTGGTAAGAGGAAACAGGATGGGATCTCATCTGCTTCTTCTCCCTGTTTCTTTGCAGCTGCCGCCTGAAGCTAGCAAAACGCCTGAGAACCTCCTGTCGTCATCGTCATCGTCATCATCAGCTCAGCTGCCTCAGAGCTTTGTGCAAAGTCACTTTCAAGCCCAGTACAGGTGAGATGGGGATGCGCTTTGAATGGAGCAAACCAAGGGCTCCAAAAACTTGACTGCCATTGACCCTGAGGTTACAAAGCAACAAAAGCCGGAAACCCCCTTTTCTCTCCCATCCCAAATCCCAATTGATTCTCACTCCTGTCCCCTCTGACCCTTAGTGTTTCTTCTTTTCCTTTTTCCTGGCTTCTGGGAATTCCACCTCCTATTGAAGAGGGTGGTGGTGATGGGAGGGCAGTTCTGCAGAGCAAAATGTGGAGGCCAGGCTATCACCAGTGAGCAGTTCCTATGAAGCTGGTCAGACCCCCTCCTGTTTGCTCTATATGGCCAGGTAGCCCAGTTGAACAAGTCATTCTGTGTTTGAGTTCCCAGTAATATGAAGGATATAAAAATACATAGCCTTTGACTTCAGAATGTTCTTTTTGGACATTTCTTTTTCTTTCCTTTTTTTTTTTTAGGGGGGAGGGGAAAAGTTCTTGGGATTGAACTCAGGACCTCATGCTTACCAGGTGAGCACTCTACAACGTAAGCCGTGCCCCTAGAACTTTTGCCTTTAGTTTGATTTTCAGATAGAGTTTCAGACTTTTGCCCTGCTGTCCTCAGACTGCAACCCTCCTATCTCTGATGGGATTACAGGTATGAACCATCACCCAGTTTGTGTTTTAGATATCTCAGTAACTTATCTGGGCTGGCCTCAAACTGTGATCCTCTTATCTCTTCCTAAGTATCTGCTTTTTGGGCATTTCTATGTGAATACATTCACATAGGCAGAATATTTTTAAGAATTACAATGTTTGGTGAAAGGACAAGAGGAGAACCCTCCCTCCTTGGGCCTCTTGCTGGAGGTGTGCTTTTTTACAGGCTCTGAATAACAAACAGGATCCAGTGTGTGGGAAGATCAACAAGAACAAATACAAGGTATAGGTGGGCATAAGCACAGAGGTCAGGCTTGAGGGAAAGTTATTGGTACAGAAAACCTCCTTTAGGTGAGATGCTTGCCCATATGTGTATGGATGTCTTCGTTTATTTTTTTGGGTGGTACTGAAGTGTGAACTTGGCTTCACACTTGCTAGGCGGGTTCTCTACCATTTAAGCCACACCTCCAGTCTTTTTTTGCTCTGTTTATTTGGAGATAGGGTCTCACTTTTTGCACAGGCCAGCCTAGATTGTGATTCTCCTTATCTCAGCCACCCATGTAGCTTGGGATGACAGGTGCGAGCCACTGCACTCAGCTATTGGTTGAGATTGGCAGGGTGGGGGGGGGGGTCTGATGAGCTTTTTGCTGGGGCTGACCTTTGATCCCCATCCTCCCAGTCTCAGCCTCCTCAGTAGTTAGAATTAAGGCATGAGACACTTAGTGTCTAGCTTTATTTATTTTTGAGCATCAATATTTGAATTTTATTTTTTAAATTTATTTTTGACTGTACAAAACATGAAGAATGCACATATAAATGGAGTGTACCACGTGAGTTTCAGTACGTGTGTACATTGTATAATGTTTAAAACAGGTTAAACGCATCTGCTCAAAAACTTAACTGTTTCCTTGTGGTAAAAACTTTCAAAATCTGTTCTCCTAGCTTTTTGAAATCTATAGTACATTATTATCTGTAGTCACCCTACTGTGTGATAGCTCACCAGGACTTCTTTTTCTTAGTTGATGGTAACAGTATCTGTTGATAATAAGTATCAATTGTACGATAGATACTAAGTATCTATTGATCAACCTTTCCACATCACCCAATCCCCACTCTCCCCAGCCTCTGGGAACCACAACTCTCAACTTTTTTTTTTAATTGTCACATTATTATTGTACATTGTTTCGTTTACAGTACTCTCAACTTCTATGAGATCAATGTTTTTAGAGTCCATATGTATTTATTTGTATATAATTTTAACATATTTATATGTAATAGTGTATTAAAATACTTATATACTTATATAAAAATAAAATATCTGATTCAATACTGGTATAATATATGGATATAAATGTATATTCATACGAGATAAAACAATATATGTCTATTACATTATTATTATTTTGCAGGGCTGGGGATGAAACCAGAGCCTCATATAAGCTAGGCAAGTGCTCACCCACTGAGCTGCATCTCCAGCAGCTGGGTCTTCTGGATGACACTTCCTTTTCTTTGCTCTGAAGTGTTTTCCTAGCTCTCCTGTTGGTTTTCTTAATTATTTCTCTTCAAGCACAGTACAACTTATCCAATTTTCTAGAATTCCCTAACTTCCAGGCCATTTACTTCCACACTTTCTGGGGATTTGTATTGTTTGGAGAGGTCACTTAAAATTGCCCACAGACTGTCTTGATTTAGGAATTATATGCAGTAATCACTGATAAATAAATAGGATGTGTCTTTGAGGGTGGTTGTGTATGTAGTCAGGCCAAGTAGTCTCTGAAAACCTCATAGCATGTGAGAAGTTTTCTCACTCTCTCTCCACCCCAGGGAGGGATGACCTTGAAGATAGAACCCAAGCAGCTGTGCACACTGCATTCTTTTCCATGCTTGGTGAGAATATTGAGTAAAAAAGTCTTTTCTGAATGAGCCTCAATTTCATTGTTGTTCCTAAAGGAAGGCTGGCTCATCCCAGTGAGATGTGGTATCACTCTGGGAGGTTTACAGAGAGCAAACCTAGATTTCATGGCTGCAGACCTTGAAAGCTACTAGCCATGAAGCTACTTATAGGGCAATCTGTCTTATCCTTAGGTGTCCAAAGCAGAGGATGCCAACAAAAACAACCAAATGTGTATATCTATCTATCTATATAGATATATATAGTCAGCCTTCTGTACCCACTGGTTCCACATCCTCAGATACAACCCATGGTGGATCCACGATACTAGAAAACTTTGTATCCATACTTAACACATACAGATTTTTTTTTCTTGTAATTGTTTCCTAAACAATGGTAGTGCTACAACTCTTTACATAGCATTTATAGTGTGTTAAAATGAAATAAGTAGCTCAGCATTAAATTAGGTAATCTAGAGATGATTTAAAGTATGCATGAGGATATGTATCGGCTATATGCAAACACGACACCATTTTATATAAGGGACTTGTGCATGGGTGGATTTTGGTATCTGCAGGGGGGGTCCTGGAACCAATGCCTTGGAGATGCCGTGGGAAGATTATTTCTTCTGTTCTCTAGAGATTTCACTTGTGCCCACTATGTACCAAGTTCTTTTCTTGGAGATATGAGCAGCACTCAGCCCTGTTCTCATGGAGCTCAGGTTCTATTGTGGTCGGGGCGGGGAGCAGAGTGGTAGGTTAGGCAATATACTAGCTGACCAACAAGTTGTGCAAGTGCTCAGTGAGTGATAGGAGTAACTTGGGAGTCAGACAGGCAGCCAACATTAGATAACATGGCCAGGAAGGCTTCTTCTCAGAGGGACATTTGAGCTGAGAGCTGAGTGACAAGGAGTCCACCATTCGAATACTCGGGGACAGGGCATTCCAGTCAGAGAAAATAGCAAAGGCAGAGGGCCTGAGGGGGGAGTGATCTTGGCAAGTTCGAGGGACTGAACGGCCAGGGTGGCCACCAAGTGGTAAGAGGGCAAGAGATGGAGTCGGAGAGGTAGGCAGGGACCCAGTAAGGCAGGTTTCAATCCGAGGGTGGGTTTCAGTGAAAGGGCACAGGAGCTGCTGCAGAGGTGAAAGCAGGCTGTGGTCTACTTCACCAATTGAATTGGTTGTTGTGAGCAATGGGGGGGGAGGCAGACAGGAAGTGGGAGTTGTTAGAACCGAGGCAGTTGTGGTGGAGAGGGAGGGAGGTGGATGGGTTTGGAGTAGGTTTTGGATGTAGAGAAACAGTACTTGATAGTGGCCTTAGGGGTGTGAGCTGGAGGGACTGAGGGAAAGATGAGAATCTAGGGTGAATCCAGAGTGAATGCTTTGGAGGGAAAACTGAGGGTACTTTGAAGTACATGTTACAGGTGCCTGACTTGGTGTGGGGTTGAGTTGGGAGTGGGGAATTCCTGAGGAAGTGACATTTGAGCTGGCACAGTGCCCTTTTGGAAGATTTCTCTCCTGCAAGATGAGTAAGAGGCAAGGTGTTCATGCTGAAAATGAGCTGATGATGGCTGAAAATACCATTTTGTGCAGGAGAGTCTGAAATAAAATGAAAGTGTTATGATCCCACGGAGGGCTAAGTGATTTTCTGTGGTGCTGGGGTTGGTGGCAGTGACAAGCCCTTGAGTCGTAGTGCCAGCTGCCCCTTGCCTGTTTCCATGGAGGAGGCTTACCTAAGATAGTGTCAACTTCTTCATGGAAGTGGAGATGGAGTGTAATTATGGGTTAATTCACAGGCCTCTGCATGCTGAGGTTCTTCCTCTTCTGTTTCCCCTTAAAAGCCTCCCTTCCCCTTGTCCCACGGTGCTGGGGATTGAGCCCAGGTCTCTGGATTCCTATGAGTTTTCTGAAAAGATGAAGCTGCCTCTGTCATTTTTCAGATCTGTTGATCCCATTCATCCTTGTCATTTCTCAAGTTTTGAGAACTAGGTGTACTTCCAATCATCTCTGTAGTTCATTTTGGAATCAATTTGTTTTCTTCATTCTTTAAGTATAAAATTAGGAATAGGTGTAGTTCACTGGTAAAGTACATGATTAACATGTGTGAGGCCCTGAGTTCCACCTGCAGTACTGCAAAACAAATAAATTAATTAAATTAGCCCATTCTTTTGTTCCCCCTCCCCCCCTTTTCTTGAGCTTTGATACAGGTTTGGAGCTTAATATAAAGGTCATATCCTAGAACCAGTCTGATAAGGATGCAACTGTATGAGAAAAAAATGCAAATTGGCTTAGTTTTAGTAGGCTGTAAAAGATGAAGTCAACAACAAAAAAAAATTCTCTATCATTTATCTGCATAAATGTGAAATGGGGACTTGGAAATTTCCCAAGGACAAAAATACATCTTTTAGGCTTATTGTGTGCCGAGATAATGTGGTGGGTTATAGGTGGGAGCAGATTGGAAGAACACAGAAGAGATCCGCAAAGCCCACGTCCCCAGTGGCTGGCACTGGCTGTTGGATACACTGCTGTTACCCAAACACTGCGGTGCTTCTCCTAGTGGAAAACTTACCAAAGGCATTCAATTCAGCGTCAGACTGGACCTAGAGCACTGGGGGCTGGAGGTAGAGCTCAGTAACCACTGAGCTCTAGTACTTGCCTAGTGTGCATGAGGCTCTGGGGTCTGTTTCCTAAAAATCATGGTTGACCTGATAACTTGTATCCATTTGGATAATTTGTATCCAAAAGAGCCAATCAGCAATGAGCAGGTGAGATTCCCCAAGGGATCTTGGGTAGCACCCCTATGTTCACCATCTTGCTGGTCTCTGCTTTTTCCTTTTTTTGTCTGCTCAGTGGTTTAATGGAGCTGGACTGGCACTGAGGATGGGAACGGATACTTTAACCTCTCCAAGCAAGGAGCATGCTTACTTTCACACTGCAGGGATTTCAGAACCATTTATCCTCCTGGCTCAGGGACTCAGAAAGCCTGGCCCTGATGCCTGCTCTGGTTTCCTGCTACCTTACCCCATTAAGGCCTCCAGTGCAAAGAGCCCTTCCAGAGCCTGGCTGCTGCTGGTTCTTGTTGTGTGTCCCTGAGGAAGTCAGCACAGATTTTAGGAAAAGTAACACGATGTGCAGAAATTCCTTTTATCTTGAAAGAATACAGTACATTGTCCAATTAAGGGAACAAAACTGGAGCACTCACATAGAATACGAAATCTGCACTTCACTTTCAGAGATCTGTGTTAAAGGAAAGGGGTGTTAAATTTAAAAGAGTGGAAAGAATATACATAAACAGTATGCAGATCTACTTGAAACAGGCCACGCCTGCTCACTCATACTGACATCATACTGATGCATCATACTGATGCAGGACTCCGGAAACAGTCTCACTTTGTCACTTAAGAGCTCTGTGTCTTTGGGTTTCAGGTTTCTCTTCTGTAAAATGGGTATAATGCTGATTGTTATGGGTAGTAAGTGGGTTAGTGTATGTCTGGCCAGTGCTCAGAATGATACTCAGTTCCTAGTAAGTGCCGTTCCAATGTCAGCTCGCACTAGTAGCTGCTGTTTTCTGGGCTTGATTGTTTTCCAGCTGTACCATGAGGAGGGCGGACTGCATGTTGTTCTCCACCTGGTGAGCACAAGTCACCCAGGGAGCTTATAAATTCACACTGCCTGGGTTATAAATTCACACTGCCTGGGCCCCTCGCCAGCTCTGGGGAAATAGAATCTCTGGGGGATAGGGGTCAGCCTGGACACCTGGGTTTTTTAAAAGCTTTGTGTGCGTGATTCTGTACCACAAGGAGGCTGAGAACCAGGGGAAAAGACGGTCGGTCCTGAGACCCCTTCATCTGGAAAGTTGGCACATTGTGTTTCTGTTTGGAGGGTCATAGTGAGTCTTCCCATCCTCAGTGTGTTAATACACGATTAAACTTTCTTCTCCCCACCCCCCACTTCCCACCCCTGCTTTTTGAGGTGAAAGTCTTGTAACATAACATTAACCATTTTACTTAAACAAATTTTTCCTGGTCCAAGCCATTCCCGTGCTCAGCAACTCCCACCCTGCCCCCAGTCACTGGGACTACAGGCATGCACCACCACATCCAGCTGAGTTGTCCATTTGAAAGTGTACAGTTAGGTGGCATGTATGTTCACAGTGCTGTGCAAACACCACCTCTTTTCAACTCCTGAACATTTTATCTCCCAGGAAAAGAGTATGGAGTCCAGTGAGCAGTCCTCCTGCTCCCCTCCTTCCCCATTACTGCCCCCACCCCCCAGCAGCCACCAATTTGCTGTCTGTCTCTGCAGCATTACTGGATCTGAACATTTCATGTAAATGGAATCCTACAATATGTCTGGGGTCTTTCTAAGCACTTAGCATGTTTTTGAGATTCACCTATATTGTAACAGGGCTTCGTTCCTTTTTACAGCTGAGTTACATTCCACTGTGTGGACACCACATTCTGTTTACCCGTTTATCTGTGGATGGACATTTTGGTTGTTTCTTCCTTTTGGCTCCCTCGAACAGGGCTGTTAGCAACATTTGTGTGCAAGACTCAGCTGAACACCTGTTTTCAGCTCCTCTGGGAACATACCTAAGAGTGGAACTGCTGGGGCTGGAATGCAGTGGTAACTCTACCTTTCACTTTTCCAGGGACTGTGCGTGATTACACTTTGATCTCTGTTCTTTGTCCTCGCAGATCTTCCTTGACTTGTCCCCACTGCCTGAAACAGAGCAACACCTTTGATCCTTTCCTGTGTGTGTCCCTTCCCATCCCTTTGCGCCAGACGAGGTATGTGAGTGTCACTTCTTGCCCAGTGCCCTTGACTCTCCCCTTCACTTGTTGCTGGGAGTTTTGCAGTCTTGCATCTGCCATTTTTCTCTTTTGTTTCTTACTCAGCATTTCTCTGAAACCAGTCATGTAGTCAGGTGACATTCAGTTCTTGAATGTGACAATTAGAGTGAAAGAGAACCTTGTCCCTTCTTTAGCTGAGGAAGGAGTTGTGGACAGAATGCCTGTGTATCCATGCTCTTGCCAGGTTTAGATCTTTGGCCTTTCCAGGAACTGGTATGGATGCCCACATTACTTGGTCAAACAGACAGGGGCGAACCAGAGCAAATCTATTGCTGCCTGCTTTGTTTCAAAATCCGTTTTCTTGGTGAAGATGTGGGAAATGGTTTATTGAAGGAGCAAAATAAAGCAGAGGTATGGTTGGGTACGAGAGCAGTAGACTGTGCTGTATAAGAAGCAGAAAGTGCAGCCTGCTTCTAGAAACCCAACTTAGCAGTGGTGTTAAGGCAGCTAGCCAATTGCAGAGCCATGGAACCTTAGTGAGCTTATATGTGGGGAGCCATCACTGGCACCGAGATGGTGGCATTGAGGCAGAGGCATTTCTTCATTGTGCTCTCCACCTCCTCAAGTACCACTTTTCCTACCCTCTGCCTGCTGGCATCCTCCATGTTTAGGATGTAGCAGAAGACACAATGTCTTCACAAAGCCTTCCTTGGCAACTTAAATCTCCCTTTCTGTCTGAAGTCCTGTGCTGTCTACTCCTCAACTGTAACCATTGGCTTATGCTGTAGATAGTATGGTTTATACTGTTGTCAGTGACGTCTACTGATAGATGGGACCTAAGACAGGGGTTGAGACCATGGACTGGGACAGACCTGAGCAGAGCCTATTAACTAGTTGTGTAACTTGGACAATTATTACAGTATGGAATATTACAGAAACACCAACCCCACCCCACCCCTACCCCCAAGAGTGGGCCTTGCTGGACCAGCGAGGGTAGTAGGAAATGGAAGCAGATTTCTGAGGGAAAGTTTCATTAAGAAAAGGAGAAAAGTCATCAATAGGTTTGATTTATACTGTAAGAAGCAGCTGAGATGCTTAGTTTTCAAACTGCACAGTTCATTTTTACTTATTATCTATTCAACAATTAGAGTCGTGAGATCAGAGATCTGTGTTGTGATTTTTTTTTTAATTGCATCAGGGTCTTGCTATGTAACCCAGATTGGCCTCAAACTCACGATTCTCCTGCCTCAACCTCCTGAGTGCTGGAACTACAAGAATTACATGCTCTGCATGTGCAGTAATTCTTAAGTATTTTCAACTCTGGAAAAGCAGTTTGGGAGATTTGGCTCTCCACTGCCACCTGGCAGCAGTGTACCCAAAGTGCAGGAACCCAACCAAGAAGGAGAGATGAAGTACTGAACTTGACCCCATCGTCTGTGGTGTTGGTGACCATTCATGTCGGTCCTTTAAGGATGTGGTTCCCTTCCTGTTTTCCAGATTCTTGAGCGTCACCTTGGTTTTTCCCTCTAAGAGCCAGCGGTTCCTGCGGGTTGGCCTGGCCGTGCCCATCCTCAGCACAGTGGCCACCCTGAGGAAGATGGTTGCTGAGGAAGGAGGCATCCCTGCAGATGAGGTGTGATGGAGTTGAGTGGGGCCCTGGTCACTGGATGACAGAATGCTGACTGCGCCCACTGCCTGAGCTAATGTGTGGTACCCAAGTGACTCTAGCATGACTCACAGGCTTCTGTTTGACTAGTAGTCCCTGGGGTCCATGGTGACTGGGCTCCTGACTTCTCCCTATATTACTCAGTGTGTCTACCAAAGGACACTTTGCCTTCTAAGAAGGTGATGGTGACTATGATTGGACTAATTCCAATAGTAGCTGACCTCAGTCTTGCTTCCTAAGTGCTTGTCACTATCCCCGTTATCCCGTGAGCTTTATGTTCGCTTGTAGTCAGAGCTGATTTGATCACAAGCACTGTAAAGAAGATATTTTGCCAGTGACAAAAAGTGCTGGCAGAGAGGGTCCAGTGACTTGTCCAAGGTCAAACAACTAGGAAGTGGCTGAGCTGAGATTTGAATGCAGGCGTTTGATACCAGAACCTGAGCTACTATTCTGTATTTTTACTCCCAAAGGAACAGTGACTGGAAGTCGAGGAACTGACATGGCAACTGACGTGTGGGACAGTGAGACATTTGGGGCTGTGCGGTTTTATTTTTAAGGAGTCTTGGTGAAGGACTGGACTCACTGTGCCAGGAGGGGCCCTAGGACACAGTGGGACAGTGGGGATGTGATGACAAGCAGTGTGGCAGGTGGGCTTGGCTCTAGGTGGGATCTACTTTGATGCCATTACTCTCTGGCTCTCTGACCTTGGACCATACAAATGATTGGTTCTCCCTGAGTTTCCTTAACTGTAAAATGGAAAATTTACACTTCCCTGACTTCATGGTGGGATTTTTTTCAAATTAAAAAGAAACATTTTTTGACCTTTTTGTTAACGTATAACACACATATGACAAAGCATTTTTATTTTAAGTTTGTGGGCTATTGAATTTCAGTGTGGTTACTGAGTCTTTTTGCCAGTGGACTTCTTCCTACCCCCACCCCACCAATCCCTCTGACTCTGTCGCTGCCTGTAGCATTTTTTATGAGGATCACAAATAGGGGAAAATATTATGTATCTTGTTTGTAAACTCTAAAGTGCTCTGGCGGTCTTGTGTCTGTGTGTGTGTGTGAGTGAGAGAGAGAGAGAGACAGACAGACAATGCAGACATTTGGGGAAATGGCAGTAGTAAACGATCAAAAGGAGGAAATCTGAGAGAGGGAGAGTTCCAGTAGTATCAGGACTGTCAGGAATGTGAGAGCAGGTGAGATGTGTTTGTTCAAGGAGATAGAAGTCACTTCATGTTAGTACAGGATAAACATTTTGACTGTAATTAAAAATCTGTTTCAATGTTTTGTTTGTCTTGAGACAGGGTTTTGGTACATTCCAGGCTGACCTAGAACCCACTATGTGACCTAGGCTGCCTTCATCTCTCAGTCCTCCTGCCTCAGCCTCCCAAGTGCTGGGATTATAGGGATGTGTCATCATGTTCAGCTGTTTCATTTTCTTTAATTGGCACATTTATTCTGCTTATTTTGTCTATGTCATGGAGATGTTTGGATGTATTTTTTCTATGTCTTCTGATTTGGGACAGACACCTTACATTTTTTTCTTTCAATGTTTATTATTAAAATGTCAGCATGAATAATTAATACAGTTAATGTTAATCTTCTTAAACAACCCAAAGATCTTGGTACGCTTTAATTTCCCTTTGACCTTTTTGATATCTTTTTATCTTAGATAGCAATTATCATTGTTTTGTACTATAATTCCTCCTCCCCTTTCTCCCACTTGTAGGAGTAATAGTATTGTAGTTTTACATATTCAATGAATGCTTACATTTACCGGTGTTTAACATTTTCTTTGACTCATCATTTCTTCTTACAAATCAAGTTTTCCTTCTGATTCATTTTTAAAATTTTTGTTGTATTACATCTTTTTGTGGCAGGGTTACACTCTATAACCCAGCCTGACCTTGAAGTCATGATCCTACTGCCTCTGCCTCCCGAGTGCTGGGATTGTAGGTGTGGCTCAGTTGTTTTTTTTTTTTAAATCCTGAAATGTGTCTTTTACACAAGCACTTCCCAGCCTGTATGCCTGGAATTAGTTATATGAATTACATGTACTGAGATGTTGTGTTGGGTCTGGAACAGCTGGGATCCCCAAGGCTCATTCTTTACTATGAAATTATCTCCTGTTTACCATATTCCATGAACTTACTTTTCATATATGACAAAATGTGGAAAAGGTTAGTAGCATCTTTCTCAGTGGAGCTCTGTTAGTGGTAAACATTTTTTAAAAAAAATTATCTGAAGAGAGCTTTATTTTATGCTAATGTTTCCATGATAGTTTAGCTGGGTATAGAACGCTAGCTTTTCACTTTTTTGTTGTTCTTGCATTTGAAATGTTTGTGATAAATCTAATTGTTATGCATACTGTTATTTTATTATTTAAAATGTACAGATACACCTTCCTTAAAAAAGAAAGGGTATAAAGGAGTTTTAAGACTCTCAGCCACTTTCTGCTTTCTTATCTGTTAGGTTCTCCTTGAGAAATCAAGAGGGAAAATGATCCTTCTTATTGCAGGTGATTTTGGTTGAACTCTATCCCAGTGGATTCCAGCGGTCTTTCTTTGATGAAGAGGACCTGAATTCCATTGCAGAGGGAGATATCGTGTATGCTTTCCAAGTCCCTCCGTCCCCTGGCCAGGGGACACTCTCTGGTACAATAGTGCTTTGCACAGTTCTACTTAGATATCATGAGATACAGGATTAGGGAGGTACTTTTTGGGTATAAAGGCATAAAACATTTAATTTTCCCCTTTGGAGCTGTCAGGCTTATTTTCTCTGGCATTTGGTATATAGATGGTTGATACTAAAAGTTATTCTGCTAATACCAGGGTTCTTAGTCACCCAAAGGACTTATTAAAGTAAATTTCTTGGCCCTGTCCCAGAAGTTCTGAGCCTAGGATGGGGCCTGAGAGTCTACATAACTAACGAGATCTCAGGAGATGCTGCTGCTGATGATTGGGACCTCACCGTGAGAACCACTATTTAATGTAGGTTTCAGGGTAATCTTTGTCTTCAAGACTTATGACTCAAAGTCTGTGTTTGAATTATGAGCAGCTGATAGCCAGAAAAAGGTTGTAAATGACTGTTTTGTTAATAATGCCACTTCCTAATGCATGCTTCCTTTTCCTAAACCTCAGACTGGCTCACACAGTCAATTCCTAACCAGCACTCATTGGACATCAGTATATATTTTGGCCCCATTAGCTAGTCTCCAAGGCCTATATTTAAAGGACCATGTGCTAGTGGTCCAACATTCAGCAGCTTCCACTTCCCTGTGTCTTCGCTTTCTGCAGATAGCCATATCCAAACATGATCTAAAAATACTATATGAAAAATTATAGAAGTAATAATTTAAAAGTTTTTTTTTCTATGCTAGGGATCAAATACAGGGTGTCATGCATGCTAGGCAAGTGCTCTACCACTGAACTTTAACCTCAGTTCCACAATTCATAAGTTTTAAATAACGTTTTTACAGTTAAATTATATTGTTATAATTATCCTATTTTGTTATTAGATGTTAATCTCCTCTTGTGCCTAATTTAAAAGTTAAACTTTATCACAGGTATGTATGTATGGGAAAAGACATAGTATAGAGTTTGGTGGTATCCAGATGTTTTCTACTCTTGAATCTTGGCGTTGGAATCTGGAGCAAAATATTGATTGACCTTGACTGTGTTGCAGTCTGTGAAACAAGCCCTCATTTCAAATTCAATCACTGATGACATATTTTCATTGAAAATAAAAATTTCAGTACTGATTGGAAATGGAGAATAGTTAAATCCCCCCCTCTTTCCACTGTGATAAAAGATGGTCACCTCCTCTGTGCTCTTATGTTGACTTTCTAAGACAATGGATGGGTCTGAGCTCTTGGATCAAGATGTAAAAGCAACCAAAATCATCTTAGAGTATTTTTCAGGTTGCTTTGGAAATTGCTAGTTAAACCCAGGCCCTTATTTTGAGAGTATGGCCGGAAAACAATTGCAAATTCACTGCCATGCATATGACCTTCGTATGCCAGATGTCAGATGGCACAAATGCCATGAGTTTTCTCATCTCCTGAAAAGCCCATGGTGATTTCCATGATGGCACCATGGTGAAAGATGCTCAGAGAGAAAGGGCAGGAAACGCCCAGGCTCTGATCCAGCAAAGAAGATCTTTTAAGGATATGCATACCATTCTCTCTCTTCTAGCTCTTCCATCCAGTCTGTCCATGTCCCCATGCTTGGCGGCTGGTGAGGGTCAGCGATTCTCCCAGTCCCTTCACAGTGACAACAAGGTGCTTATCCTCTTCTGTAACCTGGTGGGGTCAGGGCAGCAAGCCAGCAGGTATGTGTAACTTCATCCTGTTTTCACGTGATGCCTGGGATTTGTAGACCGGTACTTGGGATTCTGTGTAGAATAATTCTAACTTGATAAAATTAAATATCTATTCCCAAGGCTAATAAACTAGGAGAAGGGAATAAGGGTATTTTCTAATTGAGACAATTAGAAATAATTGCCTTCAGCAGATGGCTAGCATTCTTAATTAAACATCAGAGCTCTCCCATTAATTGCAGAACAATTATCATTGTCCTTACTGCTATTATTTTATATTGTGCTGTAAGGGCTAGAAGTCCCAGGGCAATGAAACTGGCTAGAAGAAAAGAGGAAAGTAGGGCATGTTGATCCATGCCTGTAAACCCAGGTACTCAGGACGTTGAGGCAGGAGGACCATAAGATCGAAGACAGGCCTGGGCTACATAGTGAGACCGTCACAGAAAGAAAAGACAGACCACAAAACGCAACAAGAAAAACAAAGAAAACTATCGCTATTTGCAGAAAATCACAAACTGGAAAGTGACTAGAATTAATGAAAGAATTTAGGAACATGAGCACTTATGTTGCAAATATGCAAAAGCAGATACATTTCTTACCTAGCCTGAGTCAAATTCTTACTGGAATGGTGGTGAGGATAAAACCCAGGCTCCTGGGCATGCAAGATAAGTGCTGTACAAATGAGCTATATCCACAGCCCAAATAAAGTATTTACAAAGAGATGAGAAGTGTCTGAGGGGATGGATATGCTAAGCACCCTGATTTGGTCATTCTACATTGTATACACGTGTTCAAACACTACATTGTATCCCATATATGTATAATTATTATTTGTCAACTGAAATTAAAATACAAGTAGGTGTTTAACAGATAGAATTCTGGGCTGGGGTGTGTCCACTGGTAGAGTGTGTACACACAAGCTTAGCAAGCACAAGGGCCTTGGGTCAATCTCCAGCACCAAAACAGAGAATTCCAGTAAGATAAGTTTGGATTAATAAAATGTTTCTAAACTTTATTTGGAATATAAACTGGTAAGAATAGCCAGAAAATATTGGGGGAAGGGAAAAGGAGGAAAAGAGATTATTCTATAAAAACAGAATGAAGTTTTCACTTTTAAAATATTGTGAACTGGGCAGTGGCTGCTCATGCCTGTAATCCTAGCTACTCAGGAGGCAGAGATCAGGAGGATCGCAGTTTTAAGTCAGCCTGGGCAAATAGTTCATAAGACCCTATTTCAAAAAAACCCGTTATGGAAAAGGACTGGTGGAGTAGCTCAAGGTATAGGCCCTGAGTTCAAACCCCAGTACTGCAACAACAACAACAACAAAATTGTGATATTTTAACATCTAAGGTCTTGGATTTTCAGGTTTGGGCCACCCTTCCTGGTAAGGGAAGACAGAACTATTTCCTGGGCTCAACTTCAACAGTGTATTCTCAGCAAGGTCTCCTGTCTCATGAGGACAGAGGCCCCGACACAGGTAAGTGTGAAGAGGGTAGAATCGGGTTAGTCAGGAGAGGGAACGATTTGCTGTTAATGAGAGTGAGTGGTCACATGGTTTGATCAAACAACTTTGATTTATGTGCAAAGAAGTAACCATTTTATAGCCTATGACATTTTAATCTTTGTGGTCTCACAAAACATCTCATGAATGAAGCCTTTTCTTGCTATATCTTCCCAGCTACCATCAGAAATAAGAGCAGTGTTTACATTATTTTCAACTTTGTACTTTTATGGCTTTCTGTGGTTTTCCTAGAGGATAGAATATTGTAATACATTGTAATTTATACATTTACATAAAAATTTCAAGGGACTTGAGATAAAGTTTGTGTAAAATTTAAATTGATGATTATGTCTATATGTAAAAGCTTATCCAGTTTTTGAGAAACTGAGATTAACAACTCAAGGGAAAACACTTTCTTGCCTTGTTCTTATTCTCAGGTTGATAGTTCCGAATTTAAAAAAAAAATTAAAAATTATTTTTAGGACTGGGGGCATGGCTCAAGTGGTAGAATGCCTGCCTAGCAAGTGTCAGGACCTGAGTTCAAATTGAAAAAAAATCATTGATTTTTAGTACTTATAAAGCTATTGTTCTTTAGCTCCTATAATATCAGAAGCCATTCTGATGGTTGCCTGGCAAGAAGGAGTTGAAATTTTAAGGACAGGTCAGTCAGTAGCGTCAGAATCTCGATTCTTCCCAACTATAAGAACCTTTCATTTGGGGGATATACTGAACACTTTTCAGAGAAAATTCCTCAAAAGTGATATTTCTTCCTGCTCAGGAAAAAAAAAAAAGCATACGTTTGACTTAGGGTTTACACCAAGTCCACTTTGTTAAAGACCTTCACTACATTTATATCAACCTTTATCTCTAAGGGGTTTTGTTCACTGTACTGCAGAGCCGATCTACCACAGTGCCCAAATTAGAAACTAACTTCTCTACAAGTAGGTCAGGATATGCAGTAAGAGCGGTTGCCATACCCCAAACTGTGGGCTACTGATTGTTGAAAGTGGATGAAACCACTTTCATGTGAACATTTATCTCAGCTGCTCTTGTTCTTTACCTTGTCACACACATATCTTTGCTTCTCTGTCTCTATATAGTCATTTTAGTTTTAGGAACTGGTCAAGCATTCAGTAGGGTGAACAGAATTCAAATACAGGAAACCTCCAAGTTGGCCATAGATTCATTAGTGAATGTGTGGTTGGCATGATTTTCTGTAGGAATAATGAGTTCCAAATGGTTCGGAGGCTCTTAGGCTAGCCCACCTATTTAACATATATAAATATAATTTTTTTCGTGTGGTATTTGAGTTTGAACTCAAGGCTTCATGCTTGCAAAGTAGGTGCTCTACCTCTTGAGTCACACTTCCAGTCCACTTTTTGCTCTGGTTATTTTGAAGATGGGGTCTTAAAAACTATTTACCTGGGCTGGCCTTGAACTTTGATCCTCATGATCTCACTCTCCCAAGTAGCTATGATTACAGTCAAGAGCCACTGGCACCCAGCCCATAATTTTTCTAATACTTTATTAAATATTGGTTACATGTGGTAATCATTTAAGTGAATATATTCAGAATTTTCAACATTGAACTGAAGAGATTAAACATAGTGAACATATATTGAAGGTTCTAAAATGAACCTCCTTAGCCAAGAATAGAGGACAGGAAAATGTTTCAAAAAATTAACAATTTGCTAGAGAGAATTAATTTTCAGGAATTATGAAGAAAAGATTTATTATGGTGGGAATGTTTTTGTGGTCCCTGTATAAACCTGGGTGTGAGAGGCCATTGTGCACAGGCCTGGTCAGCTGCCTCCACACAGTTGTTGGGGCCTTGTTGATGGATGGTCTTGCCATGCAAACAGCAAGGCTCAATTAGAGATGACAGAGGAAAGAGTGTTCTCCCCCAGATTAAAGTTAATATTCCTCTTAGGAAGTACCTCCTCCCAAGGTCAACCCTGAGTCAAAACTGAAGTCAGCTGGCTTCCAGCCATTTATTTTCTCTTTGCTGAAAACCATCAATCATCCAGAATGTGGTAATAGTCCAGGTAGATATGCAAACTCTCTAAACTTCATTGTCATGATCCTTGCACTAGTCAGTTTCCCATTACTACAGTGAATACCCAAGGAATCTGACATATGAGAAGAAAGGCTCATTCAGCTCAGTTTTGAAGGTTCAAAGATGTGGTGCCTGCATGGACTCGTTTCTGGTGAGGGTGGCAGATGGTGGCACATGTGGTAGGAACCTGTATAGGAGGGGAACTATCACATCTCCAAGTGGAGCAGAGGGAGAGTGAAGATGGGCTGCGCTCCCACAGTCCCTGTGAAGGCAAGCCTCCAGTGATCTGAAGACCTAGGGTGGAATCTCTTTATGTACTTGCTTTGAGATATTATTTTGCATATGGTATATAAAACACATGAATTTGCTTTTAGATAATTGCCTTATGTGTGGTGCTAATCATCTTAATAAAGGAGGTTAAACTATCAATAATTAATTAATAATTGTTCTTATTTTCCATTTACTATACCAGTAAATCAATGCAGTTAAATACTTGTTCTTAAATACAGTATGTTCATTTGAGAGGGAGGATTCAACATGTCAAACATAGTGTTAGATTACTATGTTAAAAGAGTGTGAGGGCTGGGGTGTGGCTTAAGTGATTGGGCCTCAAGAGACCTGCCTAGCAAGCATGAGGCCCAGTATTTCCCCAGAAAGCAAAACAACAACAACAAAAAGATAATTTGTGACTCTTCAAAAAAAAATGAAGCCTTTATATCTTTTGATTTTAAATATCAATTGTTAAGGGAAAAGTCAAAATACATGATAAAAAAGGGACTGTACTTTTGATTAATTTATGTGCCACTTAAGAGTAATTTAAATCACACAGGGACTACATGATGGCTGTCCTCTTGTTTTTGTCTTGTCAGGACCTGGGGTCATTGTTCTCCATCCGGGTTGTGGGACTCTCCCTGGCCTGCAGCTACTTATCCCCACAGGAGAGTCGGCCCCTCTGTCACTGGGCACTTGACAGGTAAGGGAAGAGAAAGGAGTCCGGCCCCTCTGTCACTGGGCACTTGACAGGTAAGGGAAGAGAAAGGAGTCCTACTGGACTAGGACTCTCACCCCCCAATTTAAATCACCCCTAACCTACCATCCAAGCAGAGCTCCATTACAGGCCTCTTTTATGGTGGAAATGGGGAATCTGAGGGTCCTAAAGGAAGAAGTTTAGGTCTAGGGCTCCCCGGTGTGTCTCATTTCAGGGGCAGAACTGCTTCCAGGGAGCTCAAGGCACAGGAGAGGGAGAGCCAACCTGCTAAGGCTTAGTACAGGGAGAGGAAGGGGTGAGCGTGTGGCTCCGTGGTTTCTCCCAATCCATCAATCAGGAAAGGCGCTTCTTCTCTTTCTTGGGAAGGAGGGAGGGAGGAGAAGAGCAAGCAGCAACCTCTCTTAGCTTAGTTCTCCTATGTCTTTAGAGAGAGGAGGAGGGGCACACAGGAAGGTGCTGCAGCTCTACCCCAGAGCCCCTGGTACTGCTCCACAGGATTTTGTGTCTTTCATGAGAGCTCCAAACCCACTATTGAATCATCTTGGTGACAGTTCTGGACTCATCTGACTTCCACCTTTTATTTTACTACAAATTTTAAACAGTCTCTTGGGTGTGAATTTGGCCACCACTTCTATCGGCTTATTGATTCAGGGTAAAACCTCCCACCCTCCACTCCCATCTCTTCTGCCTCAAGGCTGAGCAGCCTCTTCTGCAATGAGCTGAACGGCAGCAGTTGGGAAGACGCATACGTTGCCCCTGAGATTTTCTGTATATTGGAGGGCTTGGAAGGAGAAGGCCTTTTTTTTAGGTTGTGTGTCCCCTGTAGTGGTGAGGGGGCAGTTAGCAACTCTGCTAGGGCTTCGTTAGTATTGGGTATTTGTGTGGGGAGACTCACGTGGAGCTGCGCTGCAGACACTGAGAGAAGATAGTTGGGGCAACAATGGGACAGTTGATATGTGTCCTCATAGTAAGCAAAAGGCTTAGAGCTCCCACCTCCCAAGGGCATGAGGGAAGATGCAAAGAAGCAGGCTTAGAGTTAAGCCTTCTGCAGAATTGGAACCCCCCAGGTATCTCCCCTTAGTTTCTGTTCATGTTAGGGTGTTTTTCTTTGGTAGGACCACAGACCACTAAGCCCTGCAGAGCTGTGGGAAGGGAGCTCCATGTTTTCTAATGGATTCCCTCATTTTCTCCTCAGGGCTTTGCACCTGAGGAGGCCGGGAGGTCCCCCGCACATCAAGCTGGCTGTAGAGTGGAATAGCTCTGCCAAGGAGCGGTGAGTTAATGAATTTTGCCTCCTGCAGAGGTGAGGCAGGACCTGCCTGTGTCCAAAAACCTTCCCTGGACCCAGTTTCCCTCTGTATGCTTGAAAGGTAGTGTGCACACATATTCCATGGGTTGTGATTCATCCCTCTCACAGACCTCAGTGAGAAGTGTCCACAGGTGAACAGCCATGATTACGTCATGGTCATCATGATGGTGTGGGTGGCAGTGTTAGGAGTAGCAAGGGCCTTTGTCACCCTCACTCATGCCATTCACTGCTCTGAGCACTTTGTTGTATTTTTTTCTCTTAATAGTTTATTTAATCTTCATCATACCCTATGTGTGGGTACTATGAGCTAGGTACTACCATACTCCACATTTCTCACAGGTGGAAAACAAGGCACAGAGAGAGTAAGCAATTGCTAAAGTCACACAGCTTGTATATGCAGAGCTGGGATTTGAACCCAGGCTACCTGGCTCTAGTACAGGGTCTTCACTACTCTACTGTGCCTATACTCCATGTGTGTCAGCCATACTTTGTAGAAGGACATTTTTCAGTCCAACAAAGTATTTATTTATCACCTACTAGGAGGTAAATCTTGTGCTGGGCTGAGAAAAATAGAAATGAATAAGCCCAGGACTCAGTCCCTTGAGCTGGTGGGGAAGACAGATGACTCCTGTGAGATACAGTGAGCCCAAAGTTGAGGTGCAGGAGGTTCTCCACAACCTGTAGGGAGGGCACTGCAGCTTCCTCTGCCTGATGCCTTCCACCACCAGGTTTGCTGTGAGGAGAGACAGGTGAGATCCTTCTTAGAGGGGCAGCCCTGAATGTCATGGTGTCCTTTCTCTCCACACAGCCTGTTTGGGAGCCTCCAGGAGGAGCGGGTTCAAGATGCAGATAGCGTGTGGCAGCAGCAGCAGGCACACCAGCAGCACAGCTGTACCCTGGATGAATGCTTTCAGTCCTATACCAAGGAGGAGCAGGTCCTGCCCTGTGGTCCACTCCTTGGCTGGGAAGGGGACTCGCTGCCTTGTGGTGGGTTGACAGTGTGCCACAGGGGCTTCATGGTCCTGGTGTCTTCCTTTCCAGCTGGCCCAGGACGATGCATGGAAATGCCCCCACTGCAAAGTCCTCCAGCAGGGCATGGTGAAGCTGAGTTTGTGGACCCTGCCTGACATTCTCATCATCCACCTCAAAAGGTTCTGTCAAGTGGGAGAGCGAAGGAACAAGCTCTCCACGCTAGTGAAGTTTCCCCTCGCTGGACTCAACATGACTCCCCATGTAGCTCAGAGGAGCACCAACTCCAAGCCACTGCCAGTCCCCTGGCCCTCCTGGAAGCAGGCGGCCCCTCTGCCCACCACCTACTCGCTGGACTTCCTGTATGACTTGTATGCCGTCTGCAACCACCATGGCAGTCTGCAAGGTGGGCATTACACAGGTGAGCCTTGCCTCTCTGCACTAGCAGCCCTGGCCACAGGTCTTGGCTGTGGCCTGAGCCTCACGATTCTTCCAGAATTGGCGCTCCTTGAATGCTGAGCTCCCTTTGGCACTCAGCATGGCTGACTCCTCAACCAAAGAACACCAGGGTGTGTGCAAGAGGGGAGGGGACCTGGGCCCATCTGTGGAGCTGATGCCAGAGTTGGGATGTTTTTATCCTGTGGGGTATTTTCAGTTTCTATTTGTCTGGTGAACTTGGAGCAGTAGATGAATAGAAAGACAAAATGCGGTGCAACTCGCAGCAGTTCATAGTCATCCCTGTAAGTGCTCTGAAGATAGTGATATGACTGATCGCTTCCCGGCATTCTTTGCTTCTTCCTCACCAGGGCATCATAGTGATCCCGGGAAGCCTGTAGGTGGCTGTTGGCAGCGGGAGCTGAGCATCCACTGTAGATATTAGTGGGGGCTAATCTATATGATGCTTATGATTCTGATAGGCTGAGGACATGTAATGGCCTCTGCCATTACAGGGCAGTACTGATGCCCATGCAGAGAGAGACAAGGACGTAGCAGCAGGCTAAGCACCACGTGGATGGACAGAGGGCTGGAGGATATGGCTGGTCCAATCACACCAAAGATGACCGTGGAACCGTGGACGCCACAGCTGCTCTTAGACTGCATTGTGGTGCTTCCCGATCTTCTGCCAGTGTCCTGCTCCAGATAAGAGGGGTTGCCATCTTCATGGCCTTGAGGACTGTTCTGTCCAGCCACATCCCCAGTCCCCCTTTTGTGGGCTAAAAATGGCTCAGCAGAAATCCCTTGAGACCCTTATATATCTTGGGAGACATCTCTCTTGCTGTATTAGTTTCAGGTTTTTTTCTTTTTTTGGTGGTACTGGAGTTTGAACCCAGGGCTTTGTGCTTGCTAGGCAAGTACTCTACTGTTTGAGCCATGCCTCCAGCCCATTTTTCTTTGGCTATTTTGTTACACCTACTTTTTTTTTTTTTTTGGTAATACTGGGGTTTGAACTCAGGGTCTCACACTTGATAGGCCTGATGGGCTATCAAGACCAGATAGGCTGGCAGAGTGGCGCTACCATTTGAGCCACTCTGCCAGCCCATCTATGGCTATTTTGGAGATAGAGTCTCACTCTTTTCCCAGACTAATCTGGACCCTGATCCTCTGCTTTACAGTTCCTGCCATAGCTGGGATGAATGCCACCACACCTAGCTTTTTCTGTTGACCTGGGGTCTAGAGAACTTTTTTGCCTGGGCTGGCTAGAACCATGATTACGGATGTAAGCCACCAGTACCTGGCTAGGCTCAGATATTTTTTTTTTTAAACAAAGAGCATTATAGTTGAATTAGAACCTATACAATCATGAACGATGAAAATAAGGACAACTAGAACTTGGGTTTTGTCGTTTCACCTGCTGAATGCAGCCAGTGCAGCCACCGTGAGGTCTGAGATGTGCCTGGTGCTCATCTGTGCACCTCACAGCATCTCTTTCCTCATGAAAACTCTGCACCTCTGGCTATATGGGCAGAGTCAGAGGTCCAATCTGAGATACTTGGCTTCAGGGTCCTGAAGAGATGACAGACTTTCAACATGAAAAAAGTCTCCAAATCACACAGGGTGCTGTAGATGAGCACAGCCTTCTTGATTTAGGGGCTCACACCCTCTAGAAGCTTCCTAATAAAGGAAGCGTGGCATTTTGTCCTTGCATGTCAGAACCTTTATTCCCATCACTGATTGACTGCCTGGTTGGATATAGAGTTCTGTGACTGATTCATAGATCAATCACCGTCCCACAGGCTTTGAACAGATATGCTCCATGGGGAATAGGGTCTTGCTATTGAGACAGGACAGTCTTTCATTTCTGTACCTTTGCCTGGGATCTGTTTTTCTTCCTGGAAGTTTTCAGGTTCTTTTTCACTGGTGCTCTGGAATTTTACAGGATGTAACTTCACATGGCCTGTGAAAAAATGTAAGACTCTATCCAAAAAATAACTTTAAAAGTAAAAAGGGGTGTGACTCAAGTGGTAGAGTGCAAGGGCAAGACCTGAATTCAGACCCCAATATTGCCCGGGGCAGGGGGAAAGTTTTGAATTTTGGAGCATTGTGGATTTCAGATTACATTGTACTACTTTGTGTCTGTGTGGACTTCAACCGTCTGTGGTAGTTAGAATAATGATCTCCCAAATAATATGTCCATATCCTAAGCCTCTAAACTTGTCAATGTTGCTTTACCCTGCAAGGTGGGAGGGGGGCGGTCAAGGTGGTTGATCGTCTATTAAGATTCAGATTGCCTGGGTGGGCTAAGTATGATCACAGGGTCCTTTCAGTGTGAAGAGGGAGGTGGGAAAGTCAGTGGTACAGGTGAGAAGGATGCAAGCTCAACTTTGAAGATGGAAGGGGGCCAGGAGCCAGGGAATGTGGGCAGCCTGGGAAGCTGGGAAGGATGGGAAAGCAGACTCCCTGGGAGCGAGTCAAGAGGTCAGAATGTTGCCCTGCTGACATCTTGACTTTAGACCAGTGAGACTTTGCTCAGATTTTTGACTTCCTGAATTCTTTTGGGTGGTGAGTGTGGGTGACCTGTTACGGCAGCCCTAGGAAACCAGGCGCTTTCTGATAGTCTCTGACTTTCATTCCCTTTTTCTCTCATTTTCCATTTCCTAGGAGATTAGCTCAATTCCATCTTGTAACCAGGTTATTGCAGGTTTTCATTGTGGCTGTTTCCATTTTAACTTATAAGTGCTCCTCCTTGTCTTAGGTTTCTTTGTCAAAGCATCCTGGTTTTGTTTTTAGCTCACCTGACCTAGCCTTTTGTGGTACATGATACCTCCAGTCCTGAGCCTCTAGGGGTGCACCCTGGTGAATGGCTCCCTTCCTGATGTCCCCCATCCCTGGAAGGCTCTTTGAGTTGCACTCCCTAAGCTTGTGGGGTACCACCACTCCATCTGCTTGCTGAACTCTCAAAGTCTGAGCTCTTGCTTTCTCTTCCATTGTCTTTTGACACTGAAAGTTCATTCCTTTCTGTTTTCTAGAAGTATGGTCAATAACATTTCAGAAATGTACATTTCTAGGAGCCTGAAATGCCTTCTGTTTCATTTCATATATGTTGGCTGTGTGTTGCATTCCTATATTACAAAACTTGCACAGCCCAAAAAAGATGGGCAGTGAAAAGTTTCATTTCCATCTTTGCCCATCATTTGTCCCTTGTGCATTCAAGGGTAACCACTTTTAGTACTTTCTCATGTATACTTCCATCCTGTGCTGTCATGGGCACCTGATTATTTGTTTCACGTATTTCTCCTCCATTCCCTAATTTAAGCAAAATTACTATTTTGTGTGTGATGCACCTGGTCTTTTCTTTTTCCCTTATAGTCCATCTTGGCAGTCTTTGTAGATTTATAGTGCACTTCCCCACCTTCTGTAAGTGCATCGATTAGATGCATCAATGTACTAAGTACATTGTCCACCCTGTAGGTGGACATTGGCTGGTTTATTCTTTTGCTATTAGAAATATTGCTGTTTGCTACATTTACAAGTCGATGGGTAGGGTGGTATCCCATTCGCAGAATAGAGATAGCATGGTTTGTGGTTATTTTTTTGCCGTGCTCTAAGGATCAAACTCAGGCTTTATGCGTGCTAGACAAGTGCTGTATCACTGAGCCACACCCCAGCCTTTGGGTTTTTTAAGACAGGGGTTCTCTATGAAGCTTAGGCTGGCCTTGAACTCCCTATGTAGCCTAGGATGGTCTTGAACTTGTGATCCTCCTGCCTCCCAAGTGCTAGGCATGCCTAGTTAAGCTCGCATTTTGACAAATCTAATAAATTGTCCTGCACAAAGCAGTGTAGGAATTTGCACTTCTACCACCAGGAAGAGGAGGCTTGTTTCTCTGTACCATCTCCAGTAGAGTGTGCTAGAAATCTTTGGATTTTTGCCAGTCTGCGGGGGGAATAGTATCACAGCATAAATACAGTGTTCAGCTTCTACATGGAGTAAGCTCGAGCCTGTTTTCATATGTCTCGGGGTCTTTTTCTGTCCATCTCCTTTGACTGCTTTTCAGTGGGTCCTAATGGTCTCCGTGTAATGCTGCCAGTTGACTGTTCCTGGGGTCACTTGTTGACATGCAGGTGCTTTTCATTTTATTTTATTCCAGGTAGTCAAATTGTACATTGCTTCTTTTGTGACCTTGGATTTTGGTCATGACTAGAAAACTTTTTTAAGATTTAAAAGTATTTTTTCTGTGTTTTCTACTAGTACTTTTTCAGTTTTAGTCTTTTTTTTTTAACATTTGGATCTTTGGAATTTTTTGATACTTTGGAGGGACAGGGACCTAATTTTTTCCCTCCTGAAGGCACCAGTTTTCTCTGGCCACTAACTGAGAAGGTCAACTTAGTTCCTTGAGATGCCATCTACCATATCAGATATTCAATTTTTATTTTTGGGTGTATTTCTGGACTTTGGTTTTTCTGTCTCATTAGTTGAAAGTCCCAACCTGTGAATTCTGCCTTGGATTTTCTGGTCACTGGCCCCCATCCTGAAGCCACCTAGGGGTTGCCAGCCATCAGTCAGCTCATTAGCATGGAGAAATAAACTGTTGCTTTGAAGAGTCCAAGGATTTTCAGAAAATTTTAAATACTTAAGTAGAGGAGTAATGACATAAGTTTGTGTATAAGACGAAATAATCACTTGATGGGAGAATGGGTGGAAGGGAATAAGAGTGGAAGTTGGAATTCCAGTTTGTAGGATGTTTCTGGAACTCAAGTGAAAGACATACTGGCTGGATATGGCCAATAATTCAAACATGTTTGAGAAGTAGAATGGCTTTTGGACAGGATGTAGTGGGAAGGAAAAGAAGAGCAAAGATGAGCTCCCAGTGGCTGGCTCAGATTAGTGTAGGGTCAGCCAGTTATGGCCTGTGGCCATGTCCTGTCCAGGGCCTGTGTTTGTATAGCCCATACATTTAAAAAAATATTTTTAGGGCTGGCATAGTGGCTCAAGTGGTAGAGCGCCTGCCTAGCAAGCTTGAGGCCCTGAGTTCAAACCCTAGTACCACCAAAACATTTCTTTTACAAAAAAAAAAAAACCCAAAACTTTAAAGGTGGCAAAAAAAGAAGAGCAAGAATGTGGCCAAGAGTGAATGTGGCCATATGTGACCCACAAAGCCTAAAGTATTTGCTCATGGGCCCATTATAGGAAAAATTGGCTAACTTCCTGATCAGTGGGTTTTAGTGGTATTTGCTAAGATCAGAGGGCATGAAGAGGATATTTTGTCATCATTGCGAGGGAGGCAGTGAGAATCACGATGGGGAAGAGGTACATCCCACTGCGAGTTTCATCCTTTCTCATATTGCATACCAACCTAGAGATGTGCATTTTGAAACTGGTCAGAAAAAACAGGGTGAATGTTGGCATTATTGCCAAGTAAGAGATACAGTTCAACCTACAGTAACCTAGTCTATTAGTAAGAATCTGGGAGATAACCTATCAATCTTTTCTGATTCCACAGAATTCATTTCTGGCCCCAAATGGATTTTGTTTTTCTCATTGTACTTTAAGCATGTCCATTTTTCAGCTCTGCCAGTGGGAAATATCCTTGTCACTTTTGGGGCTGGAATGATTGAGACTTGGGGTTTGGACCTTTGCAGCCTATTGCCGGAACTCTCTGGATGGCCAGTGGTACAGCTATGATGACAGCACAGTGGAACCACTTCAAGAAGATGAGGTCAACACTAGAGGGGCCTACATACTGTTTTATCAGAAGCGGAACAGCATCCCGCTCTGGTCAGCCAGCAGCTCCTTGCGAGGTGAGTGCCCTGCTTATGGGGTGGGGGGTCAGGAGTCACTTTAAGAATCAAGAGTCTGCTCAGTGTGGCCCACCTGTCACCTTTAGTAACATTTTAGGTGTTTTCCCCTACTTAAGACTTCATAAATATTACTTGCATCTCACAAAAAAAAAAAAAGAATCAAGAGGACGCTTAGTTGAACATCCAGGACCAGGAAGATGGGATGGAAAAGAGGAAACCCTGGCTGCTGCTATAAAAATCTAAGCCTCCCAGGCTAGAAGCACATTTATCAGGATATGAGAAGGATGTGTTGTAAGTCAAGAAAGGGGAAAAGAATCATTGTTTTTTTGTAGGTGAGGCAGGTGACACTTGGGAACGTGGGATTCCCTGTTCTCAATCTTGCCCTTATCGACCCAAATTCAATTAAGCACATGCTTAATTGAATAAACCTGCATTAATCCTGTTAGAAAGGAAGGGGCTGTTGTTGGGGCATAGGGCCTTTCTAGAAAATGTAGCTGTTTAACAGCTTCCCAGCAATTTGTTTGTTAGCCTCAAATGTGCTTGGAAGTCTAGAGAAAAAAGTGCCAAAGCTGACCCTTTTATGTGACTTGTTCTGCTCTGCAAAGCAGCCATCCTATCTTTGGGATGAGAGAGCATTAAAAATTTTTTTCTTTAAATCAGATTTTCTCCTAACCATTGCTGGAAAATGGCCCAATAAAACCAGCAGGTCTAAATCAAGCCTAATCAAGCCTGGCTTCCATTTATAGAAAGCAGACCTTGGAAGAAGAATAAAACATCATATGAGAGGAGGGCGGACTTTCTGACTGTCCAGTGTAATAAAGATAATGTCTGCCTCCAGATCAGAGAGGAGGTTGTTTCCCTGAACTCGGGGTATGCTCCTACAACAGAGCTCACTGTGCATTGACATGTGGGACCTGGGGCCCTGGTCCTGCGCATAGAATGCTATTGCTCTGATTATTATTATGATGTATTAATCATATTGTTATAATTATGTATTATTATTACAGCTATTGCTGTGAGTAAATAAAATCTTTTGGCTCTAGAAAAACAAACAAAAAAACATATTTAGGAAGCCAGAGTTGGTGCCAAGCAATTTCATGGAAGGCATTTCCATTCTCATCAATGTACTTTCCTTTCTGTGCCCCAATTCTTCTCCCTAAACTTGTAAGTGTGGTCACACAGGTACTCCGCCGCAGGTTTCTCCTCCAGTCGTTCACTTCTGGTTCTGCAGTTCTACTCCGTTCTGTAGTTCCAGGGCTGGAGGACAGGGTGAGTGTGACCATGAGAAGTTTTCCCGAGGCCCCGCAGGGACGGCTTGGGTCCAGCCTCCCTCTCTCTGCTTCGTTTACAGGCTCCACCAGCTCCTCCCTGTCTGATCACTGGCTCATGAGGCTCGGGAGCAACAATGGCAACAGCACGGCAGGCAGCGTGTTGTCCTGGAGCTCTGCCCCCTGCCCCTCACTGGCCCGGGTGCCCGACTCTCCTGTCTTCACAAATGGCCTCTGTAACCAGGAAAAGGGTATGTTGGTTAAATTTGCTGATTTTCTCTTTATTTTCTCTAAATACCCATTGTTCCTCTCCTTTATGAAAGTGTTAGTGCTTCGTAGTCTTGAGTATAGAGTTGGTCATCTCTCAAATAGGGTCTCCCGTGACCTGCCCTCTCCTCCCCCATCATGACCCTCCATCTAGAGTTAGCATTCCATATCTAGGGTCAGAGTCAACCAACTGCAGATCTAAAGTATCTAGGAAAAAAACGTGTTTGCACTGAACACATACAGACTTTTTTCTTATCATTATTCCCCAAAACAATATAGTGTAACTAGTGTTTACGTAGCATTTACATTGTATCAGGTATTATAGGTGATCTAGAGATGATTTAGAATATACCAGAGGATGTATGTAAGATACATAAGTGAGAGGGTGAGTCATACAGAAATCTGGGGAGTGTGTTCCAGGAGAGGAGCTTTCAAGGGTGAAAGCTGGGGGTGAGCCTGGGATGTGTGTGAGGAGAGAAGAAACCAGAGCTGCGGCTAGAGCAGAATGGAGGAAATGCAGAGAGTGATAGAAGGTGAGTAGGGGCTGATCACAGTGTACCTGTTAGACTATTCCATGTGCAGTGGATATCTATTGGAGATCTTGGAGCAGGGAAGGGATGGATCTGGCTCATAGTTCTAATAGTTTATTCTGGCTTCTGTACGAAGGATCCATTATAGGGGGCAAGAGTGGCAGGAAGTCTGTTAGGAGGTTCTTGTGGTCAAGCACAGGTGGGAGAGTAGCGGATGAGCCTGGTGTGTTAGGGAAGAGATGGTCAAATGGTAGATACATTTTGAAGACAGAGTTAACAGGATTTGTTGGTGTTGGATGCAGGGTATAAAAGGAGAATAATTAAGAGGAGTCTTTCAGGTCTAAATAACAAGGTGAACAGTTGTGCAGTTTGTGAGACGGGAAAGAGCTAGGTAGGAACAAGGTCAGTTTTGGAAGGAAGTTTAAGAAACTTTGGGCAGGTAATTTTGAGATTCTTGTAAGAAATCCACATCAACAGGCTGACTGTGGAGTGGATATGAGTACTTGAGAGCTGTCAGCATGTGGAGGGATTTGAAGCCACAAGGGGTGGCTGATGCCATCAGCAGTGTGATCAAGAGGTCAGAAAGAGGGGGCTGAGAGCAGTTTCTGTTTGCTTCTCTTTGTTAAAAGGGAAATAATGGAGCATGTTAGCATTCAGATGATTTAATCTAGAAGGAGAAATTGATGATAGTGCAGGGAAGTAAAGAGAGGTCTGTGTGTGTGTGTGTGTGTGTGTGTGTGTGTCTGTGTATATGTCTCTACATGTACCTCTGTGTAAATTTAGTTTTTGTATAATATCTTCATAGAAGCATTATAAATATATTGAAATATTGGATTATACATTTAATATTTCATATAGTATCATATATTTCATTTAATATTTTATATAGCTTAGTATACTTTGTTGTATATAATATGCACATTACAGCCAGGTGCCAGTGGCTCATGCCTATAATCCTAGCTACTCAGGAGGCAGAGATCAGGAGGATTGTGGTTCTAAGCCAGACTCTGGCAAATAGTTTGAGAGATCCTATCTTGAAAAAACCCATCATCAAAAAAGGGCTGAAGGAGTGACTCAAGTGGTAAGAGCGGCCGCCTAGCAAGTGTGAGGCCCTGAGCTCAAACCCCAGTGTTGCTAAAAAAATGACAAAAAGAATGCATTATAATTCTATTATAAACATATATAAATATATACCATAGATTCAGGGGAATTTACCAATTATAATGAATTACAATGAAATGGACATATCTATATTCCAGATTAAGAAATAAAAGTTCTGGAATCCTTCTCCCTCCTAGCTCTCTCACTCATTACTGCTTCCTACTTTCAAGGACTTCTACACCATAGATTAGTTTTGCTTATGTTAAAACTTTATAGAAATGGAGTCATAAGTACACAACCTTTTTTTTTCCACTTCTTTTGCTTCACATTTTGCTTTTGAGGTATATATTATGTATAGCAATAGTTTTTTGTACATTCTATGATAAATAGTAACAACTCAGACATATAGTTCTCTTGTGTAGATGTTATATGAGCCAAAGAGACTGTTGTCTTTTGACTGTTATCATAAAAGCAAAGACAGCAATTTGGAAAGAGTATGAAGGGTGAGATAGAGAACCACCTCCTCCCTGTTTTCTCTCATTGGTGAGCTGGAACCTATTGCAGAATTTAGCTGGGTATTCTGCCCTGAAGTCTGCCCTGGTCATCAAAAGAGTACCCTGAGTTTGTAATGTTCTGTAATGATTTATGAATTCTTGAGATATTTGTAATATTTGTGGATCTTCCATGCAAGTTTTGCTCTGGAGCCTACACAGTGGGTTATCTCTGAGCACAGTCTGATGCTTAGTGGATACACTGTTTTCCTCATTGAAATGTCTCACATTTTAAGAATAGGTCACATTTTACTTACTTATTCTGCTGTAGTAAGATTTGGAATTTCTAGTTTGGAGCTATTACCGCTAGTATAGGCTGAGCATCCCTAATCTAGAAATCCAGAAATCTAAAATCTGAAACTTCTTGAGCACCAACCAACATGGCACCAAGTGGAAAACTCTAAACAATGAAACTTTGTTTCATTTACAAAAGTACTAAAAATATTGTATAAAATGACCTTCAGGCTATGTGTATAAGGTATCTATGAAGCATAAATAACTTTATGTTCAGTCTGGAATCCTATCCCTAAAAGCTCATTATTTATATGCACATATTCCAAAATCCAAAAAAAATATATAAAGCCCTACACCCTTCCCGATCCTAAGGTTTTTGGATAAGGGATACTCAACCCATATAGCTATAATGTTTTTGTTCTTGTCTTTTAGGGTTAGATACTTGGGAGTGGGATCACTGGGGCACAGTATATGCATTAGTCATCAGCGTCTTGTTTCCTTATACTCCATGATACCATTTTATTCACATACTCAGCACAACTCCTGGCATGTAGCAGATTCTTGGTACATATTTGACCATAAGTGTGATGATAGAATCTTCAAGCTACAAGTGGTTTTTGATGATCATTGAATGGCAATGGCCATGTATCAGAGTTTAGTTAATTTATTCCTCAATATTTGGCATTTTGGCCACCAAAATTTCAGTATTAGACATAATGCTGATAGGAGTGTGTACATGCGTGCTAGATATTTGTCTGAGTTCCTTAAAATTCATTCCTGTGCATTCCTCCTATTTAATGTGGTGAATTCTGACTCATCCTGACTGGACATTTCTTTTCCCCTCGCATCTTTACAATTGCACCTTTAGAATAGTGTCTGTAAAATGGGGAAGGTGTTCTTCAAGCTCATCCATCCCAGTCTGCACTGTCTATGATAAGCTCATAAATTTGTCCCAACTCTGCATACAGGCATGGTACCCCGGGCCACTTCTCATTTGTCCCTAAGAGAAATGTGTTTGGCACCCCCCCATCCAAAAGGCACATCAAGACACAGCCTGAGAGAAAGACCTCAGAGACACAGGGCCAGGGGAGGAAAAAGAATTGTCCTCCAGAGCTCAGAAGTATTTTAGTTACATTATCTGATTTAGTATCTGCATCCTCAGGAGAAGTGACATGATAGACCTTGTACAAAATAGAAGGCTGAGACTCAGAGGGAAGGTACCAATCCCAAGCTGAGTCCTAGAAGTAGACTCGCTCTCCCTGGATGCCAGAGGCCTGGCTCCGAGTGTCTAGACATCAGTTTCAGATTCGAGATGCTACAAAAGCCTTGCTTCCTAGGGACCTTTCCCTAGCCTCTAGTCCACTGAGATGGGGGCACAAGTATGTTCAGTGTCCTGCCATGGTCAGGGATGGTCCTGTTCAGTAAACAATGGCTCCTACCACATGCCAGCAGTCCCCTGTGGAGAAACCGATTACCTGCTGGGAATCAGGTGCTAGGAATGTCATCAAGTACTGGGAACTCTGGCTGTAGAATATTGTAATAATAAAGGCTTTGGGATAGGGGGAGGTTTGAACTCAGGGCCTCACACTTGCCGGACAGGTGCTGTACTGCCCGAGCCACGCCCCAGACCTTTTTGCTTTATTTTTGGGATAGGTCTTCAGTTTTTGCCTAGGCTGGCCTGGACCCTGATCTTCTGCTCATACTTCCAAAGTAGCTGAGCTGACAAGCACGTGCCACCACACCTAACTTTTGATTGAGATAGGATCTTGCTAACTTTCTTGCTGCCTGGTACCATGATCCTTCAATTCTCCACCTCCTGAGTAGCTGGGATTATATAGTGAAGGCATTTTAAACTGGATGGATCCTAGTTTTATGGGGATTGTAACTTACAAGTTGAGACATTTAAAGGGGGATGCTGTACAAGCAAAAGAATATAAAAATGGTTTACTTTTGCAGTTATTAGGAAAACTTGATCACGTGAAAAAAATTGCTAGGGTTCTTGCTCAGAGGCCCTCTGTCAGTAAGGGGCCCCAGCTTGTCAGGACAGGGGCATCTGTTGATAATTTTCTCTGTGGTTCTGTTGGGCATCTGTTTTGTTTTTCTCTTCCTCAGCTCTTTTCAGGTAGTGTTTCATTTCCTCTTTGATCTAGCATTATCTGCAAGTTTCAAGTGTTGAAGATTGTTTGGTCACCTTTTTATTCTTTTTTTTCTGATTTCGTGGATTATGACCCAAGGATGTGCTTTTCAAAAGTTACTCCCTTTCTGTAATCAAGTCCATGATTAATTATCTTGTAAATGACCTATGAACATATAAAATAATATACTGTGATTTTGAGGGATGGGAGCTTTATATCAGAACTACTAAATGATTGTTTAGCCAGTTCCCCTGTTTTCCCATTTACCTTCTCTTCTCCATCCCAACTAGGAAGGAGATGAATTTAAACTTCCCTCCAGAGCTGTGTTTTTAATAATTTTTAATTTTAATAATTTTAATAATTTTTGCCTTATGTGGTTAGCTGCTTTGTTAATACGTGACTATAGGTTCAGGACTGTTGGATCTTATTTTTA